ATATTCAAGTTATTTGATCCCTTACTGTAAGACGATCAGAGGATACAACTAGACTGTAAGGGCAGTCTATTGACGAAGGGAATCCAAACTAGGCACCAGTGGAAAAGGACATGCCAATTTTGCTCAGGGGCTTTGGCGTTATGGTCTCTTTTCACCAGCAGTTAATTTTTTGCAGGGGTTTGAGGCCGTTTGTTCCAAACAGGAAACAGGGATCGCTTATTACAAGGCTTAAGTCTGGCCACGTCAATCTAGAGCCTTTCAAAGGTCAACCCAAAAAGAAGCCAACCATACCACTGAACCAACCCGCCTGCTTTCAGTTTCCCTTGGGAGCGCATTCGGGGCTGGTTTCTAGGCTGGTTCTTTACAGTGAACAACACGGCGGATAGGATGGACACGCAGATCAACTCCATGCAGCAGCTCAACGAGATGGAGCGTGCCCAGGTCGGAGCGTCGCTCGCGTGTCCTTTTTTGGGTGAGTCCTTCTTTGCGGGTATTCCCCTTTCGGTTGGTTCAAAAAGGAAAAGACAAAAGGATAGCAACATGTGAGCCACAGACAAAACCCGGGTAGATGAAGGTTAGTAAGCTGCAGTCCCAGCCAGAAATAGTTTCGGCCGCCTTCTTAATTCTTTACATGGTTCTGGGTAGACAATTTTAACAGCAGTTTTCGATTGTGACTCATGTTTGTTTGTCAAAGCAAGCGACCTGATCTGACCTTTTGGTTTCGCCTTGTTGGTCCATTTTTCGTTATAACCCCCAAAAGGTGGTGATCTTGTTGTTCTGGGTCCCTAGCCTTGCCCAGCTGAAAGCTATGGGGTCTGCCCAAATAAACTTGGGGGTGGTTCGCAGCAGCTTCCTCTGTGATGAAACACCCATTGTTTGGACAGATGGTTGCCACTTTCGAGTCTACTGTAGGTCCTTGGAGCTCGTTGAAGAGCGAGGGGGAGGACCCCCACTGATTTATTGAACCCGGCTGAATCAACCTGGCGGATGAATATGAGGGATTATGAGGGTGTGTCCCCAAAAGTGATTTGGATCCCCTCTGACATCAGCCACCTTCCCTTGAAAACCCCATAAAGGGCTCTCTTTTTTAACGAGCCCAGCGGATGGCGACGAGGGCAGCAACTACGTGCCCATGTCCGACGTGTCGCCTTTTCTTGCGGAAGATGACAGGGGAGCCTTCGCCTTTGCCGCAGACCGCCCAGCAGCCCTCAGGCTGTTGCCGCAGAGCGCGCCTTTGCCGCCGGGCACCGCCCCGCCAGGCTGCCTGCCCAGACCTCCGCATGCTCGACCTGAGCGACTGGCGTTTTTCAAGCCCTGGCGATCGATGATCGATTGAGCGACTGGCCAATGAGGTCTGCGTTTTTTTTAGAACCAGCTCCCCGAAGAAAATTCGGGGGTAGACGAGCTCGCCCATGATGAGGGCCTCTTGCTGGGCCGAAAAACTAAATGGAAAATGGCGAAGGGCTACCTACTTGCTGGGATCCGCTGAGTAAGGCTCCCTTTTTTTCCAGAGCAGGATTCCTAGCTCCAATGCGACAAGCGTGGGCCGAGCTTTTTGACCAATACCAGCACAACCTTTTTCAGCGTGCTTAGTCCCCTGATGAGATGGTAGTGGCTTCTGCCATATTAGGATTCCTCCCCCCCCGAAGCTTTTCTACAGCTTCGAAATCCCGCAGCACTCTAAACCGCAGGAAACCATTGTTCGTTGGTATTTACAGGGGAATCATTGTTCCAGGGTTCCTTAGGTGGTACAATATTTGTCCATCCACAGTGTTGAAAGTGTTTGGAGAGCATCGGGTTTCATCCCCTCGGTTAAAACCTGCATAGGGGGCCATGGCTAGAAAAGCCCACCCACTCATCCCCCCCCCAACAAAAAGACGAACAACAAAAAAGCAAACACAACACATCCCTGTTATTAAGAGGATCCCTGGCTTCCCCACACCACCCGCCTTTAGGGAACCCCCCCCCTGCCCCGGCCTTCCGATCGAACGAATCTGATCAGAGGGCTCGGTTCGAACGATTCAGATGTGTCTGATTGGAAGCACACCCATTTGACCTGCCGTGAGAAAGGGAGGTTTGGGCCTATCTTAAATCTTTGCCCTTGACTCAAATGATGAACAACGGAAATACGGGCGTGTCTGTTTTGACAGTACCCCCTCAAAAACACATGTGTTCCTTAAAAAAGCCAAACAAACAGGGGCCTCAGGCAAGCCTGCTCTTAGGGATCCCCAAGCGGTGGCTTTCCAGGAAGGCTCTGTAAGGAACCCTAAGGTCCGGAAGCTTTGTGCCAACTCGAAAGGGGCTTGCAACTACCCCCCGCCCCGCCCCCGCCCCAGTACCCACCTCCACCCCCTGGATGGGACTTATACCATCAACATTTTGGTACATTTATTTGAGCCGCAGCCAAATTACCCACCTCCATTGTCCGGATGGGACTTATCCTTTTTCCAATGTCCCAAATCCCAAGTGTCCAAAAGCAGCGGGTGGGGGGGAGGGTTCCAAGCCGCCAGGCGAGCTTCGGAGATCTGCTGAGCCGTGCGCTCGATGGCAGGGGCCGGAAGAAAACTAATCGGTGGGTGATGGCTTCGTGTCTTTTTTGTTCAACGCCCCAAAGGTGACTTCCTTCTAATTGTTTTGCCTTAGAATAGCAAGAAATACAGCAAGCAACAAGAGCACCCTGAAAATGGCCTTGACCACCAAACCACCAATCCAAGCCACCAATCGGAGGGAAGCTGAAGCAAAGTTCAGACAGGTGTACGGTAGGTTGGCCAAGTCATGAGATCCCCTCAAAGGGGGTCAAGAGGTTGTGGGCACTCCAGTGTGTGGCGCGTGCTCCGGCTCCAGCAAGATTTTCAAGGCGCTCACGCGCAGAGAATGAGTTTTACTGACTGGATTCGGGTTTGCCTCGTCAAACTCGTCCGGGTTGCTAAGACGTGGGAAGCAGCAAATAGCAGCAATCCCTCTGTAAACGGAATATTGAAGTTGCCTTTCGCCAAATGCGTGCCTCTCAAAATGGGAAGGGGAGAAATCATTTTAAGAGACCCCCATATCTCGCTAATCCACGAGCAACCCTCGATTTAACCGAGTCGTGTTCCGGCGCGCTCGCTGCACGACTCCTGTACCCAGCTGGCCAAGACAGCGTGCGCTTGCTGATACTCCGAACAAATGCTCGCGCACAAAACATCCGGCGCAGAAGTTAGGTGTCAATTCATTGGCCTCAGTAGGTTTGTGCTTGGAGCGGAGGAGCTAATACTTATGCTATATATATATATACGTACACCTTTATGTACACACACATATATATATATATACACAGTGTTGCCTGAATGTATCCGACTGAGAGTATATACCACCTCCAAATGTCTTGCCAAGCTCGTGCGGGGAAGTCATGTTGCCCATGGTCGTTTATATACAGGGAAGTCAAAATGAGTACGTTGTTTGTGTTTGGGGGGGTGTTAAAGACACGCCCGTTTTCTGAAATGTTGAGTCGAATTTCCCCTGTTGGCTGTAGAGGGAGTCAATCGCTACTGGTATTTGTCAGGGGACGCATTCGCAAGTGGAAGACAAATAGTCAGCAACAGCCATTGACTGCAATGGCTTCCCTTACGGCTCTGAATCAGAAGGGGGTGATCCTCAAAAAGTCTTGAGGTGGAGTTCTATTTGACATGTTTCCTGCTTTGTCCACGTGCCATCTGTTTCTTGGCACCGTTTTTCTCCATGAAGCGACCATGGAACCTTCAGGGATAGTGTGGACACATTGCCTCTAAGAAAGACCTCTTTCTTGGTTTGTTCGGTACACTGACCTCCTGCAGTTGTTTTCCTTTCATGGGTGCCCGGAGATGTCACACCCTGGTCACACCCTTCCACACGCTTTGGGTGTGCCCTGTTTTGAGACAAGCCCACTTCCTCCGTGCTCGCATTTTGGCACTCAAGCCACCTCTGGACGAAGGCGGCGCATTGGAAAGCTTGTTTGCGAGGTTGATGACTGGAGGTGTGCAACCTTGTCCCAACATCTGGTGACGCGAAATGGGTGTGTAATTGTTTTGATCGTCCCCCCCCCAACAAAAATAGAAAAGAACACATAACTTAAATAAGATAAACATGACAGTTTTTCTTTGGTTTCTCTTTACAACCACAAAAATCGGGGTACCAACATAGCAAACAGACACCCTCAAATACACAACGTACTAACTTGGCGAATCGAACACGCAAGTACCTACTATTGCGGTAACCAGTTGTCCAATTCGGCTTGCCAGAAGTCCCCTCATTCACGAAAGTTAGGGAACCCAGATTGATTGCTCCCTTGCATTTGTTGCAAGGAACTCCAAAAAGGAGTTTTCCCAAAAAAGGAGAGTCCTCTCAAAACGAGGCTAGTTTTCACCTTCCTTGGAATAGCAGGGAAGTACTGAGGTCAATGAATCCAAGAAAGCGTCTCTCCCTAGAGCCCCGATTCCCTTTTGGCAGTGACGCGCATGGCTTTCTCAGGTTGTCCATTGACATTCGCATGCATCCATGTTGGACAGGTGGCAATGTTTCCGAACCTTCAGTGAGTTGCTTCCCATTTTCCTTGTGTTTTGGCGGGGTTTCTCTTGATACACAACATATCGCTTAGCTTTTTTTGTTTAAGGTTGGAACCCCCAAAATGGCCAAGCGGTTTTCCCTTTGGTTTCCTTTGACATGGGGTACCCTTAAAAAAGGCCACACCTAAATACCCACGAAAGCTGGCCACTGGGGGCCTGGGCCCCAATGCCGCGCCACACATATGCCGCATGTGGGTCTTTTGCTCAGCTCGGGCGATCTTTCGCTCGTGCTCAGAATGGAAGAGCCCAGATGCGAGTGAGGCATGTTTCTTGACAGTTGGACTCAGGACAGCAGGGGCTTGCCGGCAGAATTGTTGGATCTAATCTATCCCTTTGGGCGACTGAGACTGCACTAAATCCAGATTTCTCCAACAGGTTGACAGCTTGAACCTTTCTAGCAGTGACAGGTGAGGTAAGATACGCTGCCGGTGGTGCTTTCTTGGGAGCCATCTCCTGCGCTGTGCGCCTGGCGGCTTTGCGATGACGGGCAGGCGATGGCTTCAAGTTCTGGCCTTCAGTTCGTCCTTTGCCTTTTGCTTGACAAAAAACGCCTAGAAACAAACGGTTTGGATGCGTGTATTTTGTGGATTTCACTTCTTCCTCCCCCTGCTGGTCCTGGTTTAGTATTATTTTGGTACTTTTTTATGTTCTACAGGGGTGGATCCACAGCTTCGCCACATCCAAGCGATTTTCTAGATTCAACGAGTCAGATGCACGAGGGTTCCACCGGCTTGCATCATGAGTCGGAACCTTCCAGCCGAACGAAGATGAGTCACGCGGCTGAACACTTCAGCCAACCGACCGAAACTCACTTTCATTTTGCGGTTCAGCTTCAATTTGTTCAGTGGCGTATGGTCGGGTAGTTTCCAAGGTCCTTGAGCCAAGCTAGTTGGCGGTTTCTCTTTTGGTTGCCGTGCGTTTGCTCGTTTGTCTCAAGGCGATTTTTGGAGGTAGCCTCCCCATTGTCGGGGATTCATGTAAAATCGTTTGACAGCATGCCTGTAGCTTTGGAATGCCGAGTTGGGCTTATCCCAAAAGCTTGGCCTTAGGTGTTTTGGGGACGGAAGACTAGGAGCTTCAACGGCGGCTGCCGCGTGACTGTCGGCTTTTGAGAAAGGCGATCACTCAATCTACAGGCTGAACCAAACATCTCATTGCGAGAGTCCGACCTTTTTTTGACCCGGAAGGTTCCTTTGGTGTCCATATGAACCGCTCTATGGGCATATTCGCCGGACGAATAGCTCGAGCATGCTTCAATCTCTGGATACTGACTTTGAGCCTTTGGGGGGCCAGAACTAGGCCCCAGGAATTTGATCTGCGAGTCCCAACAAAAATCACTACTCTTCGGAAGGGCGAATCGAAGATGATCGCATTTGGAATCTGACAGTTGAAAACGCCTTGCACCCTTGCACCCTTCTTCCGGCCGAACCTTTGGGACAAATACGATCTGGAGGACCGTGTGCTTTGATGCCAGCTTGTTCCTTGCGGGGAGCTGTGACCCCATGGGCTTTGCGTGCCTTAGTCTTGTATCTCTTAATGTTGATCAGCTAGCTCATTCATAGGGGGTGAGTGGGGATTCAGACCATTTTTGGAGAGGCCTCCACCATAGTTGATTCATTTGGGGTCAACATAATGCTGAACTCCAGCCAAACTGAGCTGAAGATTGTGTCCAGGATGGGTTTGAACGACACCAGGGACCCTTAACTTCCATCCGGTTGCTTAGGTTTTTATGTGTGTTTGGTCGGTTTAGTGGTTAGGTTTAGCTTTAACCCACTAGCAGTTAAACTTCTAGCGGGGGATCTGAGGCCAGTCCAGTTCAGGAATCCTGATGCTGTTGACATCACAGTGGGGCCTTTGCCAGCTTGGGACCAAACGGCCGGTGTGACCTGGTTTGGGCCATTTGTAGCAACCTGTTGCCACGGGTGACGGCCCAACTTGACAGGTGGCAAGCCACAAGAACGCCTTGCCATCTCGTTTTCCCTGGAATTCTGCTGGAACTCTTTTCCACTTTCTTGTTTTCTAGTTCGGAAGTCGCCTTCTAGGTCCCCCAGTAGTGCCCTTTTACCCTTTTTTGGGGGAGGGTTCCCCACTAAAAAGGACTTCAGAGAAAAACATCGGGTACCCCTATTCTACCCTCTCTATTGGAGGACCTAGCCTTTGGAGGGGCACCGCAATTTTTTTTCAGGTGACCCTGAACCGGTGGTTTGGCGTGGTGCCAGGACTTGGGCAAAATGGGAAGCCACCTACGGAACACCTCCAACCCGCTCAGAGGTAAGCGGACTTTGTGGGCTCAAAGCACCACCCCAAGAGGTGTCGTGGGGATCGGAGTCTCCCTAAAATGCTTGGGTTTGTGGCTTCACAGTCGGTTTCTTTCTTCTTCTTTTTCTTCTTAAAACAAGAAAAAGAACAAAAATAACACCATGGCTCGATTTCTGCTGCGCGCCTGGCTGCGCTTGCCAGGAGCGACCTGTCCGCTCCCATGCTCCACCCTTCCCCCACCAGCATCAACGCAACGGCGCGGCGCCCAAAACGGGGATCCTGCCAAGTCGCCAGAATGGGTGTGGGTCAAGAGGGCAACCCCAACATGGGTCGCCCCGGGGAAATGGAAAGGACTAAAACCAAATATATATCTGCCCAGTGGATCCCAGGTGCCAATTAAGTAGGCAACCAGCCATTCTCCGTTTGTTTTGTAAGGGGTGGATCCCCTTTGTCACCTACTGTACAGGTAAAGGGATCCAATGGGCTAAAGATTTGTTTGGGGCAAGCTTGGTGTTCAACCAGACCCTGGTCGCCTTTGAAGGGAAACGGCATTTGGATTTACTCGCGGCGGTTCAAGCCGGCAGAAGTTGGCCTCACCCCCCGAGTTCATGGTCTTCGTGCATTTTTTGGGAAGGCCATGCTGGTTGCAAACCAACAGTCATGGGACTTTGTTGGTCAGTCCACTTAGGAAGTGAGACTCTGTTTGGCAATGGTCCCTGTATTTCTGTTTGCCGCACACATCTCTGACCATTTTATTGCGAGCTCACTTGGAGGTAAAACCAGCTCTCCATGATGCAGGTCCCGTACTTAGGAATGTCTTTTCAGAATTTGGTGGTTTTGCAACACTTGCAGATTATATAAAGGCCGGGGGGGCTGGGGGATGGGGCGGGGGCGCCTGTGATTAGAGGCTCAGGATGTGAGCCATTTAGCCCATGACGACGGTCCCCATGTCTTTTGATGGTACCTGTTTTGGACACTTTGTTCAAAGGGACACCGCAATGAGCCACGAACAATAGTGCGCAGAGGTGGTGCAATTGGGTAGGCCTTTTCTCGTGAGAAAATGAGGGATATTGGGTATGTCTTCTCCAAATAAAGAACCGGCTGCGTGTGATTATCGTTGCCCACATGTTTTTGGTGTGGCCTATTTCAAGACACACCCATGCCAAGCTGAGGATGACTTAAAAGACCCTTGTCTCTGTGTCGGGGAAGGCGCACCCTGGAAAGGTTTTGCTTTGGGCTGCTTACAAGAGTTCTTAGAACGGATCTGAGAAGAAGGGCTCAGAGCAGTTCTCCTGGAAGGTGTGCTTAGAAGAAGGCTCTTGGAAGCAGTGCCTGGAAGGTTTCTTACGGTTCCTAGAACCTGTCCGGGGGATAGAGGATCCCCGATCACTATTGTTTCTCTTTCTTTCTCTTTCTCTCTCTCTTTCTCTAAAGTGGGGCTTTGGAAACTGTGTATGCTTGCCGTGGATGCCTCAGTATTGAACATAGAGGGACAAGGGAATCCTGAGCTTTGCCACACATTTCCGGCTGTTGTCGTGGAATGAGGTTGGTTGGTTTGGCTTGCTTGCTTCCTTGCTTGCTCATTGGTTCGTTTGTTCGTTCGTTCCCTCGTTCATCTTTGTTTTTGGTTGCTTGTTCCTTTGCTTGCTTTTGCTGTTGACATTTGAGCAACAACGATACGAACACCCAAACAAATGGGGTTGTCTTGTTTTGGGGTATCCCAGTTTTCAAGGAACGCCCAACAGGAAAGCCGCCATTTTGATTGGTTCCCCGAATATCAGACCCACCCCCTGTTGCCCAGTGGAGCCCTTGTTTCCTTTTTTTTTGGGAAGGGGGTCCCTTTAAAGGGAAGGGTGTCCCTTTAAAGTCAACCAACCAAAAAAGGATGCCCTGTTTTCCCCATGGAAATCCACTGGGCATCTGAGCACCCAAACGCCCGCCTGCGCGGTTCCAAATGGTCCTCTTGCGAGTCGCGAGGTCTTCAGCCCCGGCGGACACGTCAGCAAGGCGTTTTCGGGGGCGTTTTCGGGGGTCCCCGTGGATCGAAGGTGGTCGGACAGCGTGTTTCGCGGTGAGGAAAACCACTTGGGAACCGTGTTGAGAAGACTGTCTATTTTGAGAAACCGCTCCAAATGGGTTGGTTTAGAGGGACACCAATAAAGGATTGTTGTCCATCTTGAGAAAACGGTCGCCCATGTCACCAGGACCTTCGGGAAGTCTATGGGCGCAATGGGCTTAGTAACGTGTTGGGGGAAAGCAGGCAACCTTCCCACTGGGTTGTTGAATTCCCGTACCCACAAAAAGGTTTCGTCTACTTTCACTGGTGTAAGGCCTTATTACCTCTTGAGAAAACCAAAGGCCCCCAAAGCCCTTGAGGAAATACCCTTACCTGTATTGGTAAATGGAAGCACTGGGTTTTGTTACACCACACACTCTTGCTAATTCTTTATCAGCTGGGCGAAAGCAGGGGGTCAATAAAGAGACCAACCAAAAAGGGGGTACCCTCAACAACAAGACCGGCCATATACTGCAGGTGCTTGTTATGGCCCATTGATTGAAGGTTGGCCACATTTGTCATATTTTGAGTCGCGCGGTGCACCTGTTTATTAGTATTTGTTTGACATTGTGTCTGATTAATAGCCTGCCGGAAGAAGCCATGTGGGTGTGGCTCAAAATTAAACAGGAGGGGTTACGCAGGTTTTAATCCATGTTTGCACTTCCCAAGGGTTCCATTTTGGAACCGGTTTTTTGAGCCACAGCCATGTGGAAATCTATAGGCTATCACTAGGGACCCTTGTGATGCTTGAGATGGACACCAACAGGAAACTCAGCGCCAGGCTGGGGTCCCGAGTTTTGAGAAATACCCATTACGGCCAGTGATCCTTATCAGTAGCTTCATGATTCAGCAAAACTAACTAAGTGTTTTTTCTCTGTCAAAATCAAAGAATGATAGCGTCGCAACACTTAGGGTAACGTCTAGGTCGTCGTTTACTCAATGATTCAGGTTGCCTCTTGGCGGGATTTGCACTTTCTTGGGAGAACGTACCCCGAAACACCTCCACCATTCACCATGGCAGGTAGAAAGTATCAGCCAGATAAAGGGGAACAGCACAATTCAGAAAGCACAAATAGGGGAACAGCAATGAAGGGTAGAACAACAGAGGGTACACAATAAGTAACGCACAACAACAACTCACTCCCTGAGCTCATGAACTTTAAAAACTTTTTGAGAAGCCAATTTTAGTGGCAAACAAGAAGTGATGTCAGAAATCACTTAGATTCTGGAATCCCTCAGGGGGTGTAGGTTCCAAGGAGGGTGGGTAGCTGAGAGCCCTAGGGTTCCTTATGGTTCCTTAGGAAGGTCAAAACAACTTAGCTGGGTGAATTACAACGACCTCACACGACCACACCCTAAATGGTGGTTTATGTTGGGAATAGCCCTCCAACCACCTGATTTCAGGTTAGCGCAACTTTCTAATTCACCCAGAAATTAGGCCTGATTCGGCGAGGGAAACCGAAAGGAGGTGCCTTGAAGCAGTGGTTGGCAGGTGGAGGTGCGCCCGGACCGCGAGGCGCAAGGGGTTTTTTCCGGGGAGAGGAGCTTCGAAGGGTTTCCTTCGAAGGGCCAAGAAGACATGGGTCGTTTTTGGTTTGAGGGTACTCCATGATTGCTGGATTTAAAGGGAAAAAAAGACCAGCTTTTTTTTTTTGGGGGGGGTCTCCTAAGAAAGACACTTACAAATTGTATTTCCATTAGGCCCACAAAAGGTCTAAGGATCTTTTGCACAGAGGGGGCTTAGAGCAACCCAGTTACTAAACGTTGGGCGGTATCCTAACAGCCGCATACGCCAACCCTCCCTGAAAGCTGCTCCGAAACACCCCAGAGCTTATTTGGGCAGAGACCCCAAAGCTCTCAGCTGTTGGGGAAAAAGACACATTTTGATCTTCAATTGTCTGATTTGTTGGCTCTGACATGGGTGGTTTCACTTTTCTAGGGTGTTGAGATGCCTGTCAGGTGTGCCAATATCTCTCTTTGTGTCAACCACGTCACCTTTCAGTCGCCAAGTTAAAGTGAGTTCCCTTTTGCTTGGTCTTTCCCAGCCATCCGGTTCCTTAGCATTCTAGCTTTTTAGTTGGTTTTGTGGGGCTTGCCATTTAGCCCACTAAAAGTCAAACCTTTCTGCAGGCTTGGATGGATCTGGCGATCGGCACTACCTCGAATCCTGGAAGGGTGATGAAATGGCTGAAATCCCAGTCGATGTGGGCAAGTAAAGGGGATGACTCAACCAAATGCGGGAATTGTGTCGTTTGTCACCCAATTGGCAATTTTGGAATTAGTCTGCTTTGGGGTGATGCTTTTCAGGGGACACGTAACTCACTCCATGAGTTTCTTCGCACTTTTCGGACAGATCATGATTCAGTGGCGACTAACAAACGATGGGCAAGTTTGGGGTCCCATTTTGAATGAGTTTCGGTATGTGTCAAAATAGGGGACCCAAAGTAGATTGCAGTTGTTCTTAAGGTTTCCCGTGAAACCAACTTGAAAAGGGTACCTTCAAAAGACACGCAGACACAAAACACACATGATATTCTTTTCGGGGTGACAAACTTTGGGGTGACACTTCCGGGGAACATGTGGGTAAGTGTCAAGATACGGGGACCCGTACAAATGCTGTTGCCCTTTTGGTTTCCCTTTAAATCTACCTCAACCAGCGCCCACACACCCAGAGTGTCCTTTCGGGGTGCTGTTCAATGGGCACGCCACCCCAGTAAGGTAGGAGGGATTCAGGAACCCTGTTGATCTCAACAACCCTTACTTGGTGGTTCGCGGCCATCCCCTTTAGGCTTTTAGGTTTTTAGGGTTTAGTGGTTTCCATTCAACCACTAGCAGTTGCACTTTTGTCAGGGGCTCTGGCAGCTTAGCTATCCCATATTTGTGGGGCTTATGCTTATGCAGGGACAGGTGTCGGGGTAAAGGCGAATTGGCTCTGCCCGAAGCTCTCGGTGCACAAAAAAGATATCCGAGCCACTTCAAAGAAGTCAGGCAAGGATCTTCGAGTTGGACGAGATCTTTTGCGACATGTGTTGGGCCGCAGTGAAGTCATTTGAAGCTGCGGGTCCCAACCTTCTTGTGGCGCCTACGGGTTACGGCAAGTCCACGTACGTGATTGTGATTGTCTGGTACGCATCTGGTCGCGCGCGAATCCTCCAGCCAAAGAAGGTTGCTGCTGGTGGTGTTGCCTGCAGCGCCCGTGCCATGCCTGCAGGTCCATGAAAGGAACCCGGTCGATCCGCCACAGGTCTGCGAAAAGGACTTGGTGTGAAACCGCCACTGGTTTCACGATAGCAACAAAGTGCAAGCATAACAAAACAACATATCAATATTTAAGGGCTGCCGCCCAGTGCCGCCGACCCCTCCGCTGGGGGGCCAGCCCAGGTTTTTTTTGTTCTGTCAGCGGCTTTTGGCTGGTTCAGGCTTGCTGGCTTGCTCGCTTGCTTGCTTGTTTGCTTGTTTTCAGCGCTTTTCCAGGCCGCACTCGTTTGCCCACAGCGAGCACCAACCAAAGGAGTGCTATATAGAAAGTAGACAGCTATCGGTCCCCAGGGCGCAACCAGCAAGAACAGCTTCGCGTCCAGCGCGCTTGGAGGCCGCACTCGCTTCGCTGCAGCGAGCACGAACCAAAGGAGTGCGCCGGCAGCCTGCTCCGCCGCGGCCGAGTGCCTAACGTCGCATTTGAGTCCAATATGCAGCAAAGCTATCGGTCCAGAGGGAGCGGCCAGCCACAAAAGCTTCGCTTCCCGCGCTTTTCCAGGCCGCACTCGTTTGTCCACAGCGAGCACCAACCAAAAGGAGTGCGCCGGCAGCAGAAAGGAAGAAAAGAGGCCGAACGGGCGGGCCGTGACAAAGCTTCAGCGCTGAAAACTGTGCCCTGCAGGTGCTGGAGCGCTTTTCCAGGCCGCACTCGTTTGCCCACAGCGAGCGCCAACCAAAGGAGTGCGCCGGCAGCCGATAGGAAGAAAAAAGGCCGAGCGGGTGGGTCTTCAGCGCGAAAAGCTGTGCCGAGCAGGTAGTTGAGCACGCTCGGCCTCCTCAGCTCAGGGGCAGTTGGTGTAGTGGCATCACACCCGCTCAGCACGCGAGAGGGGCCGGGTTCAATCCCCGGCCTGTGCATGCCCATGTGCGCCTGGGTTGGTCTTTCTCGCTTAGGGTTTGCTGTGCGTCTTGCCAAGGGCGGCTGCTGCGCCGCGGCCGGGTGCCGAACGTCACTTTTGAATCCTATATATAGAAATAGTATTAGTTAGAAATAGTATTAGTAGAAAGTATAGAAAGTATAGAAAGTAGAAAGCTATCGATCCCCAGGGCGCAAACCAGCAAGAACAGCTTCGCGTCCAGCGGCCTCTTTTCTTCCTATCTGCTGCCGGCGCGCTCCTTTGGTTGGTGCTCGCTGTGGGCAAACGAGTGCGGCCTGGAAAAGCGCTCAAGCACCTGCAGGGCACAGTTTTCAGCGCTGAAGCTCTGTCACGGCCCGCTCGTCCGGCCTTTTTGCTTCCTTTCTGCTGCCGGCGCACTCCTTTGGTTGGTTCTCGCTGTGGGCAAACGAGTGCGGGCCCGCCCGTTCGGCCTCTTTTCTTCCTTTCTGCTGCCGGCGCACTCCTTTGGTTTCTTTCCTTTTCCTTTCTGCTGCCGGCGCACTCCTTTGGTTGGTGAAACGAGTGCGGCCTGGAAAAGCGCGGGAAGCGACGCTTTTGTGGCTGGCCGCTCCCTCTGGACCGATAGCCTTGCTGCATATTGGACTCAAACGCGACGTTAGGCACCCGGCCGCGGCGGAGCAGGCTGCGAACGGGCTGGCCGTGACAGAGCTTCAGCGCTGAAAGCTGTGCCCAGCAGGTAGTTGGGCACTCTCGGCCTGCTCAGCTCAGGGGCAGTTGGTGTAGTGGCATCACACCCGCTCAGCATGCGAGAGGGGCCGGGTTCAATCCCCGGCCTGTCCATGCCCATGTGCGCCTGCGTCTGGCACCGTTTGCCTATCCCTGGCACGAACCAAAGGAGTGCGCCGGCAGCCTGCTCAATATGCAGCAAGGCTATCGGTCCAGAGGGAGCGGCCAGCCACAAAAGCTTCGCTTCCCGCGCTGGTCCAGGCCGCACTCGTTTGTCCACAGCGAGCACCAACCAAAAGGAGTGCGCCGGCAGCAGAAAGGAAGAAAAGAGGCCGAACGGGCAAGCCCGCACTTGTTTGCCCACAGCGAGCACCAACCAAAAGGAGTGCGCCGGCAGCAGAAAGGAAGAAAAGAGGCCGAACGGGCTGGCCGTGACAGAGCTTCAGCGCGGAAAGCTGTGCCCAGCAGGTACTTGAGCACTCTCGGCCTCGGCTCAGGACCAGTTGGTGTAGTGGCATCACACCCGCTCAGCATGCGAGAGGGGCCGGGTTCAATCCCCAGCCTGTCCATGCCCATGTGCGCCTGCGTTGGTCTTTCTCGCTTTGGGTTTGCTGTGCGTCTTGCCAAGGGCGGCTGCTGCGCCGCGGCCGGGTGCCGAACGTCACTTTTGAATCCTATATAGAAATAGTAGAAAGTATAGAAAGTATAGAAAGTAGAAAGCTATCGGTCCCCAGGGCGCAAACCTGGTGCTCGCTGTGGACAAACGAGTGCGGCCTGGAAAAGCGCGGGAAGCGAAGCTTTTGTGGCTGGCCGCTCCCTCTGGACCGATAGCCTTGCTGCATATTGGACTCAAACGCGGAGCAGGCTGCGAACGGGCTGGCCGTGACAGAGCTTCAGCGCTGAAAGCTGTGCGCAGCAGGTAGTTGAGCACTCTCGGCCTGCTCAGCTCAGGGGCAGTTGGTGTAGTGGCATCACACCCGCTCAGCATGCGAGAGGGGCCGGGTTCAATCCCCGGCCTGTCCATGCCCATGTGCGCCTGCGTCTGTCACAGTTTGCCTCTCCCTGGTCTTTCATCCCTTTGGGTTTGCTGTGCGTCTTGCCAAGACCGGCTGGTGCGCCGCGGCCGGGTGCCGAACGTCACTTTTGAATCCTATATAGAAAGTAGAAAGCTATCGGTCCCCAGGGCGCGACCAGCAAGAACAGCTTTGCGTCCAGCGCGCTTGGAGGCCGCACTCGCTTCGCCGCAGCGAGCACGAACCAAAGGAGTGCGCCGGCTGCCTGCTCCGCCGCGGCCGGGTGCCTAACGTCGCGTTTGAGTCCAATATGCAGCAAGGCTATCGGTCCAGAGGGAGCGGCCAGCCACAAAAGCTTCGCTTCCCGCGCTTTTCCAGGCCGCACTCGTTTGTCTACAGCGAGCGCCAACCAAAGGAGTGCGCCGGCAGCAGAAAGGAAAAGGAAAGAAAAGAAACGAAGAAGAACAAGAAAAAAGTGAAAGAAAGAAGGCTGGTAAGGTACAGGGCTGAACGGGCGAGGGCGAAAGGGAAGGGAGAAGGCTGCCACAGTCACGCTCCAACGCTAAACGAACACTCCCCCAGCGCCTTCCCCTTGCAGGCAGGGGGGTCGGCGGATATAGGTGTGTCTCTGTTCAAGAATGCCCTGTTTGGGCAGGCCTCAATGGGGAACCAAAGGCAAACCGCTCCCATTTTTGGGATGCGATTCCTAAAACATATCCATGAGGACACCTCTGCAAGGAACACCAAAAAACAGCACCCATCCATTTTGGGGGGGGCCTGAAATAAGGACACATCCAAATGGGGGTTGATCAATATTCCTGGCCCCAAACTGATCATGGGTAACTTTTCCCATTTAGCTTGACAAAACCACGTTCTTGGCGGTTTTCCGGGGAACATCATGTGTTTTTAGCGGTTTTCTGGAAAAAAACCACGTTTTTGGCGGTTTTCCGGGGAAATCACGTTTTTGGCGGTTTTCCGGGAAAAATCACGTGTTTGGCGGTTTTCCGGGGACAAATCGTGTTTTTGGCGGTTTTCCCCAGCGGTCATCCGGTGCGAAGCACCTTTTGATCAACCCCTCCGCTGATCCGCTCGAGGACTCTGCCGGCAGCTGCCTGCAGGCCCTCATCGCGCGCCCGTGGCCCCGGCGAAGTGGAGAGATCCCCGCGGCTCCCCTGAAAACTTTCTTCGGGGAGGTCCTGGACTTTACACTTGGGAAGTAGTTTTCATAAAAAGGAGTGGTAAATGAAAGGTTTGGTGGCTGCTTTTTTTGCCAATCCACTCAGGACTTTTGGGAAGTGGCTTTCATGAAACTAGGTCCCCCAGCTAGGTGCCCTTTCTCACCCCTGTTTTGGTTGGGAGGGTTCCCCTACTAAAATAGACTACAGAAAAAAGGGTACCCTTATTCTAACCTCTCTACTGGAGGACCTAGGTTTTCATAAAAGGTTCGGTTGCTGCGTTTTTGCCAATCCACTCAGGAAGTGAGCTTAGGAACTTCCTTCCCACCCGTTTTCATGGTGTGCCACGTTTCCAAAAAGCAGGCGCCCCCCCCAAAAAAAAGAAGAAGAAGAGATCAACATGTCACTGGGGTGTTCCCTTCTATTAAAGCGCGTTATGATTTGCATGGCCGCTCTGGGATTTCTCGGGACCCCTTTTGGCCTGCGTGTGGAAGGTTTCACTAGTCTGTTCTAACATATGCCTCCAGTAGATCATCCCATCAGATGGTCCCAGTGGCATTCTTGCCATTCTTGCAGGCAAAGTCGAGAAGCCGCCACGGGCAGTTTTAGTTGACTGGGTTGGGATGGAGCCCTTCTACTTGTTCAATTGCACAATGGACTGGAGGCTGTCCGTTTTCAGACAAGCACGTTTAAGGCAACGAACCACTAAGTTGGTTCTGTCGCTGTTGTTGATATTGATGATGTTGTTGATGTTGCTTCTTGCAGTTAACAGTGGGTCAATGATATGTTTGTGGTTCAACTACTGCTCACGGTTGTTGCTAGGTGGTGTTGCTCTTTTGCTCGTGGTTTGAGCATTGAATGGTAGTTACGCTTTTTCCACTGCCTTCTGCCCGTTTGATGGCGTGGCTTTCGCGATCAGACTTAGATGTAATTCTGCCCCACGGAAACCCATAGGTTTGTTTGGTCTTGGGTGTCACACACACTTCAAACGAAGCACTTGTTTGGTGCCCTCTTCTGACTTTAAACCCGTTTTTCCACAATAATGGTGGGCAAGGGCCAGGGCCCTTTGTTGGATTGTCTTCCAGAACCCTCCGATTGCCCACTGCGGAAAGAGGGTAAGATGGTTCAGGAGTTAATTACTTGGTTAACCCCTTTTAAATCCCCAGTGAACCTCCTTGTAAACCCTGGTAACTACTGTGGGTGGACGAAAGCCTGCATTGCTTGGGATAGAGAGCCCCTCTAAAGTACTCGGATGAATTCCGTACCAACTGATGGAGGATTCTCTCCATCCGCAGTAGTACTACCGTGGATGGACAAAATCGTGCGCCACGTAAGCAACCCTGGAACGATTCGATTCCCTGCAAATGCCGCGGCAGAACGTTATGGGTTCAACCATGGTTTCAAGGTGGTGAGATGTCTGGATTTCGCAATCACCCACAGCTGTGGACCCACAGCTGTGGACCCACAGCTGTGGACCCACAGCCATGGACCCACAGTAGGCAAAACAAAGGGTGGTTATGTGAACCGCCATTGTTGTATTGGTGCCCTCACGGCCACTCCCTGTCCGTTTCCAACAAAAGATCTAGGGGCATCTTCCCCATTCTTTCCAGGCACCCTTCTTTCTACGCAACCACCCAAAACCCTGCAGAAACAGCCGGTTTTTTGAAAAGAACGATGGTGGAACAAGAAGGGGGAATGAACCAACCCCTGGAAAAGCGGCGCCACGCCCACAGCGTTTTTTGGCACACCTTGGGATTGGAAGGAGGGTACCGGTCGACTGAGGCTCAGCTTCTGAGAGCGGCAATGAGGTGATGGTGGTCATCCAGCCGCGGCCTGCGAGCAGAACGTGGGCGGTTGGGTGCGTGCTGCTTTGAGGGTGCCCTTGTTGGGGTTTGTTTAAATAAAGGCCAGCAGGAATTTCCGGGATTTTGGGGGTGCTCCTATTTTGACAGAGACTCATTTTCTCAAAAGTGGACTCAGCTGGGGTGGAAGATTGAAGGGCTTCCTTTGGTTTGCCTTGGGAGCCAAGTTCCCACCGCAAAAGCTTGAAATTCTGGCTGTGTCAACCCAAGCCGCTGCCTGAACTGCCATACGAGTTGTGTAGTTACGCTTGATGGTTTTTTGGGCCGGACCCAGTGGATGGATACCCGTTTCAAGGCAAGTAGGAGACATTCCTGTAGTGTCAAAGCCTCTGACCTGCCGTGGATGGACAAAAGCCTGCACCAGTTGGTAGCAACCGCTTTCTTTGACCCTGCAAAGGTGAAGCCTTGCGCAAGTCATGACAAGACAGGTTCAAACGTATGGCGCTTGGATGAAACATCCCAAGGAGGCTTCGGGGCATGTACATAGAGTCCGACTGTTTGCCGGGTCTAGAATTTGGGGCAACTTGTGTGATTGGCTTGGGTGCAGGGCATACACTCACACATCCAACAGCTTGTCAGTGAGACCTACTTGCCAGCTTCTCTGATGTTCAAGGGAATCCCCTTGAAGGTGACAGAATAGACATAGGCGTGGCCCATTTGGGTTCAGCTTTTCGGCAGCCACGAGCGAGTAACAACCAGAGCCTCAACAAGAGAGAGTAAACGGGCAAGCAAAACCGGGGTTGGACTGTTTTCAGCTTTTGGGTCAGGAGGCCTTACCTCACGGGTCCCTTTCACATACTTTTAGGGAGTGGGAATCCCCCTCCACACTTCAAAGTTCACTGTTCTTGGCAAGTGTTTTGTTGTTTTTTGTTTGGGTTCTGTTCATTTCTAGAAGGGGTCTGCAAAAAACAGTGTTTTTGCTACAGTACCATACCAAGGGTTGTGAAGTAAAGGGTGTAACATTGATCGACTCCTTTGTTGCAGCTTTTTCGACTGATACTGATTGCCTTCGTGCAAAAAAGAGGTGGGGACTGAAGTTGATTTGGGACTCGTTGGTCATAGTCATAGTGTGTGTGTGTGTGTTTTTAAGGGTGACTCTATTTTTGCCGCGATAGGGACGCCAAAAGGAACGCCACCGTTTTGGGGGGGGTCCCCTAAAACGAGACACACTCAGAAGTTTCGCTCGATTCCAGGACCTCGTGGGGTAGAAGCTATTTTCACGGAACGGTGTTCGTTTCTCAGGATTCTACTTGATCGCGAATCATGCAGATAATTCTGACTTAGCACTTTGGCTGCTTCGAAAACGCCTTCTCTGGATTACTTACACACTCGCTTGCAATCCGAACATCCAAGTTTAGATGTAAGCAAGGAGCAATAGTTGCTGTCATGTGACATGGGGCACCCTCTCCATATTGCCATCAGGAAGCGGGGGTTACGCACCAAGACTCCATATCGCTACAATCTTGGGCTTAATGGTCCCTTTTGAAGTGCTCTCGGATTCTTCATGAGGGCTGCAACAAATCCGGACCCGGCATGATACGGTTTTTACAATCTACTGCATATTTATTTTCCTCGTTCAAGCGTTTGAAACGGCGGAATAAAAATTGATCCCAGATACAGCAGGGAGCAATCCGCGCGTCTTAGACAAGTCCATCCCAAAAGGGTAGTAGCTTGTTGAATTTCTGATGCTCATCCCTTTGCGGCTAATTATTTGCTCATCCTTTTGCGGCTGTTGTTTTGGTGGTTCTTGCACCCTTTTGCCAGCTTCTTAGTTGTATCTCTGGGCTTGGACACTTTTTGGACCCTGAAAACCCCTATTTAGGGGCCCCCACTCCCATGCCATATCCAAGCGCCCCACACAAGAGATCCGTGGAGTTTTCGGAGTCCTGTACGGCACATCTCGCCTAGATCTTCCGTGTGGATCAACTTCATTCTGATGATCATCAAGCTGTGCGCTTCACACAAAGAACTCGCCGCTCTATTCGTTGTTTTTTTGTGTCCAAGCGTGCCACGGTCAACAGGCCCAGATGGGTTGGTAAAGATGCTCATCAACCCCGCCTTTCGGGATCCCTTGTTTCCAGTTGCCAGCCGACGAACTATGACTTCTGAGAGTGTGTGCGGTGCAATCAGCTTGATACAAGGCTGACTGTATGAAGTCATGAATGACGCCCGAGGTATGAGCCGCTGTTTGTTGTTTCATTTTCCACCTATTGGGGGCGTATTTTTGGGAAGCCAACGAGGGCATTGCACACGTTTGGCCGTGTTTGACATGACTCGAAGGCTCCTTCGAGTTGCACCCAATGCGAGGGTCGGCCCTCGCGTGGCGACTCAGTTGCCTGAGGATGCTGGTTGCAAAAGCGGGTCGCGAGGAAGGTGCGAGCTCACTCAAAACTGTTTTTCTGATGTCTTTGGGTTTTCAAAGCTCCCAACCTCATTCTGATCATTTAGGCCCAGAAAGGTGAACAGTCTTTTGGGGTGTACCTTGTTCTTACATTGAATTACCAAAGTATTCACCTGGAGGGTTCCATTTTTGGACTACTTTAGGGTAGACTTAAGCCCAGAGGTTCTCCTTTTGGGGAATTGCACCCCCAGGTTTAAGTCTACCTGGGGGGTAGTGCCGGAACCCGGGTTGAGCTTTCGCATGGCCCGAAAGCCCTTTTCCCGCTTCAAGGGGTGGGATCCAACTTGTGGAACCTGACAGGGGGTCCCTGTGCAAGGAACATGTTCTTGCAGGCCCTCCTACGTCAGGTTCCATGTCAATTGGTTGGAGGGTAACCGAGACAACCAGCCCCGGGTGCACTTCAAGTTCAAACCAAAAGGAAGTTACTGGACCCTTTAGCCACTAGAAACGGAATTCACCCAATGTTTTTGGCGGCAACAGCCCATTTGCCTGGGCAGTTTGAGGGCCCAGGTTGTTGAAAGGAGGGTGGTTTGAACCCCAAGCCACCCGCAGACCCTCCACACAAACCCTTTGCTTTCCCCAAACCAGGTTTTCAACAAGGGGGGTGGATAGAGTCACCCTCGGCAGGTACACCTTCCTTATTTCCGGCTCGCTGGCCGTCTTGGCCTCGTTGGTGGATTCCATTATTGCCTCAGCCTCAGACCCGCGGACGCGCCGATGTCTCTGAATCAATGTTTGGTAACGTGTCTTGAGCCACCGGGTGGTTGAAGGCCAGAAAGGGACAAGGTGCAGCTCCTGATTCTTTGCACAATGCTTGGGTAGTTTTCTTCAATACCGGGTTTTGATTGTGAGAGAAAAGCACACACACTGACACACACACACACATAAATTTATAAGAAACCCGCTGAGAATCTAACAGTGGAAGGTAAAGGGTGGCAGATAATCCACCTGACATGTTGGGCACCCCACAATCGACCAAGGGCCGGGCGGGGGGGGGGGGGAGGCAATAAGCTTTCGGGCAACTTCCTGGACTTTAGTCACTTTTTTGGGGCTGGACCATTTTAGTGGCCAACAAAAAAAACCTACATGCATGGACTTGTTTTGCTCCAATCCACTCGATCGGAAGTGCGCCAGTCCGAAAGCCGGTTGGGTGCGCTTTGCTTTGGGGTGCTGCGGTTTTTTTCGATTGTTTGCTCAGGGATGGATATACGTGCATGCTGTTAACTCCCATAATTTCCATAATTGTCAGGGGGCGCCCCAATGCCAATCAGGCTAATAGTGACTAATAAGGCCGGTTTTGGGGGCTGATCGTTCCTTCGTGTGCTTTTTTTTTCTCGGGGGTCTCCTTTTTTTGTGGGACCCCTGGAATAATCATGACGAAGTTTCGTTCTAAAGTACCCCACACCCACCACTCACATCATTCAAGCTCTAGTAGAGATTGGTACCAACTGTCTAGCCCCGGCATTGAAACAACCCCCAAGGGTTCCTCTCGATTGTTGCGGGGTTCCTCGTGTCTTTTTTGGCCAACTTTCTCATGAGAGCCGTGAAAAGGACCTGCCTTCCCTTACGGCAAAAAACAAATGCAACGCCTGATAGATAGCTAGATACATGCGCACCGGCTTTGGCCGGCGGTGCCGTTTCCTGCGGCTTCGCCCTGGCCTCCCCTCGTTTTTGTTTTCCGGCGCCCGAATCCGCTCGGCGCCGAGGACCTGCTGGGCCAAGGAGCTTTGATGCCGGGGCCTGAACCCTTCAGGCCGGCCGATGGACTGCGACCGAACGGGAAACAACAACAGTTTGGGGGTTGCCACTGGTTTTTGGCAGGTGCCATTTTTGGGGCGAAAAAAGCGGAGGTGCCATTTTGGGTCAGGAAGAAAGGGAGAGCAATGAGAGCAACACGAGCTTGCCGTTTTGGGTTCCGAAGCCTATTGAGATAAACCAATTTGGAGTTCCAGGAGTTGGTGTTGGGGTCTCCAAGCGAACTGCCTTTTTAACCTGCTGGTTTTTCCTTTGTGGCTTCCATTTTTTGTTGTTGCCAGTTTCCCAAACAGTGATCACCTTTTACTTTCAGGTCCTTTGGGCAACTGAGTCCCAGCCAGATGCCCCTTTGCCTTTCTGCCGGTCTGTTATTTTGCCGTGCTGCGTGGTTGCCTTGTTCATGCCCAGCAGGGTGTTGAAATCTCGTTGATGCAACAATCATCAACAATCTGTCAGATCTGTCAGTGACGTGACTGTGACCTGAAGTCATTGCATACCATGAATGTTTATGAGGGAACCACCTCAAAAGTGGTTGGTGGACATGACTCCCACCTACATCATGTCCACCAAAGGGGCCCTGTTAGCAAACCCTTAAACAGCCGATGTTTCTGGCGAAGTTGTATGGTTCTTGACACAGTCTGCGCGCTGAAACCCACCAGAAATCCATCATGTTGTCTATAACAACCCCGAGGTAGGGGCTGATGAAGCGTGTTTACAGATAGGACTAACAGGGACAAACTTGGAATCACATTCCGAGTCACTGATGCAAGCGAGGTTTGCTTTGTCCTTTGTTTCAGGGGGGAGGAAATGTATGACCTTCCACAAGTGTACTTGGAGTCTCCCACTCTTTAAACATAGGGTCATTACCCAACGGCGTTGCCCCCGTGTTTATGGGTTGGAGACTCCAGTTAGACATCCTGCCCGGTTCCATCGGAAGCTGCGACATGGATTACATATTTCTAGATCTTGGCAACCTGGTAAAATGCAACTTGCGCGAGGATTTACTTGTATATAGTTAACCGAGGGAACCACCCGGCATAAAATCCAAAATGAAAATAGCTGGTTTATCGGTTTCCTACTATATGGGTAACTGGCCACTGGTTTCATTGGTGAAGACCCAAAGTTGGGTTTTCTCCTTGCGATGAAAACCCGCTCCACTGTGTTCAGTTCCACGCACGCAACGCGCGCGATCTGGCGACGAAAGATCACTGCACAACTTCTTGGAAGCCCTCCAACCAGCGTAACGAGACCCCCAAGTGCTTCAGCAGGTCTGTTTCATACAAAGGGCTACCAAGTCTCTGAAAGTACTACGAGGTCCTAAACATATAAAATCGGATTGTGGGGTTGCTTTTCTACCAAATTGAGTCATGGTTCTAGCAACATGTATGTATTTTGCGCCTCATATCATGGCTGGCGACCAAATCGCCCCTTCGACTTGCAAACAAATTGCTTTTCTCTAACGACCTGTTGCTTCTTCGGTGGCTTGGAGCAACTCAGGTACCCTCGCTTTTTTATGTCCGCATTCCCCTCGCATTGATAAATAGCCCATGTGAATGAGCCATATGTGTATCCAACTCCACAATGTCACTTCATGGCTGAAAGTACAGGCTTGTTCTGGTACGTTTCTGCCAAGCCTGGTCATCCTGGCAAAACGTGTTTTCCTGATTTCGCCCCTCATTTTCCCCTCATACTCCCGCGGAATGATTTCGCCTCGCACATCCCCCCGGTTTTTTACTGGCCTCATGTTTCTACCAAGTAGTACGTACGTTTTACAGAGAAACCACCAACCAGGAACTTTGGCTTCGACCCCCAGAAGTGGTCAACTTCATGAGCATAGGTGTCCTTTTGATCGCTTAGTTTGGTTTAAAATAGATGGGTTCCACCTGCTTGGGTTTAGCTTTCCATTCACCGGGGACACCTATCTATTTCTTTATTCAAAAGGGTCACCTATGCATTTGGGTGTGTCGACTTTTAGGGCAACCATGGCAACCCGTTTAAAAAGCAAAAAAAACCAAAAACGGACACCTCACCCCCAGTGTTCGTCCTCGCTTCCGGTTCGGTTCCGAGGCTCACCAGCGCTTTGGCGCGGAAGAGCGGGCATGAGGAGTACCCGGTGGGCCGCGGGCGCCTGGAGCCGGTGGGCGCCGGGGACCCGGTAAAAGGCGCGCTTCGGGCGCCTTTTCGGCCCGTGGCGCGTTTCGGGATCGACTCGCCACAAGCTTCCATTGGCTGGACCTTCATTCGTTGCGTAAATTTGTGTCCCTTGGGTGTTTCGTAGCATGAATTTGCTAATCCGGCGTTTTTCGGGGGAACGGGCGCAAATTTGGATTCGAGCATTTTTGGCTATTGCGGCGGCTTCTCTCTTCTCACATAGTTTGTTGCGCGGAAACGTGGAAAAAGTACCCGCAAAACGGGCATATCCGCAAAACGGGCGCAAATACCCGCAAAACGGGTGCACATACCCGCAAAACAAGCTCAAATCCAAATCATGTAGCAATTGGTATTTGCAAGATTCTGTCCAGGCAGGTTAAGCAAACGGAGGTAGGGTCAGCCAAGCCACTAGGGTAAAGATCACCGAACAGGGGACTTGGTGGGATAGAACTGAACGATTACCGAGACAACTTATTAACTTGGCAAATCGAACGCCCAAGTAGGCGGCGGCTCAAGGTTTTTTGGGGGGTTGTTTGTTTTTCGTTCGTCGAGAGCCTCACCAATTTTCGGGGTGTACCTTTTTTTTGAGTTGGTACCATGTTGGGCTTGGATGAAAAGGGAAACCGTATTACAGCATTGCATTTTGTCGACCTTTTAACCTTTTGGTTTTGTCGTTTCGGCTTGTTGTTAGTCGAGGTCCCATGTAGACCCTGTACATTCAGGCCCTTTCAGATCAACATATCCTGTGTTCGTATGTCCCTCAGGTGGGTTGTATGTGGGGCAACTCCTGCTTGGGGACTTACTCGGTAAATCCTGATAGTCCTTTCCTTTGGGCAGGGTGATGTTCTGCTATGTTGACTGTCGAGGTTGGGTTTAGAGCTCCTGGTTGGTTGTTTTCATTGAACCTACCATTAGGTAACGTTGGCTATCTTAGCTTACTTTCTGGGTATTTCTACACTTAAACTTCCAACTCCGTGTACGATTTCGACAAGGGTTCAAGCCGGTTTGGACGGTATCCTCCACTTAGAGATCATGAAGTCAGGAGATCCATTTTTGGGACCCTAGCCTCTTTTTGGGGGAGTAAGCAAATGGACAAACCGGGTCAGGACCCGTCTTTTTTTGACGGAACGGCTTCATCCCTACATCCCACTTCGCGGAAGCTTCACTTCGGACACCAAAGGGGACTACCATGGCTTGAAGGTCTCAACCCCGCACCCAAAGTGTGTCCCAGGTTTCTTTGGAGAGCCTCAGCGAACCTCAAGGGTACCGACTCCGAAAAACGTCAGGTCCCCCCCAAACTGGAGGTTTCTTTTTCTACATCGGCTTCCCCCCAAACAACCCGGCCCCTTTCGGGTTTCCATGTCAAAGAACACATTTCTCGAGACGCGGCCGCCCCCAAAATCCGTTGGGGCGCTTGGGTGGGCCGGCCCCGGGCTGAGGTCATGATTTGCGCGGTGGTCATGGGTATGGCCTCCATGGAGGTCGTGCGAATTTCGCTTCGCTCGCTGGGCGGTTTTAGGAGCCCAGAACCCTAAGAGGGGTAGACCAAGCTCAGGCCCCACAATAAAGGTCAGAAGCGGATACTGGCAGACATGTAGTTTCAGACTGGTGAATTATTGTAGTTTATCCTGCAGGCTTAATTACGTGGTGTGTACATTCTTATACGCGCTTGCATGCTTGTATTACATTCTGAACATTCTGTGAAATATATTTGGGGGTGGCTTTTTTAGGGGACCCTTTTCAGGAAGTCAAAAGTTGGGGACAACACCCCCAAACGCAAAGAAACATCAAGTGTTGTTTGTTTGGGAAGAAGGTTTGTGTGTTGGTCTGGTTAGTCACACAGCAAAACCCCAAACCCGGACAAGATACAAACCAACAGACAAAATAAACACATGTTAGTGTGTTGTTTTTCTTTTTCTACCATCACGTATTGTTTTTGGTGGAAAGACCTAGGCTTTACAGCCCCCCAGAAAAGGTTCTTAGTTCTTAGAACCTTAGGGCTTCTAGTTGAACAGTTCTGGGAACCTTTCAGAGGGAGTTGTCTCTCCTATGTTTACAGGGACCCGGTTGCTTCGATGTGTTATCCAGAATCTGCAACCAAGGGTGCAGGCTGGACGCTTGTTCAGCCATCAAAGAATCGCTTGTCCGTTCTGTAGGCCCCCAGCGTTAGGAACATGTTTAGCAAGTTCGCCGTTGGCCTTTTTATTTTTTTTCGGGCTATCCTCTCTTTTACTCACACACATGAAACTTGTTGAGCGAAGCAGCCTTGACTGGCAACCAAGTTGTTTTTTGTGGCAGCAAACACATGGAAGTTCTTTTGTACAAACACAAACTCACCAAACAGGGGCAGCACGAGCTCGGGCTGTATGATGATATTGTACCGGGGCAACCCTTTTTCCCGGCTGGTGAAGTATAGTGCGGTCATGGAATTTCGATGTTGGATCTTGGAGCAGCTCAAGGATTTCTAGCGAGCCAAAGCGTTCTTGTCAACAAGGCACAAAGCGATCAGCGCCCTGTTGCCAAACAAGACGTATAAAGTACCGTTTTTGGACCCCCTTGAGTGGGAACATGAGCCCCTTGTTGAATTTAGTCGGGGGTGTCCCAATTGCGTTACTTGGGACCCCCTTTTATTCGTCAGATGGGTTCTATAGATTCTATACTTAGACCCGGGGGCAACTTCTAGACATGCGGTGCCCATTTCTCGTATTTGAAGGGGTTTCCCTTTAAACTCAAGCAACAAAAGAGGCTACCCCTTTTTCCCCAAAATCCACTGGGACCCAATCTGGGAGGGAGGAACTTTTGGCGCTTTCAATTTGGTTTCCTGAAGGAGAGCTCACCCTGTGGGTTTCCTGTCTCAAGCATCCAAACCAGGGTGACACGCAGACACACTCTGGGTGGACAAAATCCAATTTGCACCACTTGGAGCAGATGAAGGCCTGTAAACCATGGGATCAACTACCTAACCGGTGCGAAATGGAGTTTGTAACTCCCCACTGTATCATTGGCGGAAGCGTTTTGTGCCAGGTGATTAGCCAGTCCAAGCCTCGGCTAGTGGCTTGCTTGTTTGAGGCCCGCAAAGTAGACGACACATGACGACGCTGTTGGCTTTGGCAACCTTGTCTTGGGCACTGTTTGTTGCCTGGGCCTTTTAATCGTTGCTAGATAGACATTGTCACAAGACATCATCAACACCACCACCGTCATCAGCGTCACCGTCACCGTCGCCATCATGTTGTATGACTGCAACGCATGTGATGTTTGCTTCACCTTCAATTCCGCGAACATAGGTGAGCTTGCAGTACATTCCTCGTGCATCAACCGACTGGGCGGTGGCCGGCGCCTGCTGTATGTCCTCCCAAGTGGTTGGTGGACATGAACATCCCCACTTAAATCATGGTCAAGGTCACACCGTCACACCCATATGTGGGAGAGTGTTGCGCAAGGGTACCATGTGTTGGTTGCTTCAACAAGGAATTCAAAAGGACAGCTACCATGTTGGGAGTCCGCCCTAAAAAAAAGAGATCAATGTTCCTGGCCCCAAATTTTAAGAGGACCATGGGTAACTTTTTCCAGGTGGTGACAGTCGAATCCTTTTTTGGTGGTTTCCCTAATGAGGTCAGGCGCTGGGTGAACAAGGGGGAGCCAACTGCGGTTTCTGACTTTGACCCCCAGAAACGGTCAAAGACCACAAACAAACAGAGAATGGGGTCATTGAGGTCCTTCTTGCGGCTGCTGACGTTTTGGGGTCGAAGCGATGCTCCTTCGGCCGTCGGGCAGCCTGGGCGTGCGTCCGGCGACCCGCACTGAACCCGAACTGTACAAGGTTCATTTGAGTGTTTGTGTGTGTGTGTGGGTGTTTCTGAGGTTGAGGTTGGTCGAAAGGGACAAGGAAAGCCTGATCCTTTTTTTTCCTTCCTGTTTTGACACACAGTACCCAGTTGCTTGGGGGTTCACGGTGTTTTTTCTCCGTGGATGGATAATATCCTGCACCAGTTCCTTCCCTGGTGCAAATATTTCTCTATTTGCAGTATTGAACATGAATATCCAGATGCGGGGGTGCTGAGCACCAATAGTGGTTTGAACATTCTAGGGGGAAGTTGTTCATTGAAGGGTTCCCTATATTTACCTGTTGGCTTCAGCACTGCTTCAGCATTACCTTTTGGGCCAGTTTGAAGCGAGCTTCCTTTTGGGTGACGTTTTTGTTCAGGCGGAATATAGGGACCCTGCCCGGTTTAAACCACATTTTGTCGGTCAAGCTGGTCCGAATGGTCTTTCCAGAGATCCAACATTTCCTCAGAACTACACATCTCACGGAAACGGCCTTAAAAGCCATGGATATTTCTGTAGCCCTTCCTCAACAACATATTCTACCCGAGAACTTTGGTTTCCATTCCTTTGGTTGCTCACATGGTGAAGTTCTAGCCTGTCGCCTAGATTGCCTTCTATTCATTGCAACCTGAGCAAGCCTCCTTGATTTGTTGGCCCCTTACGTGAAACCACTGCAAGACAAAGTACCCTTTCTGGAAACCCCCCCGTGAAGGCCGCACGAAGTGTCACCGAAGGCCACAAAGAGTCGCCCCCCCCCCCCCCCCCCACTTTTTGCAAACTGATGAATGGCCGAGTTGCCGGTTTGTTGGAGAGCATTCGCGTGCAGCTTTGCTTCAAACATGCTATCCAGGGATACCCTCATCATGTGTTTCGGTGGAAACGCCCAAAAGGCTTGTTCAGTGGCCCCTTTTCCTTGGTGGGCTCACCACTTAATCACCACTGTAACATGGAACCATCCCATCTCCTTTCAGGAAGCCTTACTTTATGGGTTCCATGGCTAGTTTGTAGGGGAGTAAAATGGTCAACCCGCCAGAATGTGCTTGTTCTGTCCGTTTTATGCAACATGCACTTACAGGTGTTGAAGTCAATTTGGGGAGAAGCCACATGTTCTTTTTCGGACGCCCATCAGTCCGGTGTTTAAGACATGCACTGACAGGTGAAGTGATTTTGGGGAGAACTCACACATGGAACGGTGGGGCAGCTTTCATGTTCTTCTTGCATGTTCTCAAAAGAACATGTGGCCATGGGTCAAAAGCCCGTACCCCCAGTGCACATCCCAATCCCCACGAAGATAAACTAAAATGGGTGGTGCACCTACCCCAAAATGGGATGTTATTGGTTTTGACCCACAGCCATATCAGACAGCACGGGCCGCCCATAGCGACCTCAGTGAGGGAGGCAACGGACCAGGTGACCACTGGAGCCTCACCATTTTCGGCCTGACTATGGTTTCATTTGTCAAAAGAACATGTAAAAAAAGCTGTTGGTTTCAAAAGGAAACTATAACTACTGGCGACTACAGGACATGTGTTTTGCTTTTGTGTGTTGTTTTACCGGGGGGCGTATTCACACAAGGAGGCATTGGAGCTATTGGACCTTCGGTCGGCCTCGAAATTCTATCGGACCATTGAAGCCCTCGCCTGACCGAACCCGGGCGATCGCAGAAAGCACCCGCCGAAAAGGGTGGCAAAGTGGGGATTTATTCTATATTTGGATTGCGTTTTTGAATACCCAAAGGAAGCCTCGCATTTTTGGGGCCCCCTGTGTGTCAAAGTAGTTGTTCAAAATGGTACTCTGGTCGATGTGTTGCATGTGCTCCCAGCTTCTTCTTTTTTTAGAATGGTCCTTTTAATGCATCTCGGGGAGACACCTTGATAGGACAGTAGTCGCTCGGTGTCGCAAACGTCCACGTTTTCCAGGCTCTCACCGTCCACGCAGCGTGCAGCTCAGATCTGAGCAACTGCGGCAGCTCAGAGGTTACATTTTGATAGCCGGGTAAACCACTTTTTGACTGCCAGGTAGGCAACCCCGGAAAACCCCTACGGGCTTAAATAATTTGAATGGGGTCGTTGGGTACTTCAAGACCAGTTTTAGTCACAGTCCTAGAATCTTAGAAGCAAACTACTAGTGAGCTGGAGAATGACCGCCTCGTGGAGGCCGGGGCTAGGTTGGCAACCAAGATTGAGGAGCTCAACCAGTCTGCTTTCCAGCATTTGAGGGACCTGGCGCAGAAGGTGACAGATCTGCTAAAAGAAAAGTTCAGCCTGGAGCAAGCGCTCCTAGCAGCTGCTGCCCAAGGCCAAGCAGCCTTTGCCATCTGGCGCACACAGGTGCAAGTTTTCAAGCAACCTGATCTAAGGACAGCTATGATCCCCACTTGTGCTTGGTTGGTCTCAGAAGCCCCCTTCACAACCTTCTTTCTTGATGGTTAGTGGTGAAATCCTCATCTTCCCGCAGGATAAACGCCCGCTGCGTGCATGACGTGACTCATGCCGACGTCGTGAAAAGCCTTTGGGGCCCAGAAAGCCATAAGGAACCCCAGAGCTCTCAACTACCTACCCTTCTTGTACCTACCCCCTTAGGCATTCCATAAGTTGTGTGGATGTTGTAAGCTCCAACTCCCCGTCTTGCCTTGCCCTCACCAGCGCCCTGGCTCCCGCGGGGTCAAAGACCAAGTACTGCTTGGATTTGGACGGTTTGCAACACACACACACACCCAAGGCAAAGTCAGCGGTGGGAACAATCACCTGCACATCGCCATAGATCCGGGCGATGTCTGGTTTCAGTCTGTTTCTAGTCATGCAGCGCGACCTTTTCTTTCCGAAGGACACCCTATAGGGCAAGAGACCAGCGGGAAGCCTATGTACTCCCTCATTTTGTTCCAGAGATGTTGAAGGCCCCCTCCTTCATGAGAGTGATTTACAATTTATAATTCTGGATGACAATTGTCTCCGCACTACAAACACAGTCTTTGTCCACACTTTTAGGGCTCAGCATATTTTTGCCCCAAACAACATCAGGGGTAGTCTTGCAACAAACAGCATGGGTTGTTTCAAAATGGTGGTTTCCTGTTGGTTTCCCTTTCAACCTCAAACCGGGGTTTCCAACTAACAGAAGGGGCCACACTCGTACGGAGGCTGCGACAAAGCGCGACTTCCGAGGCTTTCTTGCTGGTGGGCGTCATTTTCCTCAAGGCGTGCTGGTTGCTTGGATCGGCTTCCACTCCGTTCTTTGGGTGGCTCCAAGCCGCCGAATCGGTGGTTTGGTGGGGAGGTTCCCATTTACCCTCTACAAGCGGTTCTACTCCCTCCAATCCAAACCACCATTTAAGGGAAACCTGAATGAAGTTGGGCTTTCAAGGGCCAACCGCGAAAGCCCGGTCAATGGGCGTGTTTTTTTTGAGGATTGGTTGAACCCAGCCAACTGGGGGGGGGGCTCAAGTTGCACTACTGCTCTTATACACAGCTTAGAGTGACTCCCAACCCATGAAAAAGCTTGTTTCTGCTCGGGGACTCTTCCCTACACCAGGTTGAAAGTAGTTGGTACTAGGAACCGGTCTCTCTCGGTACGTACGTAAGAGGATCTTTGTTTGTAAGGCGGTTGAAGAATCTGCTACTGTCACTAGTCCCTCTCTGTCCGCAAGGGGTAACTGCACCGTCTACTTTCACCCAACTCCAATGACCCAGGTTGGTCTGTGTCAAAAAAGGGGTTCCCTCAAAATAACGTAATTCTGTGTAATTTCTAGCGCACAATGGTTTCCCATGGTTTCAACTTGGCGCAGGATTTCGTTTATCCACTGTAGGGTTCCCCTGAAATTGGTTTGCTTTTGGATTCCCTTGAAATACAACCAGGGCGTCAACCATTTCGAGCTCAGCTCCTTCATAGCTCAAGCATTGGCGTTGGAATCTGGCTGATTCTTTTCCCCGTGGGCCGCAACCCGTACGATTCTTCGGCCCATGGGTTCATCCCATGTTGATGGTGCCAATGCCTTCTGTTCTGGCTTCCAATAAACCTTACTCAGATTGGAATGGCAATGTGAACGGGGCTTGTGTGGAACACAAACACAAGCACGAACACAATCACGAGCACAAACACACACACACACACAAGCGGTCGGGGAGTTGCGACTTGTTGCATGTTCCAAGTTCCGGGAGCCAAAGCCCAAGGCTAGAAACTGAGCCAAGGGCGTGCTTCGCTTCAGCCTTTGGCCTCTGTGCCAGCAACTTCCAAGCAACCTGCTTGAGTCGTATGTAAATGCGGGGACGTTCGTGGGTGGAACCCAGCTTTGAAGCTCTGGTTGATTTTGATGGATCCAAACGAAGCTTCGTCCCATTCCGCAACAAACGCACTGGAAAACCCGCATTTGGCCAGCTTCTGCTGGCACCTGGCACCGTTTGGTTTCGTCCAGTTATTTTTTTCGACAGGGATCCCCTGTAAACCCAGTCAACAAAAAAACGGGGCCCCTTTTTTCCCAGACACGGGGGGGAGGGAGGGCTGCCTTTAAGGGAAAACTCGACAAGTGGAAAACTAAAGGACAAGAAAACAAATGATATTTTGCATTTTTTGTGAGATACCAGAAACGGGTGCGCCGTTTTTTGCTCCATGGATGGGGTTTAGGCCATCGGTTCGAATCAGGCTGGCTTGTGGCATTGGTGCGCCGGCGTTTATCGCCGCACTCAGCAGGAAGCCGTCAAGGCTGATGGGATTGAATGGGTGTGTCTCAAAATGAGCCACAATCAAAACCTGGCTAGATGCAGGCTATTCAGGGACAGTTCCAACCAGAAATGGGTGCATCCGCCTTGGTAACTCTTCACATGGTTTTGGGTTCACCATTTTGGTACCAGGTTTTGATTATGTTTCAACATGGGTGTCTTTTGTTGAGGGTACCACACAGTCCAGTGCAGTAAGATAGTACCATGTCAAGCCCTAGTTTCTTGCTTGCGAAGGGCTCCCAAGACAGTCCTTCAATTATAGCACAATAATGGAGTAAACCACCTGCCAACTGGTGCGACCGCAGTATCAGCAGAAAGAGGCGCCACCTTCCTTTTGTTGCCGCTTTCTTTTTCTCAAGAGGCGAAACCAAAACCCAAGTGAGCATCGCCCAGTTAACCGATTCCTAATAGCCATATTTGTAGGTGGTTCCACTACCTGGTTAATGGGGTTAATAGTATAACCATTACATAAATATATCTATCCAATGTTAGTAGAGCCAAAAGTCAGCTCGGGTTTTGACCGTTTGCTGCAGTGTGTGTGTGTGTGTGCGCGTGACACGCTTCTTGATGGTTTTTGTACGGAGGAACAAAAACGGGGGCAGCGGGCGGGAACACTTCTGACACGTTTCGCGCTGCTCCGAGTTTAGGTGTCCTTGTTGGTTGTTTTGGTTAAGAAATTAGATTTCCAATCAACCGGAAACCAGAAAACATGGGTTGGTCATCAAACAAAAATGGTCAACCAGAAAGCAGAATAAAACCTGAAAATTGGATGGCCATCAATAATTTTGGGTTTAAGATTTTCAGGTTGGTTCCATCAGCAACCAGGGCCATCTATTTTCCAAGGATGCCGGCCCCTTCAGAGCCTGAAGATGGCCAAAGTCCTTGGTACCATTTCGGGACCCGGCCGGGGCGGCACAACCACGAAAACCGGTCTCACCCAACATGAGGGCTTAGCCAGTTAAGGGTGCAAGTACCCCTTGTTGCATGGTTGTCAACCCACTTTTGGGGTATGTGGATGTGTTTTTCCGCCAGAAAAATCACCGAGAACAGTGGGTGTCCTTTTGGTTTCCCTTTAAAACAAGCCAAAAGAGGGTACCCTCAAAAGGACAGACCCATGTGCAGACACCCCTGAGTTGGCGCGGCCTCGGGAGGCCATCGCCCAAGACAACCTCAACGACGTCATCTCCAACATCGCTGCGCTGATTGCTCCTGAGGCCCACGAGCTCAAGGGAGGCCCGTGTCTAACTCGCGGCTGTTGGGACCTCAAACCTTCAGGCGTCCTCCGAGCTTTTGAGTCTTTCTTCGGGTTTTGTGGTAGTTTTCATTTCACCCACAGGTTAAACGCTTAACCATTGATCTGAGGACAGCCCGGAAAGGTAGAAGGTCAAAAGGCAGGTGAGTTGTGGGGTTGGAAAAAGACAAAGTCCCCGGTGCCATTCGATGGGTGTGTGTGTAAAAGGCAAGCGAGTTGTGGGGTTGGAAAAAGATAAAGTCCCCGGTGCCATTCGATGGGTGTGTGTGTGTGTGCACTTTCTTTGCGCGACCCCGTTGTTTGAGTGGGTCGAAAGGGAAGCCAAAAAGACCAAACATATGTTTGGTCTGCCTCTTCTCGCACATGCTCGGATGTTGCACATGAAATTGACAGAACATATTCCGATTTGCTGGGTGTTTGTTGTTTCCTGGTTGCAATGAATAGGGAATCATTCGTATCCTTGCAGTATGAGTTGATGAATCGGGCGGCCTGGACCAATTACGGCTCAGGGCAGCTGACATGTGATGTTGTGATGCAGTTGGTTGAACAAGATGGCACCAGGGCTGCGAAGGAGGCCTGCGCCCACCGCAAGGGGGCAGCAGCGGTGACCAAACAGGTCAGTGGAATACCCAAACGAGGTCAACAAGACAGCCCAGTGGCGAGGTTCTACAGTAAGACTTGCCAGGGGCACCTGGATGATGGCGCAAGCCTTTTGTCGCAGACTTTGAAGCATTCCCATGCTTGAGTTGTTTCGCAACTTGTTTAGTACTCGTGTACCCCTAACAATAAACGGCCCCTAATAATAAAACGGCCCCTAATAATAAGCTGGTCCCCGAGACCCGAACAATAAAATTCCTCCCGGATTCTACCACAGTACCGCAAGTAGGCCCTCGAGTAGGTTCCCTTCAATTCTAAAATTAGCATTCCCGGATTTGGGATTCTCACAAGTAAATTTTCTTGGGGGGACCTTTATTATTGGGAAGAGGTGGTTGCTCGACGCCTAGTAGCTTAGTCTGCTACTTGTTAGCACGTTTGTCCTTTCCCTTGTTGGAAAAGCGTGTGTCCGTGTGTATTTCCCACTAGTCAACAAGACTTAGACTTGCTGGCCTTGAAGTCTGCCACGGTCTCCTGCGATGCTTGGATTACTAGCGCACGGACCATACCTTTGGTGCCTTTTGCCAAGGGATGTTAGAACTGAATAACTTTTTGCCAACTAAATGTTAAACTCCTAGATAAACCATAACACCACTACCATTACTGGTGGGGTTTTCCGTATCAAACCACTAAAAGTGAGTCACTTTTCGCAGGGCTTCGCAGATTTTGCCACCGAGATACGCCAATCACCGGAAGCTCTTGAGCGCTTGGCCGGGCCGGTTGAGAGAATGGAGCTGGGGAGCCCTGAGCCTGGTTCTTCGAGCTCTTCATGGGACCTGGGGAGCAGGGAGGGGGGGAGGAGCCCAAATACTAAATAAGGCCTTATTAAGGGCTTATTTAGGGCTTATTTGGGCTCCCACCCCCCCCCCTCTCCTCCCTCCCCCCAAGCCGCCATAAGCTTTGCTGCGCAGAGAAGAGGCTTGAAGAGAGAAGGATGGAACAAAGCGCTCTACTGCTCTTCTTCAACAAGCGGCGAGATTGACGGTGCAATCGGATCAGCCTGGTTTTGGGCATACTCACGATTTCTCATGGATATCGGCGGGGTGCTTGAAGCTCAGTCAAGCTTGGCTGAAGGCTGCGCCTGTCACGAAGAACTTGGCAGACATAAGCCAGCGGCTGTGCGCAAGGCCCTGCTGGCCAGACGCCTGAAAGCGTTGCCAAGGCCGAAGCTGAAGCAGGTCAGCCCGGCACAGCACCCCTATGCCCTCTGAGGCGCAGCGCGGAACTCGCCTGTAGCACGATTGACTCCCTGGCAGACTCTCAATCAAGGGTAATGTACACAGCATGTTGGACTCATGATGGCATCTTTCTGTTTTGCGTGTCGTGGTGACTCCAGGCCCAGGAAGAATACCCCGAACAAAGATGACCGCATAAGAACAAAGTGCACCAGGGTCAAAATCCCCTGGAATTAAATTCAACTCCAAGTATGGAGGGGGCCGGTTGGCGGACTGGATTTAGCTATTTCGATTTGCAACCAAACACCTTGGTTCCAACCACAAACATGATGCACCCCTTGAAAAACCCAAACTCGAAATGGCCAAGCCGGTGAAACCCCTTCGTTTCGGTAGCAAGCCGCTTTAAAACAACCGCCAACCACCATGCTCTTTGGCTTCCCGTGGTTTAAAAATGCTCAGCTAAAGCCCGTTTCCTCTGGTTCCCTTTTGTTTTTTTTCGCCCAAACAAGCCGGGGCCGCCACAACAACAGATGGTTTCCTCACAAAAGAGAACAAAACCACCCTTTGGGTGTTCCTTTGGTTTCCGGTTCCCCCCCTTCGAAAGAAAAACACAAAAACAAGTGTCCTTTTTCCCCAAAGAAAAAACACGCGGATCAACGTCAGAGACCAGCCGCTGTTGACAGATGGTGCTGCTGGGTCGCCAGCTCTGGGTGGTGGACCCCATGGCGGGCATCGGCATCTCCGCCCCTGCCTCGAGTCGATCCGAGGCGTCGGGAGCTCCCGGTTCAGGTGGGTTTTACCAGCTTTGGGTTTCTCAGAAGAAGAAGCCTTTAAACTCCCAACGGTTGGCTTCTCAGCAGAAAAACAGTTGGTTTTTAAGAACATCTAGTTCCGGAGATCGGCACGAACTCTCAGAACATCTAGTTTTCTCAGGACAAGATCTGCTAGTTTTGCTTTAAACTCAATCAACAATTATTCACTTTTGTTGGCATGTTTGGAACGGTTTTTTAGTTGTTTGGTTCTATGCTTTTTGAGTAGGCTGCAAAGAAACAGGCAGTTTTTACAAGCCCATAACTCTTGGAAAGACTCAACAAATTCAACAAATATGTCCGATGGCCTTTCCGAATCTGTGGACTCCGCTCCGAGCTTTTCCCCACAAGTGGCGGGGGAAGGGTCTCTTTTTGTCTCATTTCCTGAGTTCGTGGACTTCATTCATGTTTTGGGAAGACCTTTTCAGTGGCACGCAAGAAGTGCTGATTGCCAGCCCACTCAGGAAATCAGTTGTTTGAAGCACCTTGTTTGCTTTGCTTTGCTTGGGATACCACTTGGGTTTGCCCAGGATAGGGCCTTTGATCGGCACCAATGCTGTTCCATTTTCTTTTGAAGGGTTTCAGTGGCACCAACTCTTGTTCCAACTACCAGGTGTTTCCCATTGTGTCCCGCTTGTTTAGTTGGTTTCCCACTGTTAAAATTTGTCAACACTTCCCCAAAACGAGTGAACCCCAGCAAGGGTTCCAATTCTTTCGACGGCCACCGAACCGGGACATCTCAAAGTTCGATTCGCATCCCAGACACAGTCGGTTGCGAGCCAACTTTTGCCCATGTTTTATCGCTCAGGGAAAGAAGCAACCCGCCAAACTTAGCAATGGAGAGACATGAAAAGAGAGACACCCAAAGAAAGAGTGCCATCTTTGGTTCCCACCACTCGGGTCTGGTTGCAGGGCCATGCTTCTGTTGTCCTGTTTCTGGGAGGGATTTTAGGCACCAAAGCTGCACCCTTGTTTATTTTCTTGCAGCGGTCCCATTAAATCAACGAAGCATTTTCCGCCATTAGACTGTACCCCAATATCTAGCCTTTGTTTTTGCCACTGATTTGGCAAAGCCAACTTCTTGTGGTTTTTGTTCACGGCTCCCTCATTTAGAGGCACCCCCATGTGTGCTACGGTCAAGACTCCGCTTTTGGTTAGGGTTGGTAGGGATGGTCAATGGTGATCAATTAGGGAGCCAAGCCAAGGGTCCTGCGGGCGGAGAACCCATGGTTGAAACCTATTCCTTGTTGCTAGTTACAGGGGAATCATCCGAAACCAGGGTTTCTTAGGTTTTGCCCATCCGCGGAATTATTTTCACCCAAGTGCACCTTCTCCTTCCAGGTTGCTGGCTGGAAGCACACGGGAGCACATGGATTTGTCTTGCACCATATCCGAGCTTTCGTTGCATATGTACAACAAGCCTGCAGCATTGTTAGATGCCTTGTGCTGAGCTGCTTTATGTTCCATATTTTTTTGCAAACCAAAGGACACCGCTGCCACAGAGAATCCTCGGTCCCGCTTTCCCTCATTTCGAGACATGCGGTTTTGGTGAAAGTAGCCAGTCGTTTGTGATCAACAACTTGGGAGGGACATGGGAGCCCTAACATGTCAACCGTGTCAAATGACCAGTCTGTTGATTCTGGGCAGAAGTGGAAATCGCAGATGCACACTTGAACTAACTTGTCAGAGACAACAGCTTGATGCCACATTTTGGCTCAAGCTGCCCTTCTTACTTGAACCTGTAAGTTGTGACAAAACTTCCCCTTAACTCCTCTCTGCCATGTCTTCCTCTCTGTTTGCCCCCAAGTACGCTGCGGACATCGCCTCGGCAAAGGTTCGCGCGGCTGATCCTGTCAGGCGATACCTGGCGAAGATTGTGAAGAAGGAGGATGAGGGATGGGCAGTTCTTGCCTCGGAGCCGGAGGACCGAGCGTCCTCCTCCGACCACTTCATGTCCGCGGCCGAGGACCTGGCCTTCACCGACGCGGAGCAGCTGCCCAAGCGCCCGCAGATCTCGGAGGACCAGGTGGACACCATGGAGGTTGAGGGGGCGGACAACCCCGCGGATGCGGACATGGCCGCCCCGCCGGCTGAGGGTGACGCCCGGGTGCCTTCGGCCCCGACAGGCTCCCCTCCCCCGGTGGAGGTGGCCGCGACTTCTTCCTCTTCGGCCGCTGCCCCCCTGGTTGGTGAGAGTGATGCCCGGGTGCCTTCGGCCCCGACAGGCACCTCGGCCATCCCGGGGGTCTTCGTTCGCACCCTTAAGGTGGCGGACGGCGTCTTCAAGGTGGATCCCAAGCAATGGGATGTGGTCCTGCCGGAGTTTGGCGCCACCTGCGCTACCCGCCTCAAGCGCATGGTGCTTGAGGAGGTCAAGCGCCTTCTCGCAGGGTTCAACTTGGAGCACATGACGCGGGGTGGCCTGGAGCGCATCGTGGAGGCGTTCTACCTCGCGAAGGTGAAGTACGCGCGCGTCTCAGGACGCCGGGCCAGAAGGTTGGACAGCGCAAGGGCCTGGGCTATGGTACGTTGGAGGACAGGCCGGTGGGGGCCGACCCCACTACCCTGATCTGCCCGCTTTGCGCCATGCCGTGGGTCAAGCTTGGTGCGAAGAAGTGCATGGGGTGCGGTAAGGTCACCCAGCCGGTGGACACCACGGAGCACTCCGCCACCCTGGAGGTCAATGGCCAGGAGTGGCAGCTCACGGTCACGGCGGATGGCAGCACCACTTGGACCATCGCCACGGGAATGGGGCCCCCCAAAGGACGAGAACGCCACCATGGACCAGAAGATGGCGGCGAGTGTCGACGTCAGCGAGCTGGCGCAGGCGCCGCTTCCGGCTGAGAATGAAGAGCAGACCTCCGCGGAGGCGGCCAGGGCCCAGAACCTGGCCAGGCAGAAGCAGGGCAGGACCCTCACCCCATCGAGACGGGGGTGTTCGAGCCCACCATACCCTGGAGGGAATTGAGCCGCGACGACTTCCACTCCCTCACGGAGAACTACCTGGCGGCCAGGGACATCATCTCGGAAGGCCGGAACCCCTTCCCGGCCGCCCTCTCCAGGAACTGCCGGATCTCGCCAGGGGCCAGCGCACGGTTGCCGTCGGCCCCCTGCGCAGGGAAGTGGCGCAAATGCCATCGGCCCTGGCACGCCTGCCCCCTCCCTGGATCCGCAGGACCCGGAGACGCAGCTGGCCGTCCTGCGCTGGATGATGACCAAGCGTGAGGGGGAGGTCGGGGCCGCTGGGTCCGCAGGGTCGGCCCTCTCCACGTCCCGGAGTGGGCCAAGGCCATGACCACGCCGGACCTGGAGATCCTGGAGCGGGGTACCCACCACCGCAACGGCGCCTCGGCGGGCCTGCCGTGGGCGCGCTACACGGTGGACGAGCTCAACCAGCAGGCCAGGGACGGCCAGCGCCCCTTCCCCAAAGAGGTGCAGGGCATCTTCTGGGCTCGCTGCCACTTGAAGCACGCGGACTACCACTGGGTCCGGCAGGTCACCACCTGGGACCTCCCCTCGCAAGCAGCTGTGGAGTGTGGGAGGCGCTCCCTCTCCTCCAGGCGGCAAAGGCCCCAAGAACGCCACAGCCTCCCAGAAGAAACTGGACGACTACCGCGTCATCAAGGAGGAGGCTCAGGACTTCCTGGAGAAGGAGGGCCTCCCCAAGCCGGTCCGGGCGGAGGAGTGGCGCATGGTCTACCGGGCAAGGCCTTCCTCACGGACACGCCGGCCGAGGTCATGGAGCTCCCCGTCTCCGACGTGGCGGACTCCAAGGAGATGATGATCAACAGGGCGGTCTGCGACGAGCGCATCACGATCCCCCTGCAACCGCTCCGCGACTTCCCGGAGGTCTACGCCAAGCTGATGGACCAGTGGTGGGTGGCTGCCGTCACCCCCGAGGACGCCCCGGCCGTCTACCGCAAGCTGGGCTACACCGACGCGGCCATCTCCCAGATGGGACCCCACCTCCCAGGGAGGCAGGGCGGGTGCCTTCAGCCCCGAGTCCCCCTCCCTGGGCGCACCACCCCCCCATCACGCCCTTCAACGTGAACAGCATCGTGTCCAAGGACTACAAGAAGCGGTACTTCACGAAGGACCAGCACGTGTTCTGGGCGCGGATGGAGTGCGGCTTGGTGCTCAGCAGCGTCACGCCCTGGGAGCATGGTGCCCAAGACCAAGGGCAAGTACTGCAAGGGCTTCTGGAAGGCGGGCCGTGGAGGCTGCAGATCCGCTCCGGGGGCGCCATCCTCCAGCTCATCTTGGACGAGCCCCCGGAGGCGCTCTACCACAAGTGGGTCCGAGAGCGCATCGAGTACTACCGGAGGGTGGAGCCCCGGGCGCCGTTGAGGGACGTCCCCTTGACGCACCACCGGGTGCCGCGGTTCCGCTTCGGGGCGGACGTCCAGACCGGCAACCTCAGCAATGCCATCTGGGAGATCATCCTGCGGAACCCGGAGGCGGCTGCGCTGCAGCATCGATGGCCTGCAGGAGCTGGCCACGGCGCCCCGCACTTCCATTCAGGACGCAGGTGCCATTTATGGCTCAGGTGATGGGCCAGAACAAGCTCACTGAGTTCATGCACCTCTTTGGGGACGTCCGTTTCCGCACTGTCAGGGCCCACTGCCTGGCATATGAGAACATGCGCAAGCTGGGCTTCACAAAGGTGCCCTGGGAGGCGGGAGATGTTCGCCAGCTCATGAACCGGCTGGGGACCCTCAAATGGCTGTCCAAGAAGCTGGGGCCCCTCAACGTGGCCGACAGCTTCAGGAGAAGAAGAAGGCGCTGCAGGACAGCCTTGTGGACACGTCAAGCCCCAGAAAAAGGCAGTGGTCCCCTCTCGGGAAGTGGTGTGGGCCTTGGAACAAGGAACGGAGGGGCGGGCGCAGTCCGCCCTTCCGGAAGCGTCCCGTGCAGCGGACCAATTCATTCTTGCCCTCGCCAGGTTCAACATTGCGTCCAGCGCACGCTTCAGCGACATCCAGCGCACCTCCCCAGCCAGCATCAAGCTCACTAGCAACACGGTGGAGTTCATGGCTTGGCAAACCAAGACCACCTCAGCAGTGACCATCAAGAAGAACCGGTCCCCCTGATTAGCCCGCTGTTCTCCTTCTCAGTTCAAAGACATGGACTACCTGCTGCCCACCGTCAACCAGGACCGCACGGGGTTCATCCCCAGGCCGGGGGCGGATCGGTCCCTCCGGTGGCTGAAGGACGCACTTCGGAGGCAGGGGGTCCAGGACTCCCTCGTCTCGCCTCTGACATGGCACTCCTTCCGGGTCTTCATGCCGGACTGCGCCTTCCAGGTCCACATACCCTGGGAGCAGCGGCAGTACCTGGGCAACTGGTTTGAGGAGTCCACAGCGGACGTCTACACCAGGGAGAAGCGGCATGTGGTCTGCTCTATATGGGACCAAGTCCTCAAAAAGGCCCCGAGCCTAGTCATGGCTGGAGGCCGTCCGGTTGGACCTTTCGCACGAGGATTGGAACCACCCGGTGGTGGAGCAGCCGATGTCACCGAAGGCCCTCTTCCAGGAGGACGCTCCGCCAAGCGCCAAGAGCAGCTGGGCTGAGGTCTCGACCCAGAAGGGAGACCCCGCCAGAATTCCGGCAGATGTGGCACCGCCCCCGAGGGGGCCCCTGCGAGCACCACCACCAAGAAGGGGGACCCCAAGAAGGCCACACTCCACTTGCTGGACACCGACGGAGTGGCGGTGGGATGTGGCTGGCAACCTACCCCGCATAAGGCCACCGAGCTCTCGCAGGACGACTATGCGGGGGAACCAGACGAGTACGCCAGCTGCGGACGCTGCTTCACGCACTTCAGCCTCCCGGACACCCTCTCCGACAAGGAGGCCATCATCCTTCCCCCTCCAGATCAGGGAGAGTGACCTTCTCCGGACCGCAGATATGCACTGGAGGGCCTGGAAAGGAGAGGGTCACCAAGGCACCTACGGACGCCCGTCCGTTGGTGTTGGGGACTGATGCGACCGTCCGTTGGTGTTGGCTGATGATCGGTCTGCATCAGTTTCATGAGTGGCAGGCCCATCAGAGGTGGACCTGCCCATCCTTTTGCTCCCAATTGGCACTATTTGGATTTTGCTTGCATGTGGTTGTCTTGTGCTTTCTTGATTGCATGCATTGCAGCAGTAGCGCGTCAGTGCTTTGCTATGAGAAGTTTGGGCAGAAGTGGAAATCGCAGATGCACACTTGAACTAACTTGTCAGAGACAACAGCTTGATGCCACATTTTGGCTCAAGCTGCCCTTCTTACTTGAACCTGTAAGTTGTGACAAAACCCGCCCACCCACACCATGGCTGCAGACCCGGCGACAATCGCGCCACCTGCTGCAGCACCAGCGGAGTTCGATGAGGACCTCTCCCGCCTCCACAAGGGGGTCCGGAACCTCCTGGTCCTCAAATCTATCCCCTGGTCGGTCCAGGCCCAGCTCTCCGCTCTCGCCACCAGGTGGGACACACCAGACAGAGCCCGGGCCAATGGACCAGACGAGCTCGGGTTTGCGCCAGACACCAATGTGTTCACGGCGGTGTCGTCCCGGCTTTTGGCGGCCCGCCTCTTCCAAGTGGTCATGGCGGCCCAACAGGCCATTGGGGTTGGCGCAACACCGGCGGCCCGAGGGAGCAGGTCTGGGTGGAACAGACCGGCGCCCCCAAGCCAAGACTCGCTCTTCAGGGCAGCGACCAGCTTCTCAAGCGGCAGTTCAAGTTCTGCGCAAAAGGGGAAATTGGGTTCATTCCCTACAAGTACCTGGTCAGCGCACTGCCGGAGTCAGGCGAGCGACCCTACCACAGCAAGCAAAGGATCACTGTGGATGGCTGGGAAAAGGAGGAGGAGATTGAGGAGCGGGGGGTTCCCCGCTCCCGCCAATCCTTGGAGAGGGTGTGGCTCTTTCTGGATCACTGAGGCCTGCGAACAATGGTGCGCCCAGGACCGACTGCGCACGGTTTCCTTTGACCAGTGCATGTTGGGGCAACTCGTTAAGAAGGCCACCACGGTGGCCACGAACCTGCATCTCCCCCAGTGGAATGAGCTTCGGTGCAACCACTCCGATCACCCAGGGTCTCTGAGTCTTCTCAGTTGAGTCGGTATGACGCAGGGACTGGTCCACGCACTTGGCAAGGCCCTAGGCCCAGACATGCCAGTTCCGGCACCCCACAACCAGAACAGGGGACCGGACACTGAGGGACCTTCAAGCAGGGGCCCAGAGGTCCACCAGAGGTGGACCTGCCCATCCTTTTGCTCCCAATTGGCACTAACCCGATCTACGGACAAAAGAGTGCGGAAGCATGAGAGTGACGGGTTGATGGGAGCATTTGCTTGTGGTTGGCATGTTTGGATTTTGCTTGCATTGTGGTTGTCTTGTGCTTTCTTGATTGCATGCATTGCAGCAGTAGCGCGTCAGTGCTTTGCTATGAGAAGTTAGGAGGAAATAAAGAAGGGGGGCCTCACAAAATGCCAGCCTTAAAAAGGGGACGAGCTTCAAATTGTCCATCTGCGGCAAAGACTCGTAGTTCTGACTGCTGTTGCCGAGATTTACATCATCTACACGTGGCTAGTGACCGGGCCCGGGCCTTGGCTGAAAGTCTTTGGATTCCGGAAGACCAAACTTGGAGCTTCTCTGCTCAACGCTACCCCCATAGCCCCACCCCCTTTGTCCACGCAATCTTGGCAATTAGGGTTTCTCCGAGCTTCCAAAAGATGATCAATACCCAAGGGTAGAAAATTGTAGTGTTGCTGTTAAATTCCCTTTAGCCGGGACCAGCTGTCTACACGTGTGGCGATCGGCACTGTTTGTTTGAACAACCAATTTGTACCACCCCTTCCCCACTGCCATGCAGGCATCCTTCTGTTATAGAATTCGGACAATGACCCGGATCGCCATGGCAAGGGCCTGTTGCAAGCGACGGGTTTAATGTTCACTTGATGCTTTCAGAAGCGAGGTTGTCATGGTCAACATAACTATATTTCATCCAGACCCAAAGAACAAAGACCAGCACGAAAACACACTCGTGGCGAAGAAGCGGGCAATGGGTCCATCACCCCCCCCCCCGTTTTGCAGAGACATTGGTAGCAGTTCCTTGCCCACCTTTAGTGTTTGCTATGGGGCGACAGGCCTTGGGCGAAAAAATTGGTGGATTGGAGCTGATTTCCCGAGGGTTCCCTTTGGGTTGTTGGGTCCCGATAGTACCTGGCTTATTTGAGAGCTCAGAAAGGGCAGCAACAAACAGTACATCCAGGTGAGCCGTTTTTTTTAATTGTACGCACGCTAACGGACAGGTGGGTTCACCCTGCCCAGCGGCTGTGCTGTATTATAGGATTCCAAACGATCTATTCACATTTTTGTCCGCTTGTTCTTGGAAGACCAGCTCCGCTAAATAACTTTTGGCCAGGGGGGGCAGGGACCAATTTTGCCCGTCTTGATCTTTGGAGGTTCATCCATGTGTCGGCCTTGCACATCATTGGATCTCAAGTTTCAAGATTTCCACACCCAGCTGGTTGGTCCCATGTTGAGAGCCGCAGACTATTCTAGCCATAGAAAGGCCTTTCGGAACTCCCACTTTCACTGTTTTGTCAACTGACCTTTATTCAGGTAACCCTTAGTTGGTGGCTTGATTTGAACTCCTTGTGGTTGTACAGGGTAAATGGGAAACCACCCCAAACCACGAAACCACCCATCCAAACCAAGCTAATTGGGGTCTGCTGACCCCTTAGCTACAGACTTCCGAACACGGCAGCTGGTGTTGGGTAGACCATTCAGCAGGACCGTTTGGTCCAAGCATACGTTTTCATCTTCCGGGGAATGTTAAGCCAAGGGCCGAACATAGAAGTGTCTCTCGGGTTTTGGGCTCAGCCAGTCGCAAGCAAAGGGTAGTGCAATATTCCTCTAACACTGTCTTTGCCTGTCCAGCCCTGATCAGCATGCTAAGGTACGAGCAAGTGGAGATGATTGCCGGAAGCTGAGCATGGGTGTTCCACGCCTGAAGAAGCTTGTGACAAATTGTACTTGCGTGGGGTCCTACTGTGGATGAACAACATCTGCTTCGTACCAGCTGGAATGGGTGATACCCTACAGCTACGGCAAACCACCTGCCAACTGGAGCCGGATGGTGCCCATCCACAAACTATTTGATTGAATAGCTGTTCTTTTAGCTTGGTTGAATTTCGATGGCACTTGTTTCACGTTAGGTTCCAACCATTCACTAGTGCAGCCAAACATGTCCCAAAAGGATTACATAGGGTTACCGGGGAAAAAAACAACGGCCTGTGACTTACGATGGCCTGGCGGTTGGCCTGTTGCAAGTATGCAGCGTATCTTGCCGCGATCTATCAGCATAGTCAATATGCCCCTACTTTGGATGGACGAAGTCCAGCATAGTTAAGTTGCTGTTGGGGATATCACGTGGGCGATTTGTTTGCGAAATCCATTTCGCACCACCGAAGAAACCATGGTTGAAGCCGTTGTTTGTGGGTTTCTTAGGTGGTCCAGAAATTCGGCCATCCACCTGAAGTGCAGTGTTCCGCGCAAATTATACTGTCGGCAGAGTGTAATGCGAGCTCACGCACCATGAAGCTGATATACCGGGGGTTCCCAGATGTCCGATTTGGTAGTTACAGTAGTCTCGCCAAGGTTGACGGAGTGCTCCTTGTGTTGGTTGGTTCAATGCATCGACCTCTAGTCGGAAAGATCAAACTGATTTATGCTATATTTGTGTGTCTTTTTCAGCGGACCCCTGCCCCAAACACAAAAGTTGTTTCTGGTTTCCTTTAAACCAACCCCAAAAAGGCTACATGGAACAGCAGTGGCACTTGGTGCTTGGGATGGGGGATGGGGGCTGCGGAAATGCCAAAGAAATGAACCGTATGTCACTCTTTGCCCAAAGCGAATTGACCTCCAGTGTTGGTCCACCTGGAGTCTCCTTCTCTCTCTGAAAAATGGGGTCGTGACCCCTTTATTTTGGGCAATGCCCCGATGTTTTAAGGGTCAGAAGGAGACTCCAGATCATTTCTGTGGGTCTCCCACAAAAGAACTGAGCTGGAGGTGTTCTCTCCAAGGTCTAGAGAGCGCTTTCTGTTTTGTTTGGTAGATGGCGATTTCTGGAAACGACCTGGTTTCATCATCTACCAAACTCCATCCTGCTTGTTCCACCAAAGGACACCTGTCGACGTTTCTGGCTACAAAAAAACCTCGGCACCCCGCCTTTCGGCCAGGTCGGGAAGCGGGCGGACCCCGACTTCTTGGCCAAGGTCTACAGCCTGGTGGAGGATCAGAGACGGGAGTCGGGACGGACCCAAAGACTCCACGGCACCGGGGCGGTTCAACCAGCCATCCGGTTCAACTTAGGTTGGGTCGGTTCTTTTTTCCCGGTGGGTTTGGGGATCGCACAGCCCAGCTGGAAGATTTGCAACTACATTTGCCCTCCAAATGGGTCACATGTTGGTGTATATATATATATATACACTCATTTTAGTCTATTTTAGTTGGGATTGAGATGTTCACTGGGGGTACAGGCTTTTGACCCATGGCCATATATATATATATATTATATATATATATATATATATTACCTAGAAAGCGTGGGAATGGTGATGGGATTCTTTTGTCATTTGGTAGGGTGGGTAAAATTTGTTTTAACAGAACAAAGTCTGGCGCCCGATAGCAAAACATTGCTTTGGTTTTAATGTGAGACTCGGTTGAAATGGGGTCCGAGGGTTGTGCAGGCTACGGGTCCTCCCTTTGAATTGCGCCATTTGTGAATCTCGGGTTGTGGAATTCATGGGGCCTTGGGAGGGAGGAAGGGGCGGGGAGGGAGCCCAAGTAAGGCCTTTTCAAGGGCTTAGTAAGAGCAACATCCTCCCCTCCTCTCCCTCCCCCCAGGCCCCTTGAGGAGTTATTGTAACATGCCGAGACATATAAATGCATGTATACCCAAAACTTCCTGCCGCAGAAGTTTCTCCCGCAATGCATTGTGGCGGACAAAATCTGCCGCAAAAAACAAAAACACCGCAACTAAAACAAAATCGCCGCAACACTGCTTCCAGAATTTCGGGCTGGCTGGCCACAATCCCAAGTTACCAAAGCAAGCATACTATCATGGAGGACAGCTTGCTACCCTAACCTTTCAATTCGTCAAGGATTGTCAAAGCATCTAGGGGCCAAGACAAGTCAGTTTCATGATGATATTGTGAGGAGAGCTTTCTCTGTCCCACAACCTGCCAGAACAACGATCAGGGACCACTTTTTGTCTCCGCGAATTTCCGCATTCCCGCCGATTTCCGCCGCATCCCGCCGTTCTCCGCCGCATTCCCGCCGATTTCCGCCGCAAATCGGGGGCGGAACAACAGAGCAAATGCGGAAAAGAAAGCCACAGGAGGCTGTAATGGGTTGATTTTGTCGATTTGGGACGACTTGCGACCCCTTGAAACTTGTGACCCCTTCGAAAGTTTTTTGCCCCGCCCCGCTATCCATTCCATTGAGCAGCAGCTGGCTGCGCCGGAAGCATGTGTGTCAAGGCCGAACCAGCGTAGGTAGGAACACGGGCCTTTGAGCAGCGTCTTACTTCAGTCACGGCTTGGATGGCCATGGGAGTGCCAGGAGCCCTTGTTTGCAAATGTTACCTATACATTTAGCAGACGCGGGGCCCCTGCAGGACAGACGTATGTCGAAGGCAACTTTCATCTGCAAGCGGGGCGTAGTCAAGCGTCACAGGCGCGCTACCCGATGTGACAAAGGTGGCAAAAGGCAGAAAGAAACCGTCCAGGGCAAGCGGGCCTGCCGGTGGACTCACTGCGGGCGAGTTGGTTCTCACAGAGCCTTCTTCTTCTCAAAAGCACAGCAACATCTTGGATGACATGAGTCCGCCCAAAAAAGCGCAAAGACACACAGACGCAAAGAGCTAGGGTGGAGCAAACAACCTGCTGCAGAGGCAAAAAGTAAAGCCTATTCTCCAATTCTCCCGGCCAATCTTGCAAGGCCAGGTTCTGTTCAAAAAGCGTATCTAAACATAAAGGGGCGAGGAGCTTGTTGCAGAGGCTTAGGGTTGCCCCCTCCCCCTAAATAAACTTTCCGTTGTTCTGGCTGCTTCTGAGGCCAGACATGCTCAGGGGACTCTGTAGGTTCCCTTCCAAAAGCGTATTGAAAGAGGAAAGGCTCAGGGTGGTCCCCTCCCCCGGGCCCAAAAGTTGTTCTTCCTGTTTGTGAGGCCAGGCATGCTCCTGAACTAAATGCATTCTCCAGGGGCCAAAAGTGCTTCTGAGTCCAGACATGCTCAAGGGGGCTCTGCAGGTTCCCTTCCAACAGCGTATTGAAAAAGGAAAGGCTTAGGAGGTGCCTGCCCCCCGAAAAAAATATTACTTCGCTTCGAGCAACCCCCACCCTCCACACTCACGAGCTTACGACCGTGAACACGGTTGTGTGAAGCAGGCATGGTTTTCGAGTGGCTTGTGGGGCCTATGACTGCTCAACAAGCTTTGCATTGAGAGCCTGTCTCTGTGTCCACCGAGAAACCCGACGGGCGATTAAACGAAGTTTCTTATTCACAGCCCAAAGCAACACAAAAGCATCACCCTTTCCGAGCCTCAGGGCGCACTCAAAACACAAAGGCGCCAACATGAAGTGTAAACTCAACTGTGCGCCGGGCGGGACATTAAGCAAAACCAGACTGGCGAGCTGCTCTGGCGGGATACTGGCCGGATCCACTGGCGAATGCTGGCGAGCCGCTCCAGCTCGATACTGGCCGGATACTCGGCAAGATCCACCGGCAAGGGATACTCAGCGGAATACTTGGCGCGATCCACTGGCGAGGTACTCTGGGATACTCAGCGGGCTACTCAGCGGGATCCACTGGCGGGCTACTCTACTCGGCGGGGTCGACTGGCGAGCTACTCTGGGACACCCAGCAGGATACTCGGCGGGTTCCACTGCCAGGCTCCTCTGGCAGGATACTTGGCGGGATGCACTGGCGGCGGGATACTGGGCGGGATCCACTGGCGAGCAGCTCTGGCGGGGCGGGATCAACTGGCCAGCTGCTCTGGCAGGATACTTGCCGGGATCCACTGGCGAGCCGCTCTGGCGGGATACTCGGCGGGATCGAGTGGCGAGCCGCTGGCGCGATACTCGGCGGGATCCACTGGCGAGCCGCTCTGGCGGGATACTGGGCGGGATCCACGGCGAGCAGCTCTGGCGGGATACTTGGCGGGATCCACTGGCGAGCAGCTCTGGCGGGATACTTGGCGGGATCCACTAGCGAGCTGCTCTGGCGGGATACCCACAAATCTTGCGAGGTGCCCCCTGTTTTCCTGTGGTAAGGTTTTTTTTAAATAGGGAGGTCCAGACACACCCCTCTGGCGCAATTGGGTTTAGGGTTTGGCCAGGAACCCCCCGGAGTATGTGGTATGATATATATATATATATAGCATATATATATATATATACATACATAGATATGTATATATATATGTATATATATATATGTGCGGGGAGGGGACCCTGCCCTTGGGGGGGGGGGGGAGTTGGTGGCCTGGGGACTGGAACATTTGGGCGCGATTTATTGGTGAGTTACTCTGGGATCAGCGAGATACTCGGCGGGATCCACAGGCTGCTCTGGCGGGATACTCGGCGGGATCCAGCCTCGGCGGGAGCCACTGGCGAGCCTGGGAGAGATCCACTGGCAGGCTGCTGGCGGGATCCACTGACGAGCTACTGCCCGGCTAATGTCCAAATGGAATTAAAAAAGTGCACGCGTAATAAAGACAAAGGGGGGGCCCAAAGCGATTTTTTCTGCACCTGGATTAAAAGACAAGCACCGCACCCGCGCCAAACCCCCCCCCCCCAAAAAAAAAAAGAAGAATGGGAAAAGAAAGAGAGAAAGGAGAGCGGGGCTGGTTTGGACTTGGGCTTGCCAATTCTTGCTTTTCCTGGCCAGTTCTAAATTTATCCAGACCGCTTCCGTGCGCCTTTGTGCAACGCAATGTGCCTCTAGTCAAACACTATAAGAGTGCAGGCGCAACAGAAAACTACGATGCACACTGTGAAGGCTCCTTTCACATGAGATGTGTTTGCTGGTCGAGCTATATTGCAGCGAAGATGTTTGAAGCACCACCTCGCACATGGGGTATGTGGCTAGTTTGATGGGTTTCTGGCGGACCTCACTCCGAAAAAGTGTTTTCACTTCGCGCCAGCCAGACATCCTGCGCCGGAGGCTGGGCCAGCCTCGCCGGCCCGCGTAGGACATTTGGCGTTCCAAGCGATGGAATCGTCAGTAGTCGACGGCATTTTCAGATGAGACCGGTCCTTGTGAGCCTTCAGATTTGTTTAGATTTCAAGTTTTTTCAAGCAAGTGGAGCTGGCTTTGGCAGGTTTGAAGAGCCCGCAGTACAGCCAGGCGCGGCCCAATCGGAACCCTTGCATGTTGCGGCACGGTATTTGGCCTATGTCGGAAGACTGCAGAACGAGCCTGCCTCTTTGAGTGGGGCTTGCGCGTTGTATGTTGTAGTCAAGGGAACGGGGCTGAAGTTGTTCTTCTCTGACAAAGGATGAGAAAATCGGCGCGGAACGTTGGATGCAGAGGGCTGCTCTAGCCTTGCACATTGCAGTGGGCGGCCTATCTTGGTAGGTTGGCCAAATTAGCTTGCCATGTTACATGCATCTTTCTGCTTTGGCAGATTTCAAGGGCCCGCAGTACAGCCAGGCGGTAGTGCAAGTGCAGCTGGCCGGCGGGCGTATGTGTTTGTTTGGGTTCGGTTCAGGTATGTGGTTTGACAGAGTGTCCCCCACTCAAAGCAGCACTCATGTCTTCCTCAAGCCCCGTTAATGTTCCGTAGTGTGTGGAGACATGAGAACATCCAGGCCAGCCACGCAGCAAATTAACCCTTCGGAAATGCCGCTGAAAAAGGGTGCTGCTGAAAAGAAAAGCGGGTGCGTGGTTCTTGTGTGTCCACTTTCATTGCGAGACTCGCATCATGTACTTGCTGTTCGCGCAAGCCAGGGATATTTCTCGAAGTTCTTAAGGCATGGAACCGCTGGTTGACTTTGTTGCGACCCCAGAAGACATTTGTCAAGCTGTCGGTGCTGTTGGAAGGACCGTTTTCTCAAGCTGGAGGACATGTGGGTTCTTGGTTTTTATGTCAATCTGCAGTACCTCTGCCTAGTGTACGCTGAGCTCACCGATTCGGGGGTTAAGCGAGCTCACCATGATGTAGGCCCCTTAGTTTGGGATCCCTTGTTTCAGGTCTGGGACATATTGTGCAATTGCAGACATGGGGAGAACGAAAGAAAGAAAGAGAGAAAGACAAAGATTAAGGTGTTGTTTGCTTGCGGGCTGATTGTGCCATAACTTGCTGGTGCTTGTGTGCTGTCCTGCATGTTTTGTTTCTTCCTGCGAACTTTGCAAAATCGCTGAGCACGGAAACTTGCGCAAATTGAGGTTACATGTTTTGTCCGCCTGAGAATGTTTTGAGGGCACCTTGCAATGCTTGAAGCGCTACGTGGGTGTTTAGCTTTTAGACATCTTACTTCCTTGTTAAATGTGTGAGCTGTGCTCAGCGTTTCCGCAGGCCGGACGCATCAAAGAGAGGCCTGCCCACTGCACGAACCCATCCGCCACTTCTTGTCATGCGACCCTGAAAGGCGTCTTGACAGTCACGATGTCATTGCTTTGTACGTGCGCGTTTGACATCCGAACCTGGTTGTGGAGAAAAAGGGCGTGGGGCTGTGCAGCCCGTCCTCAGCGTTCGAGTCTGGGCTTGGGTGGGCAGACGATTTGGACTTGCCCCCAGACTGTCCGTTACGGACAGATGATGGCGCAATGCATCGTGTGCCTTTTTGATGGATCCCTTTAAATCTGCAGGCTTTTGAGAATATCGGGCGGGCTGAGCACAATCGCAAGCTTCCATGTGTCCTCCAGCAAGCAAACATGCTGAGCGCATGCCGCTTCTTTCTAGCTCTATTCTCCGAACAATGTTTCAAATCAAGCGTATTATCATGGAGGACAGCTTGGTACCCCAATCTTTCATTTCGTCAAGGATCATCAAAGCATCCAGGGGTCAAGACAAGTCAGTTTGATGGTGATATTGTCAGTCTTTGCCACGCAGGTTGCCAGTCAGTGATCCCCTGCAAAAGATACCCGCCAAATACAAACTGCTCTTTACTCAAATGGGGCCAGACAAGCGCCATTTAAGCTCTTTTTGCCTCATGACTGGACACTGCTCAAATAGTGACTAAAAAGCAAGGTTTGCTACTTATTTGCTTCGGTGGCTGATTGTACGGCTCGGCACGCGGCAAAATGAATCTTGATGCCACTTCATGTTCAAGGTCAGTTTACTTGCAACGGACATTTGGGATGATGACCCAGCTGTGGCTGTGACCAGGAGATGCAGTGCTGCTGTTCTCTGAGGAGCATCGATGCCATGCTTCTGAGAACACACACACACACACTCTGTATTCGCGGTTCAAGAAGTTGCTGCCGGAGATTCATCATACTCACCGCGCCATTTGGCCCGGTGTACCGCCTCCTTCCTTCATCAAAATTGATTTGGATGCTCAAATCTTCCAAGGCGCAACCTGGTTTAAATATTTTTGTCAACTCCGCTCAAATGCTACTCTACTCAAATGTAAGTACTCCAAAACACAACCTGGTCTCAAGATCTGCTCCGCTCAAATGTGCTCAGATGCTGCTCAAATGTGCTCAAGTACTCCAAAGCACCACCTGGTTTGAAGATCTGCTCAAATGCTGCTCGAATGTGCTCAAATGCTGCCTCAAATCCTCCTTAAATGTGCTCAAATACTGCAAAGCCCAGCCTGATTTGAAGATCTGCTCAAATGCTGCTCAAATGTTCTCAAATTCAAATGCTGCTCAAATGTGCTCAAATACTCCATAGCACAACCTGGTTTGAAATCTGCTCATATGCTGCTGCAATATATGCAAAAACAAGCCTCAATCACGCTTTCGTCCTACAAAATAATGCTGACACGGATCGGCGCGCCACAGTTTGGCCGCAACATGTTGGGTGTGTGTATACTTTCAAGACAGTTCACAAGCGCAAAGCATGATCAAGTCTTGGGCTTAGAGAGGGAGAAGGGTTATTCATGAGGAATGGAGAAGGTTCGGACGTGGTGACGCAACAGTGCAAAAAGGAAACTGTTTGAATTCAGGCTGCGTATTCGGTGAGCCGTTGGGCGGCGCTGCGGGGGCACTTTTGTTATTGTTTTTTGGCGGGGGCATCTCAGGCTGGGAGATGCGCCCCCCCCCTGTGCTTCAACTTTTTAAAATGTGCAGCTTTACTACTCATAAGAACTTTACATTTGGGGGGTATCTTTTGTAGGGGGATCACTGGGATCCTGTGACAAAATGTGCGGATGCAAGCCGAGGAGAGCTTTCTCTGCCCCACAACATGCCAGAACAACGATGAGGGACCACATTTTTTTCTCCGCGGATTTCCGCCGCATCCCCGCCGATTTCCGCCGCATTCCCACCGTGCTGCGCCGCATTCGCGCCGATTTCCGCCGCAAATCGGGGGTGGAACAAACAGAACAAATGTGGAAAAAACGCCACAGGAGGCTGTAATGGGTTGATTTTGATGATTTGGGACGATTTCGGCGGGCTTATCACACTCCTTTTGTGCAAGCAAAAGTTCCTTGCGCCGAAGAGCAGCGGCAGTGCCACTGACCCCCATTAGTAAGTTGCATACCGGTCCAGCATTGCAGGTTTCACCTCATGTTCCAAGGTGAACCTTTTGAGCCAAATGTCACTGCGAAGCCGTGCAAGTTGTTGTCCCGTTAGCCGAGGCGAGCGGATGTGAGAAAGCAAGTTCTGCCGCAATTCAACAAACACGCGCCGCAAATTAGCCGCAAACCCAATCAATTTGTTGATTGCGGCAGAAATTTCCGCCGCAACGCATCCCTAGGTATCTTGGCAGAAGCAACAGTCAATTGGTGTTGCAGGGGTCCTTACCTTTTTCCCTGGTGATAGAAGCATCACCTGTTGGTTGCCTGAAAAAGCGGGGGACAGCGAGGGGGCTGTTGAAGATTGGAATTCCGGGGCGACGTGCCAGGAGCATGACCAGCGCATGCAGCTGGATCAACTGAACGCCTACCACTTCGGCCCCAAGTGCCACAAAAGGAAGTCGCGTCGAATTCGCTTGATGTAGGGGTCCTTGAAAAGCGGCACTGGGCGCTCCCGGACCGCCAAAAAAAGGGCCACAGCGCAGTGGCGGGAGCGCAGCCACAGAAACATCTTCTTTGGTGCATCTTGCTTGGATGTTAGGACTTTAACTTTTTGCCGACTGGTGGGGTTTCCCTTAAACCGCTAAAGTTTAAATTTTTAGCAGGTATTTGGAGTCTCCTTGTCGGCACTTGCCTAAAGCTGACCTTTTACACTTTTGGTACCCCCTTGTTGGTCAATTTTTTTGTCATGGTTCCAAAAGCTTGACCTTTACTTTAGAGCCACCGGCTCATTCCGCCGACTTCTGCTGCGGTGACTGAATGAGCCGTAACATGTCCTTTGGTTTTGATGATTTGTTGACTGGTATATGTTTGATTTGGTTTGGTATATGTTTTAGCCCTTTGAGCTGGGGGGTGGGGGTTGGGAGAGTGTGGAGTGGGGAGTGGGGAGTGTGGAGTGTGTTGTGTGGTGTCTTGCAAACTTGGGATTATACCAGCAGCAGCGTTGATATCGGAACTCGAGCGGAGCTCGTCGCCACCTGGTTCCAATCCCAATAGAATCCTCAGTTGCCCCAGGCCATCCTTCTGACCTTTTGGTTTCCCGGATTTGGTGCCTAGTCATAGCCCCAACGGTCCAGAACGAGCTTTATGAACAAATGGAACCGCCTTTGGTTCCCCCGCGTTGCCTCCCTGGCAAGGCAGAAATTCGAGGTTGGCAGGAAGCTTCAGGGAGAATGAACAGGTTCACCGCCGGACCCTGAACCATACTCTTTGAGGAGCTTAAGCCCCAAGTCAGGAGTAAAGAGGTACAGGAGGAATTCATTAGCCCTAAATCGGTCGTTGTTGCGTGTGATGTCTCTGCTTGGGCTGTGGTGTACGGGTTTGTGGGGACCCCCCGTTCAGAGGCACTTGTTTCCCTTTTGTTTGGCTCGAACTCCAAATGGTTTTCTTTTTGCGCTGACTGAAACAGAATCAATGAATATCAGTTGGGTATGCAAAATTCTGCGGATTGACAAAATCATACAAAATCCATGCACCACCGAAGCAATTGAAAAGAAAACCATTGTTTGTTGGCATTCACAGGGGAATCATCAGAAACCAGTATCTCTGGACGGTGGTGCAGCATTTTGTGATTCCGCACGCAGTAGGGTGACCCCCAAAATAACTTCGGTGTTCCATGAAACAAATGCAACACACCCCATTTCCTGTGTACCACAGATAAGGTCCACGAAAATGGGGTTCCCTTTTCAACCGAACTTCGGTCACTTTCTCAGGTACCTTGTGGAGCTTGAGGTGGTCATGCCAGAGGCAAAGAGAAACTTGAGGGCGGGCGAATGTTGGGGCCCCATAGTTTGAAGAGAAGGATCCCTGAAACATGGGGAAGGCGCAGCCATTTGGGGACAACATATGATGAGTTTCCCAGATTGTGCTTGGTTCAACTAGTTTTTGACTGTTTTTCGTGGTAGCTGGCTTGAACATATGTTTTTCTTGTTTGAAACCTTTGGTTCCGAAACTAGGCTGGTCCAAAGTCAGCCCTAGGGTTCAAACCACCACTAGAACAACGGGGGTTCATGCAAGCAAATAGGGCCAACCAGTCTTGTAATGGGGGCAATGAACCCTGGGGTTATGGATGAGAGCTTGACGTGGTACTCTCAATCGCTTTCAGTTTGGCCTTGACCTGAGAATCGCCAAGTGAAGATTCTGTTGAACGTGTCAGTGCATGTCAGGCGCAGTGTGCATTATATATATATATATTCATAACATGCACACACACACACATAAGTTATAACATACACATGTACATGAGAACACGGTGTGGTTGTAACTGTGTTTGCACACTGCTATGCAATGTTGTGGGTGGCCAGCAAGGACTTTTGCGACAGTGTTGAACTGCGACGAGTGTTGAACTGCGACGGGAGTTGCCAACTCGCGCGTGTTAAATTGACAGGAACTCTGAGGCACAGGTGCTGCGTCGCTCCAAGGTCGAGCTGGGGTCTTACGAGGATTGCTTGCTGAAGGGATGCCCAGGAGAAGAATCTCAACGAAGGAGACGTGTTTGTTCTTCGTAGCTAAGCACGGCGTAGTTTCCATTGCGGAGGTGGCAACCCAACACCCAACCGAGAGCCCAAGCAGAAAGGGATTCCCGAGTTTTATGTGTCTGGGCAGGGGGGTGCAAGGGGTCTGTGGCCAAACGGAGAACAAAGCTAACAAGCGTACGTTGCACCGTTGGGAACAAGGAGGTGTGTGGACGATGGTGTGACAATGTGGGAAAAGGCCGCCCTTAAATAAGACACTATGCTTGTCATCATTCAAAGCTGGGCCCTTAAATCGAGCATGTTGTGAGGGGCTCTCAAATTACCTCGATGGTATTCCTTAACCCCCAGTTAGAAGATATTTGGACTAGGGCTAGGTCACCCCCTGCTAAACCCAGTATTTAGACTCTAGCCCAATATCATGTACACAAGCGACCAATCAGGTATTTTTGAGGCCGTCACCTGTACGTGAACTACAGAGTGACAGGCGCCTCGCTCGACTCGACGCCGAGTCGCAAAGCGGATTTTTTTGTCTCGTGTCGAGTCCACCACCCTGCGGGACAGCCACGACTGCGGGATTCTGCTGCAGCACAAGATCGAGATGCTCGAGGACGAGTTCGGTCGCTCGCTGTTGTGCGGGCAACATGCGTGTTGCCGGGGTTACCTCGAAAACGTTGGTTTATATAGAGCACAACTACTATGCTAGAGATTCTGAAAAGTGATGCAGATCTTCAATGATTCAATTGGCAAGCATTGTTGGTGAGGTGAAACGATGGCAGAAGTATGGTAGTACATCACGATGTAGCAACCGCGATCCGAATTGGCTATTTAGTAGGTGGTCCGTCCACCTGTCAGAGGGTTGCAGGACCACGTTGGTAGCACCAAACGTCAGTTGATATGGGATTCTGCTCAGCGGAATTGCCTGGCTACGCTCAGCGCAAGTGTCGGCGCATTGATCAAGCGGAAAGCGGAACAGGGTTCTGCTCAGGTTTGGATTTTGGTGGTACAGAGGTTATTTACAATGTTTATCAGGAGTATGTATACTACCTTGCAAACTTATCTTGGTGGCGCATAAAGCACCTATCCGACCCACGAGATGCCGTTGATAGTATTGGTCGTCTACGAGTGTCCTGCAGCTGGAGGAAAATGCCTAAAGGCCTGTTACAGTGGCGTGAAAGTAGTAGGTGGCGCCATTCTTCTATCAGGGTGTGTCTTTTTTTACGGGCCTCCCGCAAAATAGTGGTTTTCCTGGTAGTTTCCCTGTAAAACCACAAAAAAGGGTACCCTCAACAGAAATACACCCGCGTCGGTTTCGTCATCGTCTTTACTTCCCCCCCATGGGAATTCTGCCATCTACTTTGGCCCAATTTTGCATGTTGCTCCAAGCCTTTCAAAGTCAACCAGTTTGGTTTGGAACCCGCTAAGCATGGCCCCCACAAAGGGCTCTACCAGGGACTCCAAATGGGCACCTGCAACTCCTCGTAAGCCGACGGTCGGTCGACTTCCGGAAGTCGCGGGTACTGCTGGCGCGCACGAAGACTTTTGCGCTTGTAAGGCCGATGGACGCCCGTGACGATTCTTTTGGAAGTTTGGGTGTTCTTCGTTCCAAAGTATGGTACGCCGTACGGCCAGATACCGAAGACACAACTAATCAGGTAATTGTTGCCCCCCACCCCACCCCCTTCAGGGTCGCCAAGGCTCGGACAAGCCCCAAAAAACCTGAGATTGTTTGGAGGACAAGCCTGATAAATGTAGAGTCCGTTTGGTTCTCGTCCTTTTGCTTCCGGCCCCTTTCCAGCCAATTGAACTGGCAAGCCTCCAAAAGCTATAGGCAAGCTGAGGCGGGATGGGGACACCGTGCGCTTGGAAGACCAAGGCGACGACCTTTGAGCATGCCACATTTGTTCAAGCCCGTGTGAAGAAAGCAGGCAACCACAAGGGATCACTTATTCAATTCCTAAGCTTCCAGACTTTATTTATGCTTTGTTGAACGCCCAATTTAGTGTCAGACGAAACACACAGACCTGTTTGGGACGAGCGTTCAGGAAAGAGTTTCAGGGTCACATCTTTTTGGCCCAACAGCCGCGAGGAAGTGGAGCGGTGCTTTGTGCACATCGACTACCAGTCTGGGTCTCAGCCAAAGTCTGAGGAGGGGCAGGGGACCAAGATAAGCATTTTTTGGATGTTTGATGAGTATGCCGACAACAAGCCAGACTCATGCAGGTGTGGGGGGCCGGGGGGGGGGGAGAGGCTCTTCTTGGAGATCAAGACCCCCTCTAAAACCGTCTAAAACCCCGTCCCGAGGGCCTGGGGTGCAGGTGTTGCCTTCGGGGCTTGGCTCTGATCATATTTCATGGGGCTTTGTTCAGGGCTTCCAAGGAACGCCCGGGAAGAAGCTGTGGTCGTCCCCCAAAGTGGTGCCGGTTTTCTCCTTGAGCTATGGAGCCCCACAAGGAGATCCAAAGGACCAACCTTTTAGTGGATTAGCTGGGCAAAAAGGGTCCAAGCGCACGAAACTCATAATTTCGGCGAAGTAATCAGAATGGGGAAGCCGCACGCTCGTCCCAGAAAAGGGTTGCATTTTTTCAGGGGTTAGGGTCCACAATTGAAATATTTCGAAAAATAATTTAATTGCAATTGTGGGGGTCCCCCACTCTCCCCCCCCTCCCCCCTAGGGACGGGGATTGCCAACAGCTTGGTGACAACTCCCCGAAGCTGCCAGGGATGAACATCCATTTCCACATAGAGGTCTATGAAGTCTGTCCATGGCACGCCAGTCCTTGCAAAATGATCTTGGCCAATTGAAAACACATCCATCCCTGCCAATGAACATGTCATTCAGACCTGTCACCTGTTTGTCTTCCCAAGAGCACGCTGCCACTTTGGCAATCGCCATACATTTGAGGCAACCACCTCAAAAGTGATTAGTTGATATGCATCAGCACCCAAATGGTTTTAGGAAAAAAAAAACGGCGTAGAGTCAAAGGGTCAGTGACCCATCAAAATTCAGTGACCCATGTGTCTACCTGTTTTTGCCTTTCGATTAGACCCCGTAAACAAACAAATGTGGAAACAATGATATGAAAGACATATAATACTAATTATTAATAATGATAATAACAATAATACTAAATGAATAATCATATTAATAATAATCATAATAATTATAATAATAATACTAATAACAATACTAATAATAATAATAATAATAATAATAATAATAATAATAATAATAATAATAATAATAATAATAATAATAATAATAATAATAATAATAAATCATAATAATAAGACTAATAACAATGATAACAATCATAGAAACAATTATTACAATAATGAACATGAAACTCATAACAATAATGAATAAAACCAAACACAACAAATCCGCTGTGACGGAGGCATGGAGGCATCTTCTGTACCCGTCGATCGCAGGATGCGCTTGCATGATGACCACGATCCGGAGGTGCCCATCGACGCCAAGGCGCGGTGAACCTTTTGGGACCTCTAAGCCGAAAGCTCGAAAGGTCGCTATGAACACCTCAGAGCGGCTTTGGTGGGTCGTTTTCGTGTTTTTTGGTAAACTGGCCAAAGGGAGAAGTGAAAACCAGAGCGAGCTGGGTCGTTTTCGTGTTGTAAAACTGGCCCGAGGGAAAACCAAAAGGTGAAAACCCAAAGGTTAGATCCGGTCGATTCGTTTTGACCCTAGGTACCCAGACACGAGCGAGAAACAACCAAAAACTTGCGCTTGTTTGATTCTTTACATGGTTTTGGGTACACCATATATTTCCAGGTTTTGATTGTGACTCACAGGAAAAGAACTCAGCACCTTATGGATGCGTCCTTTTTTAGGACCCCGCCCTGCCCTCAAAATGGCTTCGGTTGTCCTTGTTGTGTCCCTGTCACTGAAGCAAAAGTACCCTCAAGAACGACAGACCCTTACACCTTAAACTTAGTTGGGTGTTCAGCCAAACTAGTTGTTGGTAACCCAGGTTATAACCCGCTGATGAGTTCCCCTGCGGGGGTAACCCTGTTGTTTGGGCGTGGTAACCCAAGTGGCTAACCACCTTGCTGACTTGCCCGAACATTCGAGTAGGGCTATCAAATGCTACCCTAAGGACATTCCCCTTGGGTTACCAAACAAAAGCCATACCTGCCTTTGTTTGATCATTGTTTGGGGGCCAAATAGCCAGCCCAAAGGTGCTGGACATTTCCTTGTGGTTGTTCATGGAGAACTCGATATGGGCAAACTAGAGTGGCCTGTTTGACCTTCGTCCCGAAGAAACACAGGTCCAATTGCTTAGAAACAATAGTATCAAGAATCCAACAGCAAACAGGGGCCTGAGTCACCAGATGTTTGTCCTGATGTGTGGGAGTTTCTCCAAATGGCGGACCCGCTAAACGGTGTGCAAAGGCAACCAACAGTAAACCGTTGCCGTTTTTGGAAGCGGAATCCTATTTTATTGAGAAGCACCTGATATGAGTATGAGTCGAAATTGGGGGACTGCCATAATTGTGGTTGTCCTTAGTTGTTCATTTAAAGCAACCCTAAGCAGGACCTCACACCAACTCCTATCAGAAGCACCCATTCGCAGATGCCTCATAGGCAGACCCCAAGAAAGGACCTGGACGAGAGGCTTCCCCAAAAGGAAGGTTGGCTTTCAAAAGCCTCCGATCGTCCGCTTCCATGATTGGAGGGTACAACAAAACAGAAAGACGAGCCACCAAAACCACTCCAAAAACGGTACCAGCGAAAAAACAACAACGGACGAGTTATTGAGACTCGCCCAGACTGCATCCACTGGACTCAGCTCTCACGTCGTCGCGCCTTCAGCTCTACGGGGGCCCCCGCCGGAGCTCCCCCCGCGCGGAGGGCGCCAAGCTGGCGATGCAGAGGCGCGGCTCGCGGCTCGGCTCGCGGCTCGCGGCTCGGCTCGCGCGTGGCTCCTTGGCCCCCGGGACACCCGGAGCCACTCGCTGAAAACCCGGGGCGAGTGAAGGTTCAGGGAGAACCCCCGTGCCCGAAATGGGTGCCTTCCCCGCGTTTTTGGTTCTTTACGTGGTTTTGGTAGACTATTTTAGCACCAGGTTTCGATTGGGACTCAGGTGGGACCGGGTTCCTACATTGGTAGACTTGAGCAGGAACACGTGGGTTTAGTGGGTTCAAGATTTCGTGGGCTACCCCAGCCCCACTCGCGTGGCACCCGGGTCCCTATTAAGCTGATTTTCCATTTAGCCTCCCACAGGTGCCTTCGGTTCGAAGGGCGAACCGTTTTGACATTCTGCCCGCTCGGATCCCTTTGGCCAAGTGAAGGGAGGCCGGTGACAAAAGGGCACAGACATCCGGTGCCGTGTGGTCCTCTCTTCTTTTTATTTTTTTTGGGCTGGGTGTTCTTTTTCAAGTCAACTACCAGGCAAAATGGTGCCCCTCTTTTTTCTCAACGGGCACTGGTCTGGGAGGTTGTTCCGTGGTTTCAAGGGATGTCAGCGAGAAATCCGCACACACGTGAAGCATGAATTCCTCCCCCCTATTATAACTAGGTCCCCCAGTAGTGCCCTTCTCTCCTTTTTTTTGGGAGGGTTCCCCTACTAAAATAGACTACAGAAAAAGGGGAAAAAACGGTGCCCTTATTGTAACCTCTCTACTGGAGGACCTAGATAGTAAAAGGGCCCTTTGTTTGAAAAACTGCTTTCGGCCACTGGTAAAAGACAAAGAGGCACCTGGCACCCAGAGTTCAGATTCGCACAGCTTCCGGTGTTTCATTGGTCCATATGGTTTTATTGCCTATCCCAATTCGGGTTTGACTCTGAATCGCTAGACATTGTTTGTTCTGCAAGGGTTTAACATTGGTTGTAAAGGCTCAGGAGTATTTGGGGGTGGATTTAGTCTTGGTTTGCGTTGTACATCCAGTGTCGTTTTTTTTTTTTTTACCCGCAACTCCTCCATTTTGCTTTTTCAGGTCAGTCAATTGATGTTGGAAAGCTTTGTGTACTTGCTTTCTGTTATTGACCCAATACCCGACATTTATTTGTTTGAGGTATCTTGAAGGGAACCGGAAAGGACAGCAAGCCGCTTTGAGGTGCCCATTCAGAGACAAACCCAAATGTTCGGGATTTTAGCTACCGGCGTCATTCACAACCGACCAGTTGTTTATCCGTTTTCAGCGTTTTGCCGTCCTGTCCAATGTGCGAGAGATGATGCTGCGGTCGGGCCGGGTCGGGTCGGGCCGGGTCGGGTCGGGTCGTGTGTGTGTGTGTGTGTGTGCGCGCGCGCATCCGTTCTGCAGTGCGCACATGCCCGAACATGATGATCACCCATCCGTTCTGCAGCGCGCGCATGCTGGACATCTAAGAATCCACGCCCAAGTGCACTCCTTCAGCGCGCGCATGCTGGAACAGGATGAGAACCCACGCCAAAGTGTATCCGCCCTGTAGCGCGCGCGTGCCCGGACATGAGAAGAAAGACGCCGAAGTGCATCCGTTTTGCACTTCACGCATGCCCGAATATGATAAGAACCCAGTCCCATCCCTTCTGGAGTTCTTGCCCGAATATTGTAACAGCCCACAAGTGCATCCGTTCTGGACCGCGCGCATGACCGAAGATAACTGCTCTTGGTTTAGTTACACCTGGAGATACCTCCATGGAATGGTTTGAGCTTGGTCGTGGCTTTGCAAGGCGGGGTTTTGCTCTGGAGCGACCGGATTTCTTGCCGCTGCCAAACCCCAAAACCTCCCAGCCATAGGTGTCCTTTTTGGTTGTTTTGGTAGAAAAAATAGATGGCGACTCCTGGTTTACCTGGTGGTTTAATCGTCTACCAGGGAAATCCATCTATTTCCCCTAAACGGACCTATATATGCTCCCCGCGTTTACCACTTGTGGAAGATACCGACCGCAGCTGGCCGGCGAGCCGTGGCAGGCGTCATGAATCAACGACGAGAACGGCGCAAAGTTCCCCAGAAACGCCAGGAGGAGAACCTCATCAACAATTGTATCCCCGTGACCTCTTAGAAATCAATTCTGACCTCTTACCTCTTCGTATAGAAACCTGGCTTTGTCCCGGGTCATTTTTATATTTATATATATATGCACCCAACTCAACCAACTTTTGCCCCCTTTGAGATTGGCCAGGAGCGGGGAATTGCCGCGCTGAGGCAGATGAAGAGGGGGGTGGCCACTTTCCAATAGTACAACTAGGACCGCCACAAGCAGTTTCCAAGTTAGCGGGTGGGCGGGTAATTAGAGGAATTTCCGGAGAATCAATTATTTTCCACCACTAAAAGGGGTAGCGGTAGCACATTTTGATTGCAAGTTCGACAAGACGAGCAGAGATGAAAGTCGGTCATACGGATCCAGTGGCTCTGTACGGAAGGGCCATCGCTTGACCGATAAGAACAGGTGTGCTGCATGTGTCGAGCTAGGTTGGCTGCCATTTGCGTTTGGCTTTCGAGATTTGCGAGCACCTATATCCTTAGCACGGAAAGGCCAGGAACAGGGTGGAACAAGCTTGGTATAAGTAAGCAGCCCGTATTTTGTTTTCAAAGGGAAAGAAGACTTATCTGAAGCACCGAAGGCCGCCATTGAAGCAAAGCTGAATTTGCAAGCTCGGTCAAGACAAGTCTTCGAATGCCAGAAGTTGCTGACACGCTTTGACTTGCGGGGTGCATACTTGATGTTTCAAGGAGCACATCCGCGAAGTTTGTAACTCCCGCTGTGTCTGAGGTGTGGTGCGCTGCTGCTTGCTTGTGCATCCCCAAATGCAGCGCACGCATCGCATTGGTTCGCAGCAAAAGCTATGAGATGGCAATGACGCACTGCCACGCTACCCCCCAGCTCTACAATCCCAATAGGTCCAATAGCGCCTCCTGGATCCTGATAAGCCCTAGCAGGATCAATTACAGGATGGGGTCTGCAAAAGCATGTCTCGTTCCCTGCTGAGAAGCAGCAAGAAAATATTACGCACACTCAAGGCAAGGTCTTCTCCTATTCGCACCCACTTACCACGCAAGCCGTTGAAACCGCAATCCTGGAATGATCAACCTTGTCTTTGGCAATTTCAGATTTGACCCCCCCGCCCGACATCCGCGATCACACTGCTACCCTGTTGGGTGTATCTTGGTTTTTAGGTACCCTCCCCTCCCCAAGAAAAACGGAGTGGAAAAAAACACCAAAACACATGGTTGTTTTCCTGTTGGTTTCCCTTCAAAGCCAACTCAAAGAGAGTTCCCCTAAAACAGAATCACCCTGTTGCTCTCTGTCGGAAATTCGTTTCACAGCCCCTGCCCTTGTTCCTTCTTTGGTGGGCGAGGGTCACCAGAACGCTGCTGACACTCTTACCATCCCAACAAACATGTGCAAGGGTCTGGTGAGTTCCCCGCCTGGTCAACCCAAAAAGGTTTCCTGCTTTTTCAAACGGATAATTGCCAACTGGGAAACAGGGCCCTATTTTGTCCACCTGGGTTGTGTTGCTAGAGGCAAGTTGCTTTGTGGCCGGTAATATTGAATCAAGCAAGAGAGGGTTTCAGTTGGCACACCAGTCCCCATGACAGGGTTTGGAAAAGCAAACATGTTTTTGCAGGTATCCAAACTATCTGTGGTTGGTTCCGCTTGAGTGTTTAGAAGCTAATTTTGAGCGTGCCACCGCACTCATCTCAGCTCGAATCTCAGTGTTGCGGGCATGCTTGACGTCCTCAGTCTTGCAGGGTTCCTTTTTTTTTACTTGCGAGCATTTGTTTTAAAGGATGCTTCTGGTTGGACATGTGGGGAACATACGCTGTTGTCCTTGAGGTGGCGTGATGCTTGCAGGGGAACACCCGAACACCCCATCTCTAGCATAGCTTGCGGGCGCCGCCAGGAAGGCAAGCTCGAGTCAGTGACGATGCCTGACGCAGAGGGACGTTCCTCCCAGGCTGTGGACCAACTCCATCTCGCAGCACCTAAGTGGTGTGTCACACTACTTTGTTTATTGGCTTTCGTGGACCAGCTCCATTTCGCAGCAGCTAGGTGGTTTGTCACACTCCATTTCGCAGCAGCTACTAAGGTGGTGTGTCGCACTACTTGTTTTTTATTTGCCTTCATTCATCCGAGCTGGTGCGAATTGGATTTCGCCCAGAGAAGTGAGGGGCCCCAGGGCCCCAGAAGGGTGATCTCGATCAGAGCCCGGTTCACTCCGACTCTGGTCCCGGAAGCTCTCGGGAGCAGGTCCCGGGTCCCAAGTCGGCCTCGGACAGGGAGGTGGCCTTCTTTTCCTATGGAGGTCTTGCTATGGTTCAGTCAGATGTCTCGGACTTTGTAAGTAACAGTCACTCTTCTGTAAGCTTTAGTTTGGGCCAGGTGTATGGGCAGTCAGAAGCCTCAGTGTCACAATCTTGGCTTCTGAATTGGTAAAGTTTACACTTGTTGTTCGAAGGTGTTTTCATTTTGGTTACTAAACTCTGTTGCCCAGTGGTGCTCTTTTTTCCTGTTTTTGGGGAAGGGTTCCCCTTTAAAAAACAAGGTGCCCTTTTTTTCCCCATGGCCCAACACGTTTGTTCACTTTTTTGGTGCCAGTCACCTGAGCAGGCGAGCAGGTCAAGCACGAAATGCGTGAGTTTCCAAGGGTCGAATTCTGCGAGAAATTCCAATTTGAGAGTAGTGAGGTTTTCACATTTTGCATAAGGTTCTCAAGAAACAACCAAATCGGTGTGTCTTTTGTGATACCCACAAAATGGTGAATTGTTCTTTTGGTTTCCCTTGAACATCACCATTTGGGGGAGGGTAGCCTCCAAACAAGACACACCCAAATGCTGAGCACGACTCAAACATGCAGTATGAGAACTGGTACATCCTCCAGGAGCTTCGAAATAATTCCACGTTAGTGGCAGGGGTATTTTCCACAGCCAGTCAACTGGGTTTGTCTTTTTTGGAACCCTTTTTGGTTGGTTTTGAGAGGAAACCAACAAGAAGAACACCATGTTGAAGTGGCCCCCCAAAGAAAGACACACCCAAATGCCGATTCAGAGGAATTGCAAAGGGAGCCAAAGGACGATCATTTTTCTGAAGGGTCCGGAGAATGGCTGTAGAAATCACTCATAACAATTAGATTGCTCCCTGGCATGTTTTCTTACTTCAGTGTTCAATGGACCAAATCCATTTCGCACCACCTAAGAAACCCCGGAATGTTGATTCCCCTGTAAATTCCAACAAACAATGGTTCCACCAGGGTTTCTTAGGTGGTGCGAGGCTCGCGGCTTTGGCAACCATCCACGGTATGGCTATTGGAACCACGGCCGAGCCGCTCACGGCGACCTCCCGTTTCGCACCAAAGTGGTCAACGTGCGACGCCCGGGTCGAAACACAACAAGACCTCAGGGTGTCAGAAGGCCAGCACCTTCCCTTGGCAGGGGCAGACATTTTTTTCGCTCTGCGGCATTTTTTTTGTTCCTGTTGTTCATGTCAATTGGGGCGAAAAATCAGGAGCTCGCCATGGTCCGACCTGGGGGTTTCCAAAACTCAGGGTTTGGCATTGTTGAATTTGCAGACTGGTGTAAGGGCCATGGGTTTCCGTAGGCCATTTGGTCGTTTATTCATGGTTCTCAGAGGGTGCTGGCCAGTCTAACTGTTTAACTCGATCGAGCCCAAAAGGCGCCCCTTGGCGCGGCATCTCATTTGAGCCTTTGTCAGGTTTGCTGTTTCGTTTTCAACTGAGCATTGATTGGGTGTAATTTGGGTGCACTTGGATTGTTCCTCATAGAGCGCTTGTGGGGCATACCAGAATGGGATGTGCAGGTTTTAGACAATAAGATCTAGCAAAATCCATTCCAGATGGAGTCAGAACTGTAGGGCGGATTTCCCCAACAAGTGCAAGTGATTAGGCACCCCCTGACTTGTTTCAAGTTGACTTGCAGTATTCAAGAGCCCACCATATCCTTCCCTGCTTGACCAAGGCTCACTTGGCTGCGCACGTGTAAACGCTTGACACCCGTTTTGAAAAGGCAACTAAATGCAACGAGCTTTTGCGGGGGCAGTCTAACCTAGAGGGTCTAGGATGGCGTCGGTCGTTTAAGGGGTTACGGTCAAAGTAGAAGGTACTTGGACCCTGGGGGCGGGGTTTTCAAGAATCCTTGGCAAACGTCTTCAAAGTGGGAAGGGGCCAATGTTTGTGTCCGGAGGGTGAGATGGAACAGTTGGGTGCGTCTTTTTTAGGGGACCCTCCATGGTTTTCCTTTGGAATCCCCCTTTTAAGCCACAAAATGGGTACCCTCGAAAAAGGCACATGCAAATTGCCCAGATAGGTTTGTTTTGCCATGTCTGTGATACCATTTATTTTTTTGTTGAAATCAACCTTTTTGACATCACCAAGTCAAAAGGGATACTTTCCACAAGCAGTGATGAGCCAATTTGGGCGGTTGTCTCCCGACTCCCCGTACTGGGTATCACTTTGTCGCACCTTGACAGCGCCAATCTCGCTGTTGACACTGGATCACGTGCACGTTGCATGCCGGGGGGGGGGGGGGGGCGGGCGGGGTGGAGACCGCAGATATTCTGCAGTCTTAGCGATGCTGGTCATGTTGAAAGAGGCTGGCAGCTGTGAGACAAGGAATTTTTGCCCACTGTTACCCAGAGTCTATGCGTAGCTTTGATTCATTGGCATGTATTTGGGCAAATTTCGAAACGTTTTGCCCCACCCCCCCCCCCCAATTTTGTTGATATTGACCAAACAAATAAGCCATCGCAACATCATCATTGGAGTCACACAATCATGCCTGATGCATGGCTCAAGACTGCGCCTGACATTAGAGTTTGGCACTGGCCGACACCAGTCGCTGCTTTGTGACAGGCCTTCCCAATCCATATTGTCAGAAGGAATCAGACAGCCTGACGTGTGTGTGTGTGTGTGTTTGTTTTTGGGGGGACACCAAGTTTTTGGTGGTTGTTACGCGAAGCTGAAGGGAAACCCACCATCTTGGGGGGGGTTCCCCAAAGAAAGAGACGCTGTTGGCATGTCTTCCTTTGCCCATGTTCCAGCGTGCGCCTTTTTGTCAGAGCATCACCCCGGGTCCCGATGCGATCTGACTCCAAGCTCAGGCTTTGGGAAGGCTCCCAAGAGAGGGTCGGCGCCCAAATGCTATGCTTGCTAGCATGTTTAGTTTGCATTCTTCGGGGGGGTTGTCCAGATTTCTTTGCAACGAATCACACGTGCCGTACCAGACTTGATCGGCCACTCCCCTGCCTTACCTCATGAACCGAAGATGGTCACGCCGCCCCGGCGGAATCTCAATGTCTCCGAGGCGCGAAGAGAATTTGCACCAGCAGTATGAACACGGTTTCGGGGATAGTTGTTGGAAACAAGATGTATTCTCTACTCAGGCGGAGAAAGAGGGGATTTCTTCCCAAAGAAAAAGAGCACTGTCTTGTGAAAAAGCACGTTCCAAACTACGGGAGACGGGTATTTTTCCTGAGGAGTGGCAAAGTGGTCGGGGTCCGTTTGAAGACTTGGACCGCCCTGTCAGCTTGCGGGTCTTCAGAGTCTGCCTGTCGGAGGTTCTGGTAGGGGCATGTGAACGAAAGAGAGCGGCCGGGGATGGAACGAACAATGCTGCGCATAAGCGTAGCAACATGTTGCAGGGATGTGATCCTAACCACCTTTGCCTATTTTTCGGTGTTTGTTTTTCCTGTTTAATAAAATGCGGCCGATCAAAATCGGTGTTTTTTTCTTGGGTTCATGCATGTTCAAAGTCCCGGTTGTTGCTGGGTGCTTAGGGAATGAGAACCTCTGCCCCTCCCAAAGTCCCGGTTGCCCTTGTTGTTCTGAGGGCATGAGAGAATACAGTCAGCCATGAATGGTTTCTTCGGTGGTTGGTTTCTCTAGGAGTTGAACCCAACCATTCTTTTCCCCCTCGTTCTGTTCTCAAAGCCGGATCCACTTCAACCTGGGTGTTTATGGAGGTTTTCCAGAAAGGATCCCTGGAAAGAGAGGAAATGGAAGGTACGCCTCGAGTTGCCCCTTGAGAATCAGAGTGGCCAGCATCACCTTGGGGCCAAGTTTATGGATTGATGGCATCGGATTTGCTGGACAAACTTATGGAACATTATGGAACAAGTCGACCGGGCTTCGGGGTGGTTCGTCCAAGTCCTGAAGATTCGCGAACGCCTCCCTGACTCAACCGTCCTTTTCAGCCACCCTTGAAACATATGGGAGGCCCCATTCAAAGATGAGCCACCCTTAGACCTTTCAACTTTTGGCCTTTGGGTTTTACGCCTGTCGCTCAACGTTCTAAGGGATCAACGAAGCCTTTGACCCCTTTCCGGGAGGCAGGGAAGCTGTGTGTGTGTGTGTGTGTTTTCTTTGGCCAACCTCAACACCAACCAGAACCACACCCCTGGCCTTTGGTTGAACTTCTGCAGCTTTTTCAGGCATGGGTTGGGCGAACCTCAAAAAGAAAGGTTGGTTTCTTTTTGGCTTCCCGTTGGACACAACCTTTAAACATGCCACAAAAGGACACCCAAATCGAGAGCGGAATCCCACACATGTGCTGGGCTTTTGCTCAGTTTCCCTTCAACGGACAATACTTGCTGGTGCTCTGTAGGGAATGACCCAGAGTGTTGGGAATGAACCCAAGGATTCCTTTTGAGGAAACCGCAAAGGGATGGTTTGTGGGGGTTTTCGATTTCTCATTCCCTGCCTATCGAACCAGCCATAAGTCGTGTTGGGTTGAAAGAAGGGCTTCGTGTGCCCTGCAAGACCCTTGTCCTGAGTTTATGAACTTGAGCCACTTTTGGCTTTAGAGTTGCTTTTTTCTAGGGGTAACTTCCATGTCCATTCTTTCCAGGGATCCTTCTTTCTAGAAAACCACCAAAAGCCCTGTGGAAACGGATCCGGCTTTTGAAAAGGACGACGGCTGAAAAGAATGGACAAGGACTCAACCCCTAGATTTTTTTTCGGGGGCCATTCGCTCATTGGTTTTGAGGTGTTTCCTTGGTTTGGAGGCCTACTGCGACTCCGTGGGCTGCAATGTGCCGCGCCTTGTTGCCACGGTGCGCCTCTCGCTGCTGCGGATGGGGTGGTCAGCCCGGGCCCCGGCGCAGCGGCGCAGCGTTTGACGGTGGGTGTGTTGGTCGGCCGGGCAAAGGCCGAGTCTCACTCCCTGAGTTCATGGACTTTAAACACTTTTGCGGACCATGTTAGTGGCAAACAACAAGCTTGGTGTTTGTGTTTCACTCAGGAAGTGGGCAGTTCAGTGGCAGTATTTTTCACTTGGGCTCGCTTCTTTTGAAAGGAGCGGGGCTATAGCAAAACACGGCGCCGGTTTGCTTTGGACGGGATACCACTTGGGTTTGACAGTGGCATTTATTTGGTGATTCCAGCCTTCAAATCCCTTTTTGCTTGAAGGGTTCTGCCAGGGTCACTGGGCAACTAGGCTTAGCTACGGCACCCTGTGCCACTTACCTTTGTCGAAAAACCAACTTCGGCCTGATGCAAGAACGTTTGGCCCTTCCCATTTGGTTCTGGAGAACTGCAAAAGCAGTACGCTTAGACACGGATGCCATCCTTTTCAGCCATGGAAGAATAATCATGCCATCGTTTGTTGAACAAGCTTTTCAATGGGCACCCAAATGTCACTTGGGGTGCAGGTGCCGCTATTGGCAACATCGCTCTCCCCTGTCATCGCCGCGCTGAGCTGTCGCTCGACTTGATCAAGGCCTTGAACACCCTTCCCAGGCAACCCATCAGAAGGCTTGTGAGCCGCATGGACATGCCGCAGGATATGATGGTCACGTCGATCAACTCACTGGGATGTCCTTTTCAGACGTTTGCAGGCCTCGGAACCAGTTTTCGTTTGGTGCTCCGATACGCAGCACGACGGGCGTCCCTGAGGGCGACCCCCTTAGCGTGACGGCCATGTTTGCCTTTGCATCTTGTACGTGAACACTTGAAGTTGATGGAGTGAAAGCGACGGCCTACGTCGACAATTGGAGCTTTGTTTCAATTTGTTTCCGCATCGACTGGATCCGTGGAACAAGCTTGCAAACTTACGTACTGTACGTGTTCACTGCAAGCTTAGAAGCTTTTTTATGAAGCTTTCCCATGCTTTTTACTAGCAGCTGGGCGCACTCAGTTTTCTGGTTACTCGGTGTTCCTTCTAGTGTGTTGTTCTGCGCGGATTGGATTCCAGCGTGCTGTTTTTGAAGTGGAATGGGCATGACAAGTTAATGTGGTTAGTTTAGTAGCGGCAAACATGCACTTGGGCGAATTGGTTAGTCCAAGCAGGACTACTACAAAACAATCACAAATGGTGTCTTCTTTTGAGGGTACCTTTTGTTGGGCGGGGGTTTAAAGCACAACCAGCAGGACAACCGTTGCGCCGTTTTGGACACACCCATATTGAATCCTAAAGAGACGGGGGGTGTCTCGTGAAGCTTATTTCTGAACTATGTTTCCCAATCTTGGGGTTCCTTTATGTTTGCCTTTTTGGGCTTCCTTTATTTTGTCCTTTCAACCAGCAGAAAGTGACAAACTGTTTGCAGGGGGTCTATAGTCTGGTCAAGCCCGTTTTGGACTTGGGATGTTAATTTCGGATTGAACGAAACTTGAGGTTCATTTGGGGAAACCTCATTCAAAATGATGGACCCCATGTTTGTTGGTGGTCAAAAGGAAACCCATATTTAGGCCCCATGTTGAGATACCTCCATGTTTGGATGCTTAGGCCGGAAATAATCGAAGAAATCCTTGAAATTCCAAAGAACCACTCAAAGGCAGGGAACATTGGGGAGGTAGGGGGTGGTAAGTTTCCTGTTAAGTTGCCGCATGCTATGATCAAAACCAAGTCACGACCTTGTCCTTTTAACTATCCCAATCGTGGCTTCCAACTGGTACAGGATCTGTTCCCCATAGCTAAAAAGTTTGATTTTTCTCGCCGAGAACCGAAAGGACTTTCCTGCCAGTCTGATGAACATTGGTTTGAACCGGAAACCATGGGACGACCCATTTGGTGCTTTCTGGCTGTTTTACATGTTTGGACTTTATCGTTTTGGGAAACCGTGGAATTTCCGTTGGACCCACAACAAGTTAGACTTTTTGCAGAAAATTCAACCGCAACCAAGTGATCACTTTCTTCTTCTGTTTTGGCTCTTTCATTTTGGTGTGGACCAAGTGATCATTTTCTCTCTAGCCTTGGACCCCATTTGGCTGTGGTTGTCAAAACCAATGGCACCATTTTGGGGGATTTGTGCACCACCCATTTTAGGCATTATTTTAGTTGGGATTGGGATGTTCACGGGGGGCACGGGATTTTGACCCATGGCCATTTTGGTGTTCCCCCCACTTTGAGCACCCCACCCTCGTCGCGCTGCGTCGCGCGCCGCGTCCGGCCACGAGTCCTCCGCCCGCGGCGTCTCCGCCGCGCCGCTGGCGCCCACGTGGCTGGGGCGGCGGCTGCAGCGCCGGAAATGGCGCTGCAACCCAGCGGCGGAGGAGACGCGGAGGGCAGGGTGAAGGGAGGGTGGGGGGAACTCACACACACACACACATCTTTAGGGAGCATAGGCAGCATAGGTGTGTTTTTGATCGTTTGGTTGAGATTAGACGGATTTCGCTGGATTGGATGGGTTTATGCCCGGCCAAGCATGCCAGGGAGACACCCCTCACACACCAACACACTGGGTTCCTTAAAGTGGTCTGGAGTTTGAGCGCTTGATTTCAGGTGATTTTTCTGAATCCACAATTTGGAATGGTTCTCATACGTTTTGTTTTTGGTTTTTACACATATATACATATATATATATATATATTCGTATTTGTTTGTTTTTTCATTTGGGGGGGCGGTGGGTGGGAAGTCCCGTTTCTCCTTTGCTCACAAGTCCCTTGGGCCAGAGATCGGGGAAAAAATCTGAGGCTCAAGCCACACCTCCGGTTTGGCGTTTTATCCTTATTTGGCCATGGGGCATACGCTGTGGATCCATTTTGGGGATGAACATCCATTTGCCACCTATGTTGATCACCAGGGTACAGGGTTTTGACCCACAGCCATTTGGTGGCTTGGGGAATTGAACCCCTGGTTCTTGTGGGGGGTAAATGGGTAGCTGCCCCCTGACCACGGAATCATCAATCCAAACCACGAATGAGTGATAGTTTCCGGCCGCTTGGCATGCCCTCCACCTTCGAGCGTGCCCTTCATGGGGTCATTGCGGCCAATGCGTCAAGACCGTTGCACCCTTTCCGCACCCTGCCCAAACTCAATGCCTTCTGACCACGTAGGCCACACCTGTTTGTTGGATTCTGCTGAGGCTATCATGAGGCTGCAACTGCAAATCTGGACGGTGCTAAAGGCAATGGACGCCTGGAACTAGGGAAGCTGAACCAACGATCGCTGGGAACAACTTGAGCGCGAGAACACGTTCTTGCAGTCGCCTCATGGTCTGCTTGTCTGACCACATGTTTGTCATAGTTATAGTAGTCATACTATCTCTCCAGACGGGAATAACATATTGTTGCACTATTAAGTATCCACCTGCAAACATAACAGCAAAGTTCCCAAATAATCCAAACATAGGATATAGTCTTCTTGCATCCTTTGAATGCGTATATTGATTTGCTACTTGCCAAAACAACACAGACACACCAACACTTCCCCATGTTTCAGACAATGTATAAAATATAGAAAAAGACCAATTCCCTATCAGTGGAATAAAGTTGCTAAACCATTTGTATTTGTTAGAAACCGTCAAAATCCATTCTTCAGAAGCGACTCTGCGCTTGTTTGGCCCGACATGTTGAACATAAAAGCGCCCCTCAAACTTCTAGGGTTCGCACGGTGGTGTTGTGATTTGGCTCCAAAGGGCTTGGGCAAACCTGGGGGGGTGGAGTCGCAAACAAATCGAGTTTGACCTTGCAAGACAAGGGAACGAATCCTCGAATTGAACCCCTATCAGCGCTATTCACCCAGCGCGGAGCCGCCCCTTTTGGGGGGGCGGTGATGGTCGTCCGTGGCACACTTTCACTGACTTGGCACTTCCAACATGGGGTCGCCGATTGGATCGCCTCGTAGCGCCACAATGGCTTCCTCGGTCCCAAATTTGTCTCTTTGAAAGGCAGTTTCAACATCACTTGAACCAATCAGCTGCTGGTAGGGTGATTTTTAAAGGGGACATATAGAGAGCCCTGTTTCTGGAGTGCTTCTTGAGGCAAAACAGGAAGCAATTGCCAGTTTTGAGAGCCTCCTGTTTGGAGACTTGCAGATTTGAACCCTGCAACTGGGTAGGCTTGCTTGGGCTACAAATGCCTTCGCCAACCAAGGGTAGTGTCCATGTCATCCATGTTGCCGGTAAACTCCACTTCCCTGTTTGCTGACAGACAGCTTTCATACTTTGAGGAGGTCAGCTTTGTGTCTCCAAAACGGGCCAGAGACCAACAGGAAAGCCACATGTTCTGTGTTTTTTTGGCGGGGGGTGCGGGGGGGGTCCCTAGCAAAAGGGGGGAGGGGGCGGGCGGGGTTCTCCTAGCAAAAAAAACACACCCGCACAAAACATAAGAAAGGAAAATACGGATGCCTTGAGGAGCTGTTCATCGATCGGGATCTGCTCTCCGAGGAGATGCTGACACAGCTGGGGGCTCAAAACCCAAGAGGCATCGTTTTGTTTTTTGTTTTCTTTTGGCGGGGGGGAACCCTTTTTGGCAGGGAAACCAACAGCAAAACCACTTTATGTTGGGTCCAACTCAAGAACGACACTCACATACTACATAGAAGTGCACTGATGTCCTCTTGGAAAACTGACCTTCTTTTGGACAGGGCTTCTGTTTACTTCCGTGATAGTGGGTGGAAGGTGAAACAAGTCATCAACATGCTCGGCTGAACCACAGGGGTCAATTTTATGAGCGAAACACGTCAAGTCACGTTTGTGCGGCGCAACATGCAACAATCCCTCGTGAAGGGACTTAGTAGAGCTGGTAGCCATCTCCTTCAAGGCAAAACAACGCCGGCCGCACTCCTGCGGAGATGAGATGCACGCAAGATCAACAAGCTCACCGGCCGGGGCGGAGAAAATCAAGCCATTCCAGGCCCTGACTTTGTATGGACAAGATCATGAAGTTAGGATTAATGAAGCCCCATGAATTGCGGAATACAACACGAAGGGGCTGAAGGATTGACTTGATTTGCCCATGGTGACTTATACAATTTTGGTTTTATGATTTTCCCCCTCCCAACCGCCCCGTCCAGTTCTTTGCCTTTAACAAAATACCAGCAATCACCGCAGTTTGGGGCACCCACAGTCGTTTGGTTCATGCCACCTAAGCCCCCTCAAAGATATTTTGAGGAGCAAGCGAAGGGCTTTCTTTTTTGAGGGGAGAACGGGTGTCATACTCTATAGATATGCCTTGCTAATGCGTTGTGTTCTTTCAGTTTCGTTTCAATCCATCCGTGGGTTTGCCATTCTGAGACTGATCCATTCTGCTTGGAGTGTTTGCTTGCTTGCCATGCATTCCGCAAGTTTTCTAACGCTAGCTTAAGGCAGTCGAACTAGCCTGGCCAAAGCCTTGCCAGTTCCAAGTGAGACTCGGTCGCTTGGTACCGGACCGAAAGAGGTGGGCCTATGCCAGACACTGCAGGTTTTACGGAGTTTCCAAGGGACCCCAAGACCCGAAACCGCAAATTCCGGGCTCTGTGGGGCAACTCGATTGTTTTTGACTGACATGCAACATGTCCAGCTGTTTTGCCATCAGCCTTTTTGTTAACCCCACATTGCCAACATTGCCACTCAAAGTTCAGGGCAGTCCCCTGACAACCACAAGAGCTTGAGGATCTCAGTAGGCAACCTACATCTACAGGAGGTTACCGATGGATTGAGGATTGTCCTTTTCAGTTATGACGCCGGATGGTTGTTTCAACTGATTTACAGGAGGGCACGGTCGTGATACTCCCAGGGCCGCCGAGCCTTTGCGCCGCATCACCTACAACACCTGGGATCGAGGCCGGGTTCGACGCGAGGCGCATCGCGTGACCGGGGTTACTTGAAGGCTACTTGATGGGTTTTCTTGTTGCGTGTGTGTGTGTGTGTGTGTGTGCTGTTTTAGGGTTTTCGTTTCGGGGGGTTGGTTAAAAGGGACACGAAAGGGAAACCACCCATGGGGTTCCACGTTCTCCTATAGTCACAATCTAGGTACAGGAAGATCCGAGTGTATGCTGCGTACGCTTGGTAGGTTTACGGTTTCCGCACATTTCAGTGGAATAGGATAACTTACCAAACTGAGATGCCACATTTCAGTCGTCAGCCCCCAAAAAGGGCTGCAACTGGGGGAAGGAGGAAACCAAACACCCCTTTCCCCCCCGTACAGGTTTATAGAACCTTCTTAGTTCGGGTTCGTAGGCTGATCACATTTCGGAGAGAGGTTCTAAGATTTCTCCTTTGGTGGGCTATGGTGTCAGAATGCTGGGCCCAGAATGGCTGGGCTGTTTCTTGGGGATATCAAAGTTAGAGTTTCTGGGCCCTGGTTGGTAGTTTCCCTTGAACTTACCTTGGGGATGGACGAAATCCATTTCGCACCGTCCAAAAACTCTAGTTTCTGATTATTCCCCGGCAAATATCAACAACATGGCTTCAACCATGATTTCGAAAGTGATGTAGGATGTTGCCATCCACGGTACTTTAAGATAGACTAAATATGAAGCATCATCTGACATGATCTGATGAAACAATTGGAGTACCCGCACTGTGGGCCAAGTTTTCCGTCGAACCCCATCCGGTGGTGAGAAAATGGAGTCATGATACTCACACACACACACACTTGCATGTTCGGGCAAGTTAGTAAGTGGTTAGTCACTTGGGTTATAACCTCCTAACAACAAGGGTTACCCTCACTTAAGGCGTGGGTTATAACCTGGGTTACGAACAACTTACCAACTTGGCCGAACACCCAAGCACCCGCTTCCTCCCCTCCAGATGACCCGCAACTCTGGATGCTCTGCCCAGAAAAGGGTCCACTTTCTGTGTACCCTGAAACGCATGGAGCAGGCTGGGTCACCTCCCCTGAAGGTCCGAATTTGATACATTCAAACCTGCAACACCTGTATGGGGAGGAACCCTGGCATCACCTTGACTGGCAACACCTGTGTGGTTTGTGAATATTGGCCAACACGCCCGTCAGCTTCCGCTAGTGTCCAGGAAGGGTATATATGCAGACCGATCGTACGCATCATGTGTAATAGGTGTTTACCTAGTTCTGCTGGTGCGAATCATTGTACGTAGACTTGCGTTCCATTTGTTTATTGTAGTGTGTATATATTTCACAGGAGGCGTCCACACACACACACACATTTTTAGCCTATTGCAGATGGAGATGTTCCTTTGCCAGTGTTAGGAACCCCACCTGCAACTCCTTTTGGCTTCTTGCATCTCACTTCATGAAAAATCAATCTCAGCATGTTGGCTTTCATGGGAACCCAGGACGAATGAGCCCCTTTGATAGATGGGGGTCTCAAATGAGAGAGGAACACTGGAACACTTTTGGAGGAACCAACCCCTGTTTTCGGTGATCCTGGCTGATTCTCAAGTTGACTCATGAGCCTAGGGGTCTCTGAGAAAGGGAAACAACCAGTTGGATGGTCCGGGCTCAACTCTTTCCCTGCCAATGGAACCATCAAGGAATGGGAACCCTTGTTGCGGTTGCAGTCTTTTACGCAAATTGTATTGAGCCTAGAGATAAACTCAAACAGGGTGCTTAACTTTGAGCGCGCGACTGGAAATTCGAAACAGGAACTGCTTGTTGTTGGCGGGTTGTCCAATTTCCAACCCCAAGCACCATTGGATGTCTCCATTGAAGGGATCAAGACCTCCATTGGAAGTTGTTGGACCTTCAAAGGGCCTTTTTGAGGGCCCAAGATGCTTCCTTTGGTGCATGTTGCTTGGATGTTAGGACTTTATATTTTTTTTGCCAACTAATGGGTTTTCCATTAAACTACTAAAAGTTAAACTTTTACCAGGGGAGCAGAAAGCCACCGAGCTTCGGGTGTAGAAGTTCCGTACCGGGCTCAGCGTCGTGATCTCAGGTGAGGAGGAAACGATCTTCAGCAGTGACCACCAAGTCTTCGGCCGGGGGCCGAGCCGGGGATTTCCGGTGCATGTTTGGAGGCCTCGAACCCCCGTCCAAGACGGATGCGCACCCCCCTAAAAAGAAAACGAAAACGAAAAGTTTGTCCTCCTCATATTCGGGGTTATCTCCATTTCCATTTTGGAAGCTGCAATCAATGCCACCAGTCATTTGCAACCTTCGCGGGGGAATCCAGTCACCTCAGATATTTTAAGATAGACTAAATATGAACCATTAACTGATAACACAATTGGGGCACCAGCACTGTGGGCCAAGTTTGCCATCAAACTCCAGCCGGTGGGAACTCACACAGATCGTATACAGAGAGTAATTATTCTGTTGCCAACACCAATCATTGCACCATTCAACTTGGTAGACTTGCTGCTGTGCCACCACATTGTCGCAGGCCATCTGGTAGATGTACTAAATGCCATGACCTGTACAGTACTTGATGATACCAGTTGACCTTACAACGTATAGTTGAAAATAGTTCGGGAGAAGTCGTGGCCACTGCATCCTCTCGCGTTCTTTTCAGGAAAGCAATGGGTGCATGTATGCTAGAGGTCAACAAAGCACCCCTCTTTGGGTCGTCCTTCAATGCCTCCAAGAGGAAGGCCAATCGTTTGATTTTTACGGGGGTCCTTTTACATGGGGTTTGCCAAATAAATGGTCCCCTTTTGCACAGGTGCCGCTGCATAAAACCAAGGTCCCTTCTTTGGACGGGTGCCGCTGCATAACCACCAAGCGCCGTTTTGTTGACAACCCTCCGCATGGAACCCAACAAACTGTCATGTCCTCACTTCCTGAGTTCCTGGAATTTGGTCACTTTTTGGGTTTGGACCATTTTTGTGGTAATCAAAATGTTTAGTTACTTGTTTGGTTCCCATCCGCTCCATCGGACGTGAGTTCATGGGGACCAAAGGATCAATGAGCCCGTTGGGGGTGCCTCATTTGAGAGGAAGACCCAACAAGCTACCGTTTCTAGATGAATCTCCCTGACAACTCTGAAGGGCAGGCTCAAGGCTGGGCCTTTGGACTGGACTCGAAATCTCCGAAAGGCAACGGACAGCAAGGAACCCAGAAGCTAAATGCGTGCAGAGGTTGGTACGTTGGGCGTGACTTTTTTTTAGGGCACCCTTTTTAAGGTTGGTTTAAACGGCAACCGAAAGGAGACCACCAGCTGTCTTGATAAGTTTAGACACTTGTTGGACAACTGAACACCAACCATTTCTAGCCACGGCAGAACTATAACGGCGTAGTGGTGACAATTCGTTTAAGTGACCACCAAAGGGGCCATGACCTTTTTTGATTCCGGCTAAGGCAGCTACGGCAGCCTTTGGACGCTTCTCGCGATGGCCAACGGCAGGAGAGGGGACTGCAAGATGCATGACGTCAGGCTGCTCGCAAAGGCAGTGACAAGATGCTGGAGAAGTAATGGCATGTAGTACACATGTTGCCCAGTTGTAATTGTTGCAATGCATCAACAACTGCCTACTAATTACCAGCCACGTTCAAGAGGGGTGTGAATCCTGGAATCATTTGTGCTTGAAGAGTTGTTCAAGACAACGAAGATGGTCTTCAGACTTCTGTAGTTCCCTTTGCCCTGCTCTTGTTTCTTCCTAGGGGTTCTGGGAGCCGCATTTCAAAAGCTGTTTCAACCACCAGGCCATAGACCGCTTAGGTCAACCCCTTGCAACTTCCCGTTGGAACATCGTGTCACAATCCAATGGTTTGCAAAATTCGGCCAAAGAAAATTCCCCGGGGAACGCAAGCCGCACCATGAAGGCTCCCTACTTTGGCTGTTACCATAGTCTTCCATTTGTGTTAATATGTTTCATGTCCCCTGGTGGCTTTGATGAAAATCACTACTCGACTTTTTATTTTTGCCGGGGGGGACCCGAGCAAATGGAGATATCAGTTTGCTTGCCCACATGCTGGCCGCTTTTGTGCGCTCGGTTTGTTTGGAGGATAGTCAGGGGGCCCCGTGAGTGTTCTGAATGGACACCCAAGGCCATCCGTTGAGGTTCCCTTGCAAACATCCATATGCGCATACATGCAGATGTCCACGTGCATGTACGGTCACGTGTCCATGGAAATTGTGAAATGCATTAATTGGCCCTGCTTCTTTAAAACCACCCCGCGCAACCACATGTAAACAGGGTTGCTCTGATCGAACCGATCCGACCAAGTCGCGACGTTAGAATATGAGCTTGGTGTCCTCAAGCTTCCTTAGATCATGGGGCAATGTTCCACCCTGGTGCCAGACTTTTGGAGCAAACGTATGTTCCCCATTATTGCTGTTATCATTTGGCCGATCCACCCACAAAGAATCATTCACTTTTAGCCGGGGATCTGCGGGCAGCCCCCCAGATAATTATTCCCCATGGTGTCCACCTGTCAAAGGGTTGGGTTACAGGAAATTCAACAGTAAAACAGCTGATTTAAGGCTGTTTTGGGGCCGTTTTTTGTAGTTCCCTAGGTCCTCTGGTAGAGAGGTTAGAATCAGGGTACCCTATTTTTCTGTAGTCTATTTTAGTAGGGGAACCCTCCCCCAAAAAAGAAACGGTAAAAGGGCACTACTGGGGGACCTAGTTCGTGTAGTTCCAGGGCTTCTGCAGCTCTCGCGAGCCCCGCGTTTCGGCGTTTCACGCCACAGAGGCGCTGGCAGATGGACCCGGACACCGCGGAGCTGCTGCGGTGGGTGCAGCTGCTGGCGGAGGTGTGCCGGGTGCAGACTGGCCCCGTGGATTCCGCCCATTTTGCCTTCCTTTTTTTGGCACCGAGCGAGTCTCGGACCCCTGCAACTTAGATGTCTTCCCTTGGACCGTTTTGAAAAGGATCCCTTTCACATATATTTATATAGTTATCTATGTTATTTGTATACACAAGTGTGTCAATGTGTGTATATACACACACACACACATAGAAGGGTCCCCCTCGACACTCAATCAACCAAAGGATGCCTCTTTTTTGCCACGGCCACTGGGCATTTGAGGTATGGTTCAGGGTGGCTTGAAAGCAGCTATCTGGGGTCTCCTCCAAAACTATTTCATGTGTCAGTATCACAATGTGGGCCCAGCCATGTTTGTGGGGAACTTGCCCCTTGTGATACCAAAGTGATTGGTTCGCCTTTCCAAAGTCAAGGTGGGAAGCAGGTTGATTCCCTTCCATACCACGAACTTGCCTTGATACAAAGACCTTCCGTTGGTGGCACGCGGACTTGCAATTCCTACCCTGGTATGGTTTGAGTGGTTGGGTGGTTTTTGGTTGGACTCTATGTTCTTTGGGTTGGGTTGTAAAGAGTTTGGTAAACACCAGGGTCTTGTTTGAAACAGAACGGAACCGCTTCACATGGGCCCATGGGGTCCCAAATGTTTGAGACATTCTGCAATCTGCATGTCTTGTGTCATGGTAAGCAAATCCCAAAAAAGGGCACCCTCAAAAGAAGACACGCCCAGGTGGCCCAGGTGTCAACAAAATTGTGGGCTAAGCATGTTGAACGGGATTCGCCCAACCCTGCCACTCACTCACGTGGAACCTGATAGGGGGACGCTTCCATCGAGTGGTTGTCTAGGTTACAGTTCCCCTTCTATAGGTGATACTGTGGGTGGAGCAATTCCTGCACCACCGTTCAGAAACCCTGGAATGATTCGATTCCGTTATGGTTTCAACCATGGTTTCTTAGGTGGTGCGATTTTTTGGAATTTGCAGCCATCCACAGAATGTAAGGAGGAAGTGCAACCAAGATGACCTTCTGGACCTTTCGAATCTTGGAGTCGGTGTGTCTCTTCTATTTGCTTAAGAATAATTTCTCTGGCTGTGGGTCAAAACCAATAGGATCCCATTTTGGGGGATTTGTGCGCCACCCATTTTAGAACCTATTTTAGTTGTGATTGGGATGTTCACTGGCGGGTACGGGAATTCGACCCATGGCCATATTTTCCCTTGTTGGTTTCAAGGGAATCTATCACTACTGGATTTTGTCCCCGGTTGCTGAAGCAAATGGCAGTTCTGTATTTAGGTCCAACATCTACTCATGTCCAAAGGGGGTGGAAACCTAAGGATCTTTGGCCGTGCTCATGTTACGTTCCTTTTTGGGTTGTACGTGTTTATATAACGGCTAGCAATACATTTGATCCCGCCAAAAGATGAACATTATTCCTCTGCAAGAAACATGTGTTTGGTTCCGGGGGGGGGGGGGGCTCCAGTCCTCCAGTCCTCCCCCCCCTTCGCTGAGGATTTCAAGTGATTTGGAAGGCGGAATCTAGGCTAGATGCTGCTGTTGAAGAGGAAGTGGTTGTTTTTGGCTGTTTGCTCAGGCTTTTCTTAGTGGAACTTTTCAAGTGACATCATTCTACATGTTGAGGTTCAATACATAGACTAGAACCTCACATGTCACTTTTGTTTGGGTTGCCCTGAGGTACTTTTGAGACGTAAGCTAAAGGGAATCCGCCATGTGGCACGGGTTGCCGCACGGTGGATACGCGGCCAGGTCGATCAGTGGCTGAAGATGTCGCCTGACAGGCCAGACCTTTGCGACGGAAGGGAGGGGGAGATGATTATTATGGCTTCAGCCTCTTTCATTGCGAATTGTTGGTTCTTGTTTCTCCGTCTGACTTCTGACCCAAAGGGAGAAGTAGCGAGTCGACAAGAACAGGTTGGACAAAACAGGGTTCCCCAAGTCGTTGTGGGGTTTCGCCACTTTGATCGATGTGTTTTTGTTGTTTTCTGCACACATGTGATCGCTTGTGTTGAGGTGCTCTGGGCAGTGCGGATATGAGCTTCCATGTTTTAGTTGTGCCATGTTACGTTTATACGATGACTCATGACTTGTGACGTTACGGATATGGACGTTTACGTGGCGGATATGGCTTCATGACTTGTGACGCTTAAACGGTGTAACGTGACAGACGGTTCCACAATTCCAGGCAGTCTTCTGGGCCAGAAGAAACCCTGGAGTGCAACATCTCGCCACATTTCCCGCAACTGGGAGGCCCAAAACCTGCTTGCTGCTGAAGGATGTGTGTCGTGGCTAAGTGCTTGTTTGTTTTCTGCACTCTTTTGACGCCTTTTGGGGAAGCAAACAAGCAACATGTTGACCGTGGACACAGGAGCAAGATGTTGAGAGCCGGTTGCCCAGGTGTGGCGCTTAGGTGATAGCATTTGCCAGGCACTTCCACCAGCTTCAAGGGCCGGTGGGCTTGTCTCCCTGGGGCTCTCTCTATATACACCAGAGTTTCCGTTTCCCTTTTGTGAACCTCCAAAAGGGGCAGTTTCAATGAAAAAGCCGCCTGTAACTTGGAACCTTTGAAGGGGAACTCCAGCGATCCCTGTACACCACAGTGGACACACTTTCTTCGGGGCACGTGGCCTGGGATTTCGCAGTCTATGCTCGGTGGCCTAAAATGCATCCGATGGACGACATCCGCTCCCACCTGAGAAATCATGGATTGCAGCCACAGTTTGCTGAGATTTACCAGAGAAATGAGTATTCCAGGGGTTCTTAGGTTCCGAAACTCGGCGAGCACATGGGCCAAACGAAGCGCAGCGACAAAAATGGAGTACGGCTACAGGTGGACGCGCTACCATATCGCCATAGCCCCTTTTTGACGAGTTGGCAGCCTACTGTTCCAGGAGAATTGGACCTGAACGAAGCAGGAAAAAGGCGTATTGCGGTGACGCAGTTGACACTTGGGTGCTAAGAAACCTGTATGCTCACAGGGTGTAGTCCAAGCGCGGGGTACATGAAGCTCTGGCCCCACAATGAAAGCTATTTTGTCTTCAAGTTGGTTAATCATGGTTGTTTATCCTGGATGGTCAACTCCTATAGGACGCGGGCCATCGTCATCACGGGCAAGCGCCAGATCTGAGCGTGTCAACCCGACAAAGCGTTCCAGTCAATCTTTAGACTGCGTCCTGGTGCAGTCAGCCACATCTACCAAGCTGTATGGCAAGTGACAAACATGATTCGGAGTCTACTGTTGGTTTGGGGGCGGGGGGACCAGAAGGGGGACAACCCAAGTTTCCACAAACATGAGAGAGAGAGAGAGAGAGAGCGACAGAGTGAGAGAGGCAGAGCGAGAGAATCCAATTTGCCCATGCACCGTGCGGCAACAAGTGATTTGTCCGAGGCTGGTAGGGAGTCCAACAAAATCCATTGCAAGTGTTAATCTCGGTTGTCCAAAGCCGACATTTTGACCTTTTTGTTTGCCCATGCTGGTCCATGTTGTCATGGCCTAGGGTAAGTCATGGCCCCACAACGTGATCACCTTTTACTTCGGGGTCCTTTGGACAACTGAGGAATACATTATATGGCTGTGGGTCAAAACCAAGGGGATCCCATTTTGGGGTGGGTGCACCACCCATTATAGAACCTATTTTAGTGGGGATTGGGATGTTGACTGGGGGTACGGGGTTTGGACCCATGGCCATACGTCTGAACAAGCCCTTTCTCCAGGCGCTCGCGGGAGCTGCAGCCCTTGCTCTGGGAGGCTCGATTCGCTTCATCGAATGGCTGAAGTGAGGCTTGGGTTTGAAGCGACCGTGGTGGATGCAGGCCTGTTGACTCCCAAGAAACGTGAACCCCCGGATTTAAGTTTTTAGTCGGGGGAATCAAAGCACGGGGCCGGTTTTTGGGTTGAGGGTATTCTTTCGGTGGCTGTTTCAATTCAAACGGAAAGCAGCGGGATTCTTGTTTCCGAACTTCAAAACCATGTATGGCAGATGCGGCTCTCGGGTTACGCGCTTTTGACAAACACTTTCCCGCGTATGCACACGTAACCCGCAAAGACCCTGCAAGGAGTGGAAGGATCTCCGCCTAGGGAACTCCTTTGTGAGGATCCATGTAAATGTGTGCCACTAAGCCGGGATAAAGGTCAGTAAAGGCCAGCCCCATCCAGATGTGGCAAGACGCCCTTGCACATTGGGTAGACCGCTTCTGTCCTTCAATGTTGATCAGTGACACAAGAGAGTGGTGTAGACGTTTGGCCAATTGCGAGTCGTGATGAGAATGCTCTCATTGAGGTGGTGCAGGATTTTGTCCGTCAACCGTGTGGGTGAGGGAGTGCCGGCAAAGAACCCATCCCCACTTACCCAAAGACCGTGTGACTGTGACTCAGTTGCGGACGTGAGTAAAGAATCTTCGTAACAAACAAAACACAGGTGAAATGTCAACACGCTCCACAGACACCCTCCCACCAGTGAACATGGAACCAGGTTTCATGTTAATATTTTGGTGCATGTTGCTTGGTGTTAGGACCTCAACTTTTTGCCAACTAATGGGTTTTCCAATTAAGCCACTAAAAGTTGCAACCGATAATTGGACGTTCATTGGTGGGAGGCCACTCCTCGCCTTATCCTGTTTCCTAGAAACCAAAAACCACGCAGGCCAAGCCGGGCACGGCAGCCAGGCGCTGGGCTTTGCAGCAGCTGGGCGCTGCGTTTCAGGAGCCGGTGGCGTTTTCATGTAACGACCATTTGCTGACATTTGTTCCCCCGTTTTTTTGTTTTTTTTTGTTTTTTTGTTTTTTTTTCCCCCGTTGGTTTTGATTTATTCCCCGTTGGTTTCAAAGAGAGTCTATCACCATTGGACTTCTTTTTTTTTGCAGGGGACTTGCGCAAATGGAGGGTAGTTGTGTCCGGAAACATCTTTGCCGTTGACCCAAATGAGGAATCTAGGTCTAGAATGAACGTTGACCAAAGAGCGAAGCGGACCTCCGGCAGGACGTGGCGGAGCGGACGGCAGAGCGCCCTTGTCTCGAAGCCTTGCGCCGCCTCAACTTGCCGCCCGCCGAGGTGCGAGGGACGCGTCAGGAGACAGACCGGGGGGGGGCGAGGGGGGGGGAGGAGGATCCAAGAAGTTTGGGCCCCAGTTGTTTAGTGGCACTCTTTGTCAGTTTGTCTCTGGTTTCTTCCGGGCATGTCTTTTTCAAGGGCACCCCTCAAAATGGCGGTGGTTTTCCTTTACAAACACCAAAAAAGGGGGGCCCCTAAAAGACAGCCTTCTGTTTGAATCCAGATGTTTGCCTTGGAGTACCACTTAAGGCTTCGCAGTTTGGCAGCTGTTCAGTGGCGCCGTCCTGTTTTTTGGGATGGTTACAGGTTCCGATTCTTTGCTGCCAGGGTCAATGGGCACCTAAGGTTTCCTGCAGAGCATTGTGAAACTGCAAGCTTTGCTCCGCGAGGGCTAGGGCACTCCCCAATTCGTCAGGCGGTGCTGGTGGTCGGAAGGGATGATCATGGTCATGGTCTGCCTTCGGAAGATTGGTACGATAAATGGGCCGGCGAGCGGCTGGGGTGGCAGTTCCAGAATCCGTGAGATGTTCGTCCGTAATCCTGGTAAATGAAGTGTGCCTATCGGTATGCCAAGCGAACGATTTCGCTTGTTCCGAATCTTGGCAAGCTGAGGATTGGGCGATAGAGAGTCTGCTGCTTTCACGCAAGCCGTACTGCGGGTAATCCTCTGATGCCGCTTCCCCGTCGTTTCCTGCGACCGACAGGCCAAGGCGGATGACTCTAGTGTGACTCCTGCTTGGTGGCAAATAGGGGTGGGGGCCACAGCGTCACCCCAAGTGAAGGTTCTGTTCTGCTTGTCAGGGTTTCTCCAGAACCTCCAAAAGTGGCAGTTTCAGTGGATTGCAACTTTTGAAGGGGAAATCCGGTGACCCCTGTTTGTTTTTAGGGAGATGCAGCCCCGGAAAGAGAATCAGACCGGTTATAGCTGCGTTGAGAAGGTGGAAACCTGCGCCTTACTCTCCCGCAGCTGCACCTTTGTTTTTCTTGGCAGAGCTAGTCTGCTGTTGGTGGACGAAATCCAATTCGCACCACTTGGGATAAATGAAACCCTATGAATACTGGGATAACCCACCTACTAACTGGTGCAGGATTTCGTTCATCCACTGTACTTCTGACTTGTTTTGGCATATACATGTTGGAGGTGGGTGCTTGTCCGTGGGTTCACTTTGAAAAGGACCCTTTGGTATCACAGAAAGTGGCAACCTAAAACACATTTCCTTGTTTGGCCCTCCAAAGATGGCAGTTTCATTGGAACTCACCAGTAACTTGTTCAACGTGAAGGGAAAGTCAGTGACCTTCGAACCAACCCAACCTAGACCTCCAGGGGCATTTGCTATTTTTCTTTTGTTGGAGAGGGTTTCCGTTTAGAATCAGCTACTGCAATAGGATGCAACTTGTTTTACTGTTGCCACCTGAGGTCTGGACAACCACAACCAACTAAACCAACCCACGCAAAGCATCGTAAAACCACATCGATTCTCCAAAGCACTTGGACATTTTACTGGGGACCTAAGAATGGCGTCGGCTTGCCTTTGAAACCACCCCAACAATATCAGGTACCCAGGTTCTTGTGAAGGGTAAATGGAAACACCCAACCTCCACACCTCCAAACCATCGATTCAGCTCCAAGCAAACCTTTTGGAGCTGAAACAAGTGTAATGTGAACCCCGGATGAATCAACCTTTCCAAGAAGAGGACTTCACCGTGTTTGCGCCGGGGAGCAGTGAGAGCAATACAGGAGAGCTGTGTTGGGCCACATGAAAGCAAACATGCAAAGTGACCTTCTTGCAGTCAAGGCAAATTATGTCTCCTTTTCATTTTAAAGCTCTCATGCAAGCCATGTCAAGCCCACCTCATGTCGCCAGCAAGGCTGCCAGACCCTCCCACCCACTTACCCGTTTATCAATAAGGGGGGTGCTTCTCCCTGGGTTTCGTGGGCAAATCAGGAGGACGGGTTCCACTTAGATCAGGGGTCAACCGGCTACCCTTGAAGAAACGACCGGCTTCTTCCCACGCAAAAAGCAAGAAGAAAAAACACGCCGCAGGCGATGACGTCGCCCGCGTGGCCGAGTCAGCGGCCGCCGGAGTGCCAGGCCGTGCGGAGGGGGGGGGGTTGACATCAAGAGGTTGGAGGTTTGAGGGGTTATGAGTTGATCAATTTCATTTTGAGGGGCGGGGTCATCAATTGATGAAGTACCATTCGAGGGTTCCCAACGGATTTCATGAACGTCAACTTGGCTGTTAGAACCTTGGGCTCCTTAAGAGCGGCGCTCTTCGGCTCAATTCAAACAAGGGCTGCTGCTGGAGATGCAAATGATGCTGTATGCTTCTAAATACTTCCATTGGCTTAAGAATATGTTGTTTATTTCCCCTGTTGGGTTTTAAAGGGAATCCATCACTAGGGGAAATATGGTTGTTTTTGTCCAGGGGACTTAAGCAAATGGAGGGACATTTGTTGGGTTCTTGCTTGGGCACATTTCTACAAGAGGCACTGCTGGTGATGCTGCAGCAACGCTCGATTCTTCAAATGGTCAAGAGGGACACATGTTCTGCAGGTTGTGTAGAGTTAGAGAGCCGATCTTGTCACAGAGCAAATTATTGAGAGAGATGCTGCTGGACTCTACATTCTTCGCGCTGACTCTGCGAACATGTGAACTGGGTACAAGGCAGCGACAAAAGGTGTTGATGCTCGTTCAAATCTTTAAGAGAGGCTTTTCACCATGCTGTTTGGACTGCCACGAGGTCTTTCCCACATGTGCATCTTGAAATCACGCTTGCCGGATGTGATACATCAGCTGGCGGTTGCAAACTGGGGACTTGTTACACTCATTGCCGCGCAAGGACTTCGGTCGGGGATCAAGGTCCTCTGGCCCTGGCAAAACGAAGAGAGCAAGCTGCAGAATTGGGATCAAGGAAATGGCTGTGGTGGTCAAAACCGTTTTGGGATCCCATTTTTGGGTAGGTGACTTCACCACCCATTTTAGAACCTATTTTAGTGGGGATTGAATCGGATGTTCACTGGGGGATAACCGGGGTTTTGACCTATGGCCAAATGTTGCCCAGTGACCCTGGTGGAACAAGGGAAGCCTTTTTGGGGTTGACTTAGTTGGGAATCCACCAAACAAATAGGGACAACTCATGTTCAGCGAACAGCGGCTCAGAATGTCAGCTGTCAGGTTGGGTTCCTGTTTCATTTTTGCAAGTTAGACCATACTAGGTCAGTCGTGAGGTGTTGGTTTGCATTATTCCCAATGTTTGATATTTTGGGTAATTGTCCGAGATGGCAATGAAATTGAGACTCGGAGCCTCAACTGTCCACCAAAGGTCCCCTGTTGCAATTTACACCCAGATAGGGCTGTGACACAAAAGCCTACGGTCGATTCGGTGCGGTTTTTTTTACATAGCTTCGCACAAGCGAAGCTGCCACCGAGAAGCGGGCCGCTTGGCATGAGCAGGCAAACTCCCTTCACCAAGCAAGTCAACCCTTTGCAAAACAGGGGAACTCCAAAAAAGGTTTGATGTTACTCCGTTAGTCTTTTGGGGTAGATAAATTGTCTTTTTTTGTTCATGATGACTTGATGTACTGGTAATTTGATACCCCAAACCACCGATTGTCATTATTTGGAAACCTACTGTGGGTGGAGGAAATCCGTCACCACCAAAGACACCACGGAAAGGCATTGTTTGCTGGTATTCGCATTCCCTTGGGCTTCTCAACGGTGCGAGAAGCGGACTTCGCCTAGCCATCTACGGTATTACCTTCAGAAATCGGCGTGCCCACATGGCAGAGCCCCTTGTGCTCCAGGGCGCCTCTCCCGCCGTGCTGGCCAGTTGGTTGGGCCTTAGCCTCAGTCTGTTTGAGCTCTGGGAACCAGGGTGTCGTTTTAAGACTACACAGACGTGCTGTGTTGCGAAACCCAAAAAGCGCACCACCTAACATCCCGTGGTTGGATCCATGCTTCGTTGGTATTTACAGGGAATTCAAATAATTCCCTTGGGCTTCTGAATGGTGGTGCGAAATGGATTTCGTCCATCCACGATATGAGGTTGTTTTCAAAGAGTTATCCAGCTTGTCTAATGGGAACCAGGGTATGGCCTTTTTAAGACTATTGGACAGACGTATGGATTTCTGAAAAGCTGGTTTGCAAACAAGGCAATCTGGAAAATGCTCAGGGTAAAAGAGTTTTTGTGGTTTCCCATAGTGACTATGGATTGGGAGTGGTCACGGACCATTTTGAACAGAGAGTGCAGGTTTCTTCGAGTGCGAAGCACGGGGATCCGATACCAATAGGTGCAGTCTTAAACCTTGAGAGGGTCCCTTGGTAGCCTTTAAGGATGGTGTTAGGGTGGTTTTCAGAGTTTGTACCTCAGAAGGTACTTGGACCCTCAGGGACAAGTACTGTTTTGACCCGGGATGAATAAACTGGGTTGATTTGGATTGGGGAGTACGTTCCATTTTTAAGGGGATCCGGAAAACCGACCTTTGGCAAAGCAAGTCCAGACAAGTTCTCTGCATGTGCTGACCAGTCGACTTTTGAAGCAAGGGAGTCGAACCCCCATCGCCAGTTTGAAGCCTTCAGCAGCCTTCCGGGTCCCTTTGTTTCTGCGGGTTCCCAAGAAGCATTCTGCCTATGGGGTTCGAGCTCGATCCGGGGGTGAAACCGGCTGATGCGTGTCCTTTACTTGATACCATATTTGGGCCTGTCTTTTTTGATTTTGGAGTTGGTACCCCCTTGTTTGGTGGGATTTGAAAGAAAGCCAGAAGATAAAGCAGCAATTTGTGGGTCCCCTAACAGTAACAATAGAGACACCCAACCGTGGTTTGAAGAACTCGTGTTTGATCGCAACTGATTGACACAATCTTTACTCTGTTTCGGTCCTGACCTCTGTTCAAGTTCAAGGCGGCGTGAATGTCGCCTGCTTTTTTTGCGAAAGCGCCAAATCTGACAATCTGACATGATAAGAAGTCATTTGGCCAATCCTGGGGACTCTTTTTGGACTTCGAAGGCTTTTCGAGGGAAAGCTGGGCTTTTTCGAGGAGCACAATGAAAAAATGAGGGCCCGTGGTTTGCGCGGATCAGTATTCTTCGCTCAATGCACTGCCGTAAGCCAAGACTGCGACGGCGTGCAAAAGGCTCACCAAAACTGTAGAAAACAAGAATCAAGCCTCGCCTCATGTTGATGTCACTTGGGCATGAGAAAGATTGCTTTGCAGCTTTCATTGGATATGATATGAACCGCGGCAATCTGGTTCAGATTTCATTTGTTCAGATTTGCATTTGCAAGTTTGCATGTGAAGTGATTGCCTTACTCAATTGTTTTCCCTTAGGAGTCACTCTTGGCATTTCTTGTCGACCACAAGCCTGACTAACTTGCTTTCCACTTCCTAGTTGATAAATAGAGGGGTATCCCCTTGTCGAGAGAATCCGGACCACTTTTGTGGGTGAAAGCTACTGGCACTATGAGTGTCTGAGTGGGGCTTTGTTTGATTTTTGCGGTTGAATGCGAGCGACCTTTTGTCGGGTTCCACGAACGTTTTTAGACAATCAATGTTCCCCTACCCCGGTATTCATAGACCGCTGTGGTTCCACGCGCAGACCTTCCTCTTCACCCCTTCGGCGTGTGTTTGCGTCGTCCTAGAATCTAACAGATGGTTCTTTGGTTTCCCGTGAACGCTGTACACAGGGGTCTCCCTCTAAATGGCTCATTTCCTAGCGCACCTCCTATCAATTCCTTTTTGCAAACAAAACATCACAACTGGTGGTGTTGTCTAGGACACCCCCTATGAATTCCTTAATGAAAACTGGTGATCGTCTAAAGAACAAGGAGGTGGTTGGACAGATGTTTGGCCCTGGACCTCCCCCAGCCCGGCCGCAGGTTCTGATCTCCGCGCTGCGAAGTGCAGAGATGCAGGGCGCTGAACTCAGGGGATGGAAGGAGCTCTTTGTCGAGGTCTGCTTTTGCAGCGGTCAGCGGAGTTATCCCCACCCGCCTGGGAAATGTAATTGGGTTGGGAAGGGGGTGACCAATTCCAGTTATAGCCCCGTTTTCCATTTCATGGGGAGTACCAGATAAACGGAGTTGTGCGAGCCCCTACACCTCCGTCCCATGAAAGTAGGTGGGAAGTTGAAAAACGGACATCTCCAATGATGCCCGTCGGTTTTCACCCATTCTGGAAGTACACCTGGTTTCACTTTGGCTATGATGATTTACTGTATCAGTGGGACCCATCTGGAGCTGAGATGTTCCGATGTGGAACTTGCACTGGAATTCCAATGGTTCCTTGACAATGGTTTCAAAAGTTCCTGCATCGCATTTAGCCTAGGACAGTTTGAGACATGTAGGCCGGCATCCTTGCATGGAATCTCAACAGTTGCAGGCGCTAAGGACGTGTTCTGAATGTTGTCGAGCCAAGCTTGTGGCCGATTGCATGCGATTGCACTGGGCCACACCCTTGTATACTTAAAAGTCTTCCAGCACGGCCCATTCAATGAACGCTATATTAGAATATAGTAGACTTCCATTTGCTGAAAATTGTCTTTTGCTTTCTCATGCTGGTCTTAAAGGGAATCTATCACTGCTGGATTGTTTCTTCCAGAAAGCGAAAATGCAAATGGAGGTAGATGTCCAGCATCATACAAAGCCTAGAGCAGAAAGACCTGACTACGTACTATGTACAATGGGCAGATGGGGTCACTGGGGGACCTTGAGTGTCCGTCACCCCATTCCGAACCAAACTACTAGGTACGCGGCGCGTATTCGGCCGTGGTGAAATATGACAATTCCGAAGGTGCTGTTGCAAGAGAGAAACTCCATTTATCCTTGAATTCCATTGGGTTTGTTGTCGCAGAGACTTCAAAGTGTATTCGGAACATGTTCCGCCCCCCATGTTTCGGCGCCGGAGAACTACTTCGCAGGCGCACATTTTTTAGGCCAAACGGACGCCAGTGTTTGCGTGAGCTGCTATGGCCTTGGTGTCATCAGGCCACACCGCCATGATCGTCCCTGACAATAATCCATGATGATGCGAAACCTATGCATTCCACAGTTTGGTTGTTCAACAGGGCATAAGGTGGGTTGTCAAATCGATCCGCCAGCATCCACTGATCAGGCCAAAATGGCCGCAAGCTTCGTCAGGAACTCTGATGGCTTTGGCGTCCCAAGACAACATCGCCAGCTCCATTGGTTGACATAATCTTTGATGATCGGATTCAGGGCCCCTTTCAACTTCAGATTAAGCGTGCATGGCAGGGATCTCTTCACGCGGCGCCACTGCCGGTCGAGGCACTGAGTGCCAGTTCAAATTCTGAACCCAGACCTTATTCTGGTGGCAGACCGTGTAGCAAGGGATGCCCTTCTCCTTGCCCGTCAGAGAACACTGTCGTGGCCCTGCCCTTGTAGGTCTTCTTGATCTTCTGCACGATGCACGTTGCCCCGCAGTCCTTCATCCCCTAAACTTTCCATGCGTGTCCTGAGAACAAAAAGTCGCCCCGACCTGCGCCGACAAAGGCTGGGCTGCCCTTGCCTTGACAGCTGCAAACAAAGACTCAGAGTGACGTGCTAGCAATTCAAGTCAACCCCTGTTCGCCTGCCATATGACTACTCCTGAATCACCACCGCGCTTACAATGCCCGCAGCGGGGCACCAAGCGGCAGCACAGAGCGCAGCGTGAGCAGTGTCAATCCCTCGAATGTGTTTGGCCCAAAACTTGAACAGCTCAGGGCAAAGGGATGGAGGAGGGCATCCCGCGACGCGCAACAACAGCACGTGCGCAAGCAGCCATGCCGCTTGTGCCGGGGAAAGCATGCCTCTGAGACTGGCATAAGGCTCCACAGTTGGACCATAACTTTAGAGCCTCCGGCTCAGTCCGCCGACATTGTCCTCTCCCTTTTCTCCTTCTTCCTCTCTTCCTTGTCTCCCTTGTGTGTTCTGTCGTCCTCTCTCCCTCCCTCTGCTCCCATCCTCCCCATCCCCCCAAGCCTCTCTCTCCCCAATCTCCCTCTCTCGTATGTATGCACGCATGTACATAAGTTTGTATGCATGTATGCATGTATGCTGCATGTATGCATGTATGCATGCATGCATGCATGCATGTATGTATGTATGTATGTATGTATGTATGTATGTATGTATGTATGTATGTATGTATGTATGTATGTATGTATGTATGTATGTATGTATGTATGTATGTATGTATGTATGTATGTATGTATGTATGTATGTATGTATGTATGTATGTATGTATGTATGTATGTATGTATGTATGTATGTATGTATGTATGTATGTATGTATGTATGTATGTATGTATGTATGTATGTATGTATGTATGTATGTATGTATGTATGTATGTATGTATGTATGTATGTATGTATGTATGTATGTATGTATGTATGTATGTATGTATGTATGTATGTATGTATGTATGTATGTATGTATGTATGTATGTATGTATGTATGTATGTATGTATGTATGTATGTATGTATGTATGTATGTATGTATGTATGTATGTATGTATGTATGTATGTATGTATGTATGTATGTATGTATGTATGTATGTATGTATGTATGTATGTATGTATGTATGTATGTATGTATGTATGTATGTATGTATGTATGTATGTATGTATGTATGTAATGTATGTATGTATGTATGTAATGTAATGTAATGTAATGTATGTAATGTAATGTAATGTAATGTAATGTATGTATGTATGTATGTATGTATGTATGTATGTAATGTATGTATGTATGTATGTATGTATGTATGTATGTATGTATGTATGTATGTATGTATGTATGTATGTATGTATGTATGTATGTATGTATGTATGTATGTATGTATGTATGTATGTATGTATGTATGTATGTATGTATGTATGTATGTATGTATGTATGTATGTATGTATGTATGTATGTATGTATGTATGTATGTATGTATGTATGTATGTATGTATGTATGTATGTATGTATGTATGTATGTATGTATGTATGTATGTATGTATGTATGTATGTATGTATGTATGTATGTATGTATGTATGTATGTATGTATGTATGTATGTATGTATGTATGTATGTATGTATGTATGTATGTATGTATGTATGTATGTATGTATGTATGTATGTATGTATGTATGTATGTATGTATGTATGTATGTATGTATGTATGTATGTATGTATGTATGTATGTATGTATGTATGTATGTATGTATGTATGTATGTATGTATGTATGTATGTATGTATGTATGTATGTATGTATGTATGTATGTATGTATGTATGTATGTATGTATGTATGTATGTATGTATGTATGTATGTATGTATGTATGTATGTATGTATGTATGTATGTATGTATGTATGTATGTATGTATGTATGTATGTATGTATGTATGTATGTATGTATGTATGTATGTATGTATGTATGTAATGTATGTATGTATGTATGTATGTATGTATGTATGTATGTATGTATGTATGTGTATGTATGTATGTATGTATGTATGTATGTATGTATGTATGTATGTATGTATGTATGTATGTATGTATGTATGTATGTATGTATGTATGTATGTATGTATGTATGTATGTATGTATGTATGTATGTATGTAATGTATGTGTATGTATGTATGTATGTATGTATGTATGTATGTATGTATGTATGTATGTATGTATGTATGTATGTATGTATGTATGTATGTATGTATGTATGTATGTATGTATGTATGTATGTATGTATGTATGTATGTATGTATGTATGTATGTATGTATGTATGTATGTATGTATGTATGTATGTATGTATGTATGTATGTATGTATGTATGTATGTATGTATGTATGTATGTATGTATGTATGTATGTATGTATGTATGTATGTATGTATGTATGTATGTATGTATGTATGTATGTATGTATGTATGTATGTATGTATGTATGTATGTATGTATGTATGTATGTATGTATGTATGTATGTATGTATGTATGTATGTATGTATGTATGTATGTATGTATGTATGTATGTATGTATGTATGTATGTATGTATGTATGTATGTATGTATGTATGTATGTATGTATGTATGTATGTATGTATGTATGTATGTATGATGTATGCATGCATGCATGCATGCATGCATGTATGTATGTATTTCCCGCAAAAAACACGGTTTTTCCAGCGTTTTCGCAAAGAGGACGTCCAAAAACATCGAGTTTTTCCAGATTTTCGGCAAAAGGATGCAGGAAGCCCAAGCCAGCAAAAAAGCCGGCAGGGGGAATCGCGCCTGGGACCCCTGTTTTGCGACACCGGCTCCCCGAAGACTACGTTTAGTGGAACGTCATCAAATTGCCGCGCGGTACGTGGGGGCCCCCCCCCAAAACCTACGTAATAGACGTCGGGCGGGGGGGGGTTAGGGGGGGGGGTTATCCTCTATCCTCTAGTAAGTATCCGACACGCCGAGCAATGTCGGCGGATATGATCATCCCCCCCCCCACCCCACCCCCCCACCCCAGCGTAGCGCATGCGGCCGAAGCAAAACCACAAAAACATGTGTTTCGTACCACGACCGAATACGCGCCGCTTTCCAACTACTAGAGTTTGTGAGTTATTCTGAACCCGTCTTGGGAAGAGAATCGGGGTTTGTGTTTTTTTGCGGAATGGGGTTTGTTACGTTAGCCCTTCAGAACAGGTTTTTATTGGGGACCGTCCCACTCCAAACCGTTTGTGGGTGGAGCTGGAGCTGGGGCTGGGAGATCCTACCTGGTGGGATTCCCCCTTTCCTTCCTCTCAAAAAGGTGATAAGGACAGCCCAAGGACCAAAAGGTGGGACCAGTAGCCAGTATCCTCCCACTCCCTCACTTCCTGAGTTCCTGGACTTGATACTTTTTGGAAGTCCATTTTCGTGGCAAATCTCAACTTAGGACTTTTTGCAGATCCACTCAGGAAGTGAGGCTCCTGCCAAGCCTGGTTGACGCCCCTAGCCCCGAAGGACGACATCGACCAGAACCTTACCAAACCCCCGCCCGCAAGGAACATCCACGATAACCCTTCGCCATTTTTCCGTGTGGCTTGTAAAGGGTGGGGCCCTGGGTTGCCTATACTACTCCAAACGTTCATTTTTGTTCGTTCCTCATACAGATTCAGCTTTTACTAGTGGTAGTTCCCTTCGTTTCCCCTACAAAACCGAGGGGCATGGAACCCTTGGGCTCCATGTGGCTGTTGGTCGCCTCTCCCAGGCGGCACTGGCGGCTTTGCGGCGCCCCAGGACTCCCGAGGGCGCTTGCGATCGAGCGCGGTTTTGGGAATGACCGAGACGCTTCGGGGTTTTGGGGATGCGCCGGTTTTGAGGTTTCCCGAAAGGACAGAAACCACTGCTTGGAGGGTGTATGGGGGGGCAAGTTCCCACATTTCCTGCTGAGAACCAGCAAGCGAAGGCGGGGTCCCTTCAGGCGAAACACGCTGATACCGTGTTTTTGGGGGCTTCCGTCATTTTGTGAGAAACCCTCCAAGGATTGCAGCTGGCGTTGCTTTTGCGGGCGGGGATTGGGTCCTTTTGCCATCGAAGCAACAGCTTGTCAGGCCATTGACTCTGTGAGGCACTGGCCACGGTTATGGCGGCTTTGACTCCATGAGCCATGCGACATCCCCGAACCAAACTACACCAAGAATGTGGTTTGCCGTGCAACCTATGTCAACTCCGCGCTTGACCGAGTTGCACTTCTCCAATACTTGAAGGACAATGTGAAGACTGCCATGGCGGTCTGTTCAAAGATCTCTTGTGGCTGTGATGAAGGAAGCTCTGCTAAATAGCGAGCCCTTGTTTCAAGTCAGTCAATTGTTCATAGCTCACCCGATGCATGCGACCGCGCCAGCGGTCGGGAGGAGCAGTTTGGCAACATCGACTCGGGCGGATTTCTGCCACAGTGTAAGGCTCTCAGCGATACAGCGCCATATTGGATTGGAGCACAAGGGAGCTCGATGTGTCCATTTCTTTGCAAAGTTTGTGACTTTTGTTGAGCCATTGCCCTAGGATTCGATATTGTCATGTTTGCTTGTGGAGAACCTGAAGGATAATCATCTTTCTTAGTCAGGTATTGTTTGGTGTGGGAATCGCTATTCTGGGTGGGTGGGTGGTATCTTTAGGCCGATTGTGAGGGGGTTCGTTGCTCATTGGAACCTGATACGTAATCCATTCAGGAACTGAGTTGCTGTTTTGCTGACACAATCAAAAAGTAGTGAGGCTTGCAACGGGGTCAAACTGTGCAATGACTTCTCCTCCATTTTGTCAAACAGGGAACCCGGCTTTGTATGGCTTTTGGGTGGCCACAGTGTCCACCATGGATTGGTCAATCATGCAGCTGGGTGGTTTCTTGGTTGATCAATTGTCCATTGCCAGAAGTTTCCTCGGAGATCCTTGTTAGTCCCTAGCAAGAGTCCGAACTTCGGATTCAGAAGCTTAAGCCAAGACAATTGGGGCTCACGAAAAACCCATTGGAACATGAGGCAACACTGGCAGAGGCATGATATGTAGCCGATGCTTGGAGGCAGCCGTGAACATCTTGCTTTGTGTAGACACAACTAGTGGCAACCGCTCCCTCACAGGACGATGCGTGGCACAGGTGGGAGGAGCAAACAAAAACCACATGCACACCCGCAGCAACTCAGTCTCCTCGCCTATACGATGTACGTCGTCATGTTGGTCTTGTTTCTAGTCAGTTCCACATTGACATACACATGTATGTGTATTACATATATATATATATACATTGTTTGGCGAATTGGATTGTTGCCGGAGGGTCCATCAGAGGCCGTTTGCCAAATGTTTGAACGACTCGTGCGATCTTAGAGGTGTTTATTCGGTTTTGAGTATTGACTATTTGTGAGCTTGCAAGTGTCTAACGTCACATCCGAGTCCTTTTTTTGGGACATCATCCCATTCCAACACCCAAGTGCTTGTGTTCATGACAAGCGTTTACGCATCCCCAGCATCACAAGTGCCGAGCGTGACATCCAAATCCTAAGTATAAATAATCGTCAAACACGTCGTAGCATCCCGACATTGTTTGCATCTCGACAGGGACGCTTGATGATAGCTATTAAAACGCCTGATGCCATGAAACGCCTGATGCCCCCACGCTTACAAGGGCCTTTGCCGTGAGATACAAAAAACAAACATCCCATTCTATCACCAACTGCTGGTCACACTTCCCGGGCGCCTCGCCCTTGAGGACAAGGGGTCGGCGAACATACACTCAGTGTCCTGCAACCATTGTCGACTGTTGCTCATCCAGTCGCAAGAGCGGCCAGCTTGTTCAGCCAAGGCTTGGGGCATGGGCGCGAGACCAGGCCTGATTCGTTTTGTTGGGCGCGGTTGAAAAGGAAACCAAAAGGACACCGTTGCCATTTGTTGGGTCCCCATTCCCATGTTTTTCTTTTTGGGTTTAGGTGTTCCAATTAAACATGTCAAGACCAAATGAGGGTGCTGGAAATCAGTGGTGCTTGATCGTTCTACGGACGGGGAAGGTTCCCCATGAATATGAGGGTCCCAACAATTTCGCTGCTTGGCGGTCTTCTGCATCGCTTTTGGGCCAACTTCGTTGGCTCCCAAGAGCTCACTCCGACATTTGGATGACATTGAAAAAAGCAAGCTGCGAAGGTCCGCTGTCAAGATCCTCTCCCTAGAATCAAATTGGAGGTCCCGATGCCACGAGGTCCGTCTAGCCTGGAAGCCGCGAGGCCGAAAAGTTTCGGGGAATCGTTTGCCCTCTCCCGGCAGACGGGCGATGGCAGAATTTCTCTCGGTGCTCTGTCGCATGGACTCTCCGGTCCTCCGCCAAGGGGTTTATCCGGTCCTCTGGCAGTCAGTCCACTAGTAGGAATCTATCCGGTCCACTAGCAGGAGCGTATTTCGGAGCCCCAAGTTTGCAGCAAGTTTCCGAGTCCGTGCGCGACCCCAAGGGAACCAGAAGGACACCGCCATTTTGAGTCAGGGGTCCCCAAAAACAAGACGCACCCCCAACAAAAAACCGGATTCGGGGCTCCTGGCCCGGAAGCTGCACCATGCGTGTGGTGGGGATGTCTGACCCGCAACAAATAGTCTTTGGGGTAGCTTTAGGTCATACTCAAAGTGAATCAGACTCTGAAAATACATATTTTTGGGGAGTTCCCGAGATGGGGGGCCAGGTCTGTTCAACTGACACTGAGATGAAATCAGCGATATCTAGAGGATCCTGTTTTCGGAGCTTGGAAGGTGGCGGTCCAATAGCTGAAGCTGACCACCTGAGAGGGTCACTACCTTTCAGTGTACATCTGTTTTCCATTGAGGCGCCAGAGGACTGCGGCTGGGAGGCGTGGTGCGCGTGTGTGGCCCTGGGTTCAACAGCCCTGGCGTTTGGGACCGTGCCAAAACCGAGGATGACCTTTCCACCCCCTCCTTACGCCTGGGCCCTTGACCAAAATGATGAGGGAAGGAAAGATGAAGGAATCCTAGGTGTGGGGTTGAACATCTGGAGTAAGCACGCGGAAGTCTGGTATGCAACCACATACGGAGTCTATGTGTGCCCTACTTTGCGCGAGCTCACCTGGGGGGAGGAAGAAGCTTTCCAAGCACCATGATGTACTCACTCCCTGTCCAGGACTTTAACTTTTTGGCTTGGACCATTTAAGTGGCGGGCGAACAATGTGGCCTTGCTTTGGCCCATCAACTTAGGAAGTGAGTGTGAGTTTGTTGCTCGCCTTCAGGTTTTGGGTTTAGAATTTGCAGACCGGTCCCTCTTCAGGGGAAGTATTGACCAGGAAAGTTCGTCAGGGGTAAACGCTTGCAAATCTCCAGAGACATTCACCTGCCCTTCTCCATTAACATGGAGCCTGACAGAGGCGGCCTGGAAGACAATTTTCCTTCAACATGAGCCTCTCATAAGTTCCATGTTAATTGGTGGGAACTCCCCTCCCCAAAAGCCCCACAAGCCTCCTGGCTTCCTCCCAACTACCAGAACTACAGCTTTTCAATGCTGGCGGCACCTCAGCAAGAATTGCTGAACCTGGAAGGACTACGTCTTCCTGTTCCATGGCAATCTGCCACCACATATATACCTACAACACACAAAAAATGGCAAGACTGCGAAGCTGCTTTTCCAACAGACAGCCCGCTGCAAAGTAAACTTTCTGTGGGAAAAGGGCCGCAATGTTTGGAGTTGGGGGGGTGCGTTTTATGGAAGTTCGGAAGTTCGGTAGGGGAAAGGGGCCAGTGGCCAGCAGAGGTGTGTTTGGGCAGGCGGGATTTGCGCTTTCCGGGGATGCCGCACGAGATTGGATGCTAGTGCTGTTTCCTCAGCAGCAAGGACAACTTGTGTTGATGTTTGTACCCTCCTGAGGGAGTTTGGAAACCTTTCAGGATTTCTTCTGCAGACAAGCACAGCCACACATACACACGCACACGTCGCCGAAAAAGAAACACTGGTCGGAACCTAAAGACGTAACTCCTGGGCAGCTATTGGGTTGGATTTATTATCTTCAAACTTTGAATGTGTTGCCCCATCGACCGTGCAAACAGTTCTTAGTTTTTGTGCCGGGGGCCATAGCCACATAGAATCGGTCATTGTTGAGTTCCCATCTGTGGGAAAAGGCAAGTTGAGGAAGTCATGTGCTCAAAACGGATGGAATTATTTGTTTCAAAACCACCTTTAAGGTGATACGAAGGGAGTTGTCTTTAATTTGATCAATAAACTATTGGGACGGGTATTAGCAAGAAATACAGTATCACAGAAAGGGGCCATATTCCACCTCCATGTTTTAGTTGTGAACTACCGCGCCGAACAAACTTGAAGGTCAGCCAGGGACAATTTGTTTTACCATGCGGCCGCTCCTTTGAGTTTCTTGGCTTTGACTCCTGAAATACCTGGTTTTCTCGCTCCCTCAGTCTCTGGACCTGAAACACTTTTTGGGGCCATTGTCAAGGTCCCCCAGTAGTGCCCTTTACCGTCTCTTTTTTGGGGAAGGGTTCCCCTACTAAAATAGACTACAGCAAAAAATCGGGCACCCTTATTCTATCCTCAAACTACTGGAGGACCTAGTTGTAGTGCCGAGTGTGGCTCATGGCCTCGTTGCCGACAGGTGGAGCTGTCGCTCTTCATGGCACCCATCGATGACTGTGTGCTCGTGGACGGCCAAACCCCCAGCGTTGATGGTTTGAGCGGTCGCGGGTCTCAGATCGGTCCAAGCAATTCTTTCAGAACGATGCTTTAAAGGGACACAAACCAGACAAGCATAGTCTCGGTTGTTCAAAGCCGACCCTTTGACCTTTTGGTTTGCCCTGTTTGGTCTATTTTTAGTAATTAGGGGTCCCAAAAGTTTAAGCTTTTATTGATGGTCCTTTGGGCAAGTGAGTAGTCATTAGGGTCCTTCAGCTACCTTCCTGACAGGGAACTGCCCAGATTGCGGGCCAATTTTTGCTCGCGGCTTGTGCATTTCCATGTGGCTTGTCGAAGCCTACGCGCTTAGCTTCCAAAAGGGTGGTTCTTAAAACGTCACCTTGGGTTTTCAAGCTTACATCTTTTTGTTTATTCCCTTTTGCGTGCTGTAAGACAATGGCTTCTGGTGGCCATTTTATGTGATTTGCTTTTTGGTGGGCTTTGGTGAAAGGGACATACCAAGGACACCCCAATAGGTGTCGTGGTCATGACCCTTTAATAGTGGGGCCGTTGCCCCAAACTGCGGGCCACATTACAGTTCCCACTTTTTAAAGGGTCATGGAGACGCCACAACAAGAGGAACCACCAAGCCACACACTAAGTCCCACTAACTTCTCACAAATGTATTGTTTGTGTCTTTTTGTTGAGGGTGCCCCCTTTTTGGAGGGTTTAAAAGGGGGCCAGAAGAAACACAATCGTTTCGGGGGTGCTGAATCCTGTTTTGAGACGAACTCGTACTGAGTGAATCCCAGGCAAGCCACTACGGTAGGTAACCAGCTATGTGTCCTTTGGCTTTTGAAGGGTGGTTCGTGAGGTTTCCTACTATGCAAGACTATGCAAGAGTAAATGGAATCCTGGAGTTATAATACTTGCATGATCATGATTAATACGGGTGTTTCTCAAACGCGTGGTTTTGGAACACTGGTTGGTGTCCTCTTGTCCCTTTACCTTGGCCCATCCACTCAGGAAGTGGCGCTCATTTATTTCGCAACCCCATTCTCTTCAGGGATCCTTCTCTTCAAAACATGGGGCCAAATCCCCGCAAAACAGGCGGTTTCTAAAGAGAACGGGGCCAAACCCCTAAAAAACAGGTGGTTCTAAAGAGAACAATGGGTGAAGAGAACGTGGAAACCTGAGACCTAAGAATCTTGTTACCGCAAAGAGGCAATTTGAAACCTGTTCTACCTTCTAGGTCCCCCAGTAGTGCCCTTTTACCGTTTTTTTTGGGGGGGAGGGTTCCCCTACCAAAATAGACTACAGAAAAAAGTTGGTACCCTTATTCTAAGCTCAAACTACTGGAGGACCTAGATCTTGGAATCAAACCATCGATCAATTCGACTCGAGGCAACCGCCTCTTCCAGACCCATCCGCAGCACGGAGCCCCAGCGCATCCGGTCCTAGTGGGTGGGCGAAATCCCGGCCGATGGGCACCGCTCGGGGTACAAATGAAACCCTGTGCATCGTGGGATAAACCACATACCAACTGCTGCGTTCACCACTTGGAACAAATGAAACCCGGGAGAAACCACATACCAACTGGTGCGTTTTGTGGATTTTGTCCAGCTTTAGGCCATGGGTTTAAACACCGAGAACTTCCCCGAGTTCAACTGGACTGAAGAGTCACTTTTTGACACACGACACATGTGGCAAGCAAGAAGTTCGATATAGGTGTTTGGGCAACCAACAGGAAGTAGAGATTGATACTACTGTTTGCTGGAATCGTGTTCTATTAACTGTATCAATTAGCAAATTGCATGACAATCATGGACAGGCCCTTTTTGCCATTTCTTGGATGAAATAAGCAGCTCCTTTGCTAGGGCATCTTGTGCATTTGAACCGAAATCCGCGGCCTGAGAAGCTGTTGGGCACTCCGTGTCATCGGTTCAGCGGTCTTTGGACTTTGCTGTGGTGTCTTCAGAAAGTATATTTTAGGTCGACTTGGAACATATACTATTGTCCGTGTACCGCATACGACGTAGGCCAAGTCCAATGACTCTGCAAGTGAGCACCGATCACGCGACCTTTGATTTTCCGGATCAAGTCGCAGCTTTCATGACAATGCCTTTTGTTCGGAAAGGCAACCGGTGACTTGGATAGGAAGCTTGATGTTCATTGTTTGGCAGAAGACAGCAATCTACAGTGCCAATCAGGTTTCAGGATTTCAATGACCAACCAAGTGGATGGGGTCCAGGAATTTGGACCCTAATACAATAAATGACAACAAGAGAGGGGTGGTTGACCCAGATGCGACCTCTTTACTTCGGTTGGTTGCTTGAATATGTTCAATGGGGAATGCGGATCCTCGAGGCAAACTGCCATGTTTTCTGGCTGGTTTAGTTACAATATGTGAGGAACAACCCGAAATTTGGTGCGGGTGGTCCCAAGTCAACAACTTGGTTCGGAACCGCAAAGAAGGTTCCTTCGCAGAAAACCAAGGGAAACCATCAAGCAAAACCTTGAGGCAGTATCAGCCTGGTAGGTGGTACCACCTTGAGGCAAGAGGCGCTAGCTAACCAGCGGTTTCCTCTTCTTCTCTTGAAAAAAACGCCTTGAGGAAAGCTCAAAATTAAAGAGCTTGGGTTACGCTGGTTTTAGTCTTTGTTTCCATGTAGCAAGGGGCCATGTTGGGTACATTTTTTTGAGCCACTACCACGTGTGTGCTGCCTGGGGGGGGGTTCCCTTGGGAGGAGCTACTTGACCTCCTGGCGCTGCCACCTGGGTGGCCACCTAGCCGTCGGAGGCGCGCGATTGGTCCCCCCAAAAGTCTTTGGAGAGTGAGCCCTCAATTTCCGTTTTGTTTTTTGTTTGTTTGTTTTTTTTTGTGGCGGGGGGGGGGGGCACTCCTTTTTGACATCCATTTGCTGAAGAGTGCCCTTTGTTTGTTTTTGGGGGGGCACCTCAAATTTGTTCGCCTCCCTTTTGCTGAAAGGAGTAGCTGGAAAGCGTCGCCCTGTTGGTTTGGTTTTAAAGGGGAGGGGTATGACTACTGGAAATATATCCTATGTTCTTCCAAGGGCGAGTCTTCCTTTACAAGTGGTACCTGTGCATTGGGCCCTTGGAATTCCGGGCCATAGGGACATCCTCAACACCCTCTAACTTGTGGATTGAAGGGACACCAGTCAAAAACATTTTGCAACTGAACATGTTCACAAAGAATTACCTTGACTGCTATTGGGTTGGAACTTTAGACTTGAACTTTTTGGGAAATCAAGGCGTTTTCCACTCAACCCCCAAAAAGGTATTCACTTTTTGCAGGGGGGTCTCGCCAGCAACCAAGAAATACGTACCCTCAAAGCTGGCGCTTCAGGATTGAAGCACCTTGCAATTCGCCCAACCTGTCTGAAGCCAAGTGCACGGGCTGAATCTCCACTTCGCTCTAGGGTTTCTAGGGGAAGATAGGGCGATTGGGCCATTTTCTGGGATACCCAGAAACCTGTAAAGTGATAACATAGTCATGGGAATCAACCACTTTGGTATCACATATTTTTTTCTCCACCATCATCTTTTGGGCAATTTGAGGTGAGTTTCCCTTTGTGGTACTGTCTTTAAGGCAAAACACCTAGGGAGCGCCCCCAAGCGCGCGAACATCCACCGCAAAACCCCCGAAAGCGCGCGAGGCGTGGTCTCCTACTCCGGCACTGTGGCCTTGGTCCGGTGCCGCTTTCCGACGGCTCCGGCGGGGAAGGCCGAGCACGGGGGCCCGGAGCGTTTTGCTGCGGCCATGTTGGGATGCCCCAATTAGGAGCTTTGAGCGCCATTTTGGGATGTTGACCCCTGTTTTTTTTTTGTTTTTTTAACTTGGTGAAGGGGTCCCCCAATTACAAGAAGGGAATCCCCACGAAAAAGGGGCTCCCTTAATAATAACTGGGGGGTGTCACTAAGCAAGAGTCAGCGTTGGAGGTTTTGAGACATTTGGTTAGTACCCTTTCAAGCTTTTAGGCTTTTAGGGTAGACTAAACATTCAAACAACCAGCAGGAGCCCACTACAGTCCAAAACCTGGTTGCCAAGGTCCTGGGGTACTGATAAATTAGAACACAACGCCCCGCATCATTGCCATATGTAATCCTTTCCTGGAATATGGGGCCATGTACTTGTGGTAGGTGCAGTGTCCCGAGGTCTTCGCAACAGTTGTACAGCAGCCACACATTAGCAGTGACCACGAGTGCAGCAGCAAGGACTGGGTGTCCCCTGGCGGGTCATCCTGGTGGGAGAGATGGCAGAAGCCGCCGGGTTAGGGTTGCAAGCAGAAGTGCCCCTCAGACCACAGGTGCGGAGGATGAGCAGGTCAGAGGCTTTCGAGCACCTGAGCGCTCTCTATTTGTTTTGTTTTCGGGACCTCGGAAAGTGAGGTAGTTTGAGGGAAGTTCCCGAGAAATTGTGCTTCTCAAAGGGAAATTCAGGGTCCCCCGAGTGAAGGGTGGTGGTGTCTTGCAAAATTGCAAAGGGGCCTTCCTTTGGACTTGGATGCGGTAAAAACAAACTACATTGGATTCCCGTCTGGCTGGGAGTAAAACGGAAACCAAAAGAAATCCCTTGGCACATTCCAGGCTTTGTTCGGACACACTCATGTCCTGTGCGCTGAGCCATGGTCAAAGCTTTGCCATTCCCCTACTCCACACGGCAAAAATTTAGTGCGCGCCCTTCATAGCTGGGAAAATTGGTGACCATGTCCCTGCCAGATGAACCACGACTGACACTTTTGACCGGATGGGTATGTGTCAAAGGTTACCCTAAAAATTGAGGTTGTCCTTTTCTCGCTCCCTAAGTCCTTGTACTTAAAAAGCAATTTGGAAAGACACAGATTTAGTGGTAAAAGTCAAAGTCTTGCTACTTGTTGGGGAAACTCGACTCACTTCCGGAAGTCAGTTTTGGCTTCCCTTGAAAGCCACCCCGAGTTCGGACTCCTCTGATTTACCGGCGGCCTGGTTTTCTCCGAGGCTCGCAATCGAATCCTCGGTTCCAAGTCTCCGGGCTGCTGGCTGGTCCTTGACAGGCGGAATCGGTGGATTCGAACGAAGTTCGTACCCTCCCGTCTGCTCACATGGCTAAGGTTCAAAACCAATGGGGTCCCATTTTGGGGTGGGTGCACCACCCATTTTAGAGCCTATTTCAGTGAGCTTGCAACCGCAGAGTCAGCTTGCCTTTGAGTGGTTTGCAGGAGTTCCGCGGGTGGGTTTCGTTTTTGGCCAAGTCCTGGCACCAATCCAACCCACCAGTGAAGGGTCACCTGAGTCACAAAGCCCGGTATTAAAATGGTCTGCCCAGAACCATGTAAAGAATTAAGAAGGAGGCCGCAACTATTTCTGGCTGGGACTGTTATCTGCTAACCTTCATCTAAACTGGGTTTGATTGTGGCTCACTTGGCGATCTGAATTTCAATAGGGAAGCCCCTGAAAAGTGGCTGGTGGACATAAATCTCCTAAGTGATGTCCCCGAATTAAAATTCCTTCCCACATTCTGCATGGCCCGGAGGTGCCATGTTAGTGGAGGGAGAGTAGCAAGTCGGTGGTAACCTAGGCTACAATAGACTCATAAGTCCCCTAAAGTGGCTCGTGCGTTGGCTAACCACTTCCTGACTTGGCCGAACATTCAAGAAGGAAGGGACCCGCGCAAAGCAAAGAGACACACAGGCAGACAAAGAGGCAGACTGACAAGCGAAAACAAGCAAGCCAGCCTGGTCAACAAACAGATTGGCTAACTTTACTAACAAGCAAGCACGCTAAGTAAGCACAAGGGCAATAGAGCCAGGGAGCATGCTCGCAGGTGGAGCAAGGGACACCTCGTACTGTACCTACCAATGTTGTGTGGTTGATTTACTTGGAATGAGTTGAGGAATGTGCCAATGGCTTCACCTTGTTCATGGCTTGACGGTCTATATGTTTGGTCAGCAAAGGGAATGACATTGACATCCAAATTGAACCATTGGACAATAGACGGTTCACACCAAAGTCCAATTTCTCAGTGCTGTGACATATTGAAACTCATCAGCATCCCTCCATCAATTCTGGTGCGGCTGTGTGGTGTGAACCGGGCCCTGGTTTGTGATTCACTGACTTGGCTAGCATTGGTATGCGGTACGAACAACAAATGGCGCATAAAGAACAACCCACGTCCGTTGCTCCGAGCGTCACAACGAGCAACCCGGATTTGAGTAGACAACTTGGCAATCCTCGTTTGCCTTCTCGTTTTGCTCGATTTTTCTGCCGTGAGAACCTGGTCTCCAGAGCAAGTCTGTACATTCGGTTAAGAGTGTTTGAGGCGAAGGGCACCCTTCTGGGGTCCCAGCTTAAAGGGAGCCAGAAGGACAACCACCAATTTTGAGGGTCCCCTGGTTTGCAAACCCATGTGGAAAACTGTGAGGGTTTTAGGGCCATCCCCTTTAACATGACAAAGTAGTCATGGGGATTGCCCGAGTTGGTATCACAGAAACGGGCTGTTTCCCACAATGACTCTTAATATATCACCCGGCTCAACGGGACTGGCTTCGACCAGGTCTCAAAAATGCCGGAGCTTTTTTTGTTACATCTTCAGGTTGACTAAGTATGGACCAGAATCAAAGTCTGTTTTTGTTGTTGGGTTTTCTCATTTGGTTGGGGGCAAGAGCTGAGGTGGTTGAGATTCCACGGACATTCTTGTGCCACCAGCCGTTCGGGTCCAGTTCTGAGCGCGTTTCAATGCTGGAAACCAAGTTCGCTCTAACTGGGACACGATGACCAGAAATCTGTCACTTTCCCTATCCCCAGGATGGTTTTTGCCAGGGGCGAACAAATTAGCATGGGGTTCCGGGTCCGTGGGCCAGTTTGAAACCAAAATAAGTCAAGATCAGAAGCTATTGGATATACGCAGCTACTTGGCCCTTGTATTCGTGGCCTTGTGCGTTGGGAGTCTTCCATTTGCTTAAGAATATTGTATATTTTCCCTTCTTGGTTTTAGAGGGAATCTATCACTACTTCCAGACGGAATTTGGAAGGAGTGATTGAGCCTATCCCGCCAGGAATTAAGCTTTGCCCCTTTGAGCCGTTGCTGCCCGTCGGAGCCTTGGAATGCTTCCCTCGCTGTTGCCAGACTTCCAAGCTGGGTCTTTGTCACACACACACACACCACACACACACACACATGCAAACACACACACACACACATGTATGAATATATGAGTGGGTGTTCCAAAACAAGATGCGTTGAATTATATGAGTTTACCCTTTGAATACCGGAACCCGCTTTCCCTACTGGCACCCGCTTTCCCTGGCATAAAGTTCAGATCCGATCCACGCCCCCCGCCCCCTCCCCGATATCAGAACCCCTCCCCCGGTTTCATTTGAACGAGGCCGAGGCAGGTACGGGCGGGTTGGATCCTATTGTGGCCATGGGCGTGCGAGGGTTACCAACCCCAAGCTAAGCCAGCAGCCCAAAACAGACTTTGGGCCTGGGATATGTGCGGAAGAAACCTTCGGGCTTGCGCGAGTTTCTAGGTGCTGAGACGGGTGTAGCTTCATGGCTTCACAGTGTACCATCTATAGAGGTTTGGGAGTTAGCTAAATGGTCGGTAGCCCCAGTTACCAGGGTTTGGCTGGGGGTTCCCCTCGTTGGATTTTTTGAAGGTATGTTTTCGCAACAAAGCAAGACAGTCAAGCAAAGGCCCGAAACTTACGGTTGTATAAGCCTTGAGCATACCTTGATAATAATATGCGTAAGGACTTATTTTTGCGATTCCGAGTTTCGCAGTTCGACCTGCCCGATGCTTGGGTTGAACGGCTGGCCGCTGGACCAATTTGCAAGTTCCTTTCTGGACTTACGTTTTTGTAGCTCTCCGGGTTCCACTTTTGAGTTAGCGCAGTCACACATGTCTCCGAAAGTGTCCCCTCTACAAGGTGTCCTTTCCAACACCATCCCAAGCACGGACAGGTATATGTTTGAGCAAACTACAGCAACCTGACAAATGGGGGTTGCTTTCGCATGATGAAGGTTTCTTTCAGGCAAGAGTTTCATCCATTTCCGAAGGTAGACAGTTCATTTCCTCTGGGATCCAGCCGTCAGCCAGGTGCCACGTTTCAATGAGCCCGCGTCGTCTTATGCGCCCGGAGTCACAGACCCATCGGAGTGCATCCGCACTTCGGAGGTTCGATTCGCGGTAGGCGAGCCATAGGTTAGAACCCACGAGCAGGGCTAGCCCCACAGAAAAAAGGCATCGATTTACGTGGGTTGTAGCCTGGGCTACTAACAACTTACTGAGTCGGCTGAACAACTAGCTGCGTTAACCCCACGTAACCCCACTTTAACGTAGGTTGTCAGGGGGTTGTACCGAAACGGTTACCAACAACTTACTAGTTTAGCGAATCGAAGACCCAAGTTGAGACATTTTGGGCGTCCGTTCGTTTACTCAATCGCAACAAAAGCCTGCTAATGCTCCACGTCGGATTACGAGGCTTATTCTACAAAATCCAACTAACGGATCCCCAACGGCGAGTTGTCAAGCTCGAGAACTGCCACTCCCAACAGAGAAGTGAGAGGTGTAAATAGAGGACCCCCCTCCCTCCCCCACGATGGTGATTTCCTTTTGGTTTCCCTTTGCAACCACGCCAGAATGGGTATACCGTCCAAAAATGTGCGCGCGCACCCATGCGTTTTTTTCCAGCTGCTGGATCGGTTTCGCCGACTCAGCCGAGGCGGAAGCTGACCGTTTGCAGCGAAGTTCTCTATGGCCTGCGGGCGCCTCGGTCGCGCCCAGACCTCCGGTGATACTGCGGATGGACGAAATCCATAAACTGCACCACTTGGAAACCATGGGAAGCCATTGTTTGTTGGTATTTACAGGGGAATCATCCTTCCAGGGTCTCTGAGGTGGTGCAGGATTTCGCCCATCCACAGTACCATAAAAGAGGTTTCCCTTAAGGGATGTCTTCAACTTTGGTTGAACAATCATCCGGTGGCAAGACGCTCGAAACCCAGGGAGACAATTTGAGGGTTCCTTCTTTCAGGTAGTCGAAGCAGAATCACGGACAGCGACCTTTCCAAGCAGAATCACGGAATCCGCGAGTAGGGATCACAGATATATGTTGAACCGCGTCACAACTGAGGGACCTATTCATGGTGGTTGCCTGACCCCTTTTCCCTAAGAAACTTGCAGTTGAAAAGCTGGGGGGCCGGAGCCTTGCACAAATCTCCAGCTGATGGATACACACTCCGCACCCACCGGTATCAAGGCTTCAGACTGGTAAAAGGGGAAGCGTGCTTGGATGGACAAAATCCATTTCGCACCAGTGTGTATCATACGGGGCCCATGTTCTACATGGCTTGACCGGAAATGGATTCCGTCAAATGGGTCCTAGCATGCCCCACGCATGATTGTCTTTGGCGCAAGGCGGAACCTTGCCTTTAGAATCCCTGAATGCTTCCGGTGGTGCGAGATCCCGATCACCTTAGTTAAAGATTGAGAGGCACCTCCAATGAAAGCTCCCCCGATGCAAAAGGATTGAGAAGCTCTTCATCCTGTTAGACCCCGCTGAAAGCAGACCACCTTTTGTTAATTTCCCATCATGTTATCGCACTAATCCCTTCTTTCCAATGTATACACGGATCCCCAAAACAACAACTCCAGAAGAACAACACAGCCGATCCAAACAAACTGCAATACTAGCTGTTAAGTACCCCATGCTGAACCAAGAAACTTTCGGGAATCCGGATGAACTCAGCTCCCCAGATGTGCTTAGGGGCCACCTGAGCCGGAGCGGTGTTTTCATTCTGAGGGTCTCCATGAGGTTCCCTTCATAAGCAGGGCTCCTTAAAAGATACGTTTTGCCTATTTGAAACATGGCTTTCTCCACCAAAATAAAGAGAAACCACAATTTATAGGGCAATCTTCAGGTGTATAACGTCAGGATCCCCGAACAAGGCTTACTCAAAAGTTGGATTCTGAGCCGTAACCAATGGGCTTCCTTGCGGGAGAGTTGTTTAAGGGCCTCCATTAGGTTTCCTTCATATGGTCTTACTGAACAAGTTATATTCTGAGCGCGTTTTCATCTCAAACCAAAGGAGTGCCTTGCAGGAGAGGTTGTATTAGGGTCTCCGTGTGTTTGCCTTCTTAAGGTCTTCCTCAAAAGTTGTATTCTGAGCCGTTTGTTCTCAAACCAATGGGCTGCCTTGCGTGAGGGGTTTTCATTGTTAGGGTCTCCATTAGGTGCAAATCAAAGGGGTCCCTTCCCTTGAAGAGTTTTACTGCATTCACTGTTTGAACCCTTTTCTTGCAAATCAAACGGGTCTCTCTTTTCCAATTGGGACCCACCACTCAGCAATCCAATCTGAACCAGTTCTGGCCAAAAACCGGGGGACCCCAATCATAAACAACAGAAACCTGGGCGAGGGGACCGTTTATTAGGGGACGGGAAACAATGGGCATGCGGTACACGTAGATGTCATTAACCCCGTTGGAGTGGCTTGGACACCGACACCGTGGCATTGAACCCGAACGGCATGAGCAGCATGTTGCTCAAGGACGAGGCAAACATGCCCAAGTGCATGTGCATGCCGTTCCTCGGGGGTTGTTTACGTGCGAGACATCGAGGACCTGGAGAAGTCTTTGAAATCATTTGAGAGGTCTGGACTGGCAGACTTTTCCTTTGGACAACTACAAGCTCGGGGAAGACGACGTGAGTGGCTTCTGGACTTCATTTTCTTTCTTGGAGATCATTCTGGTGCTTAAATGACAAGTCTGGGCGTTTTTCCTGGCCCGTTCTGCTCGTTAGGCCTTGCCGCTTGCGCTTGCCGCTTGCCGCTTGCCGACGGCTAGGTCGGGGCCCTACAAGTCCCTGATGGTGAAGCACTGGCTGGAGTACCACCGGCTCGGTGCTCGGGTGTCTCAACTTCCTTGTGCTTAAGAATATTTGTTTGTTTTCCCCTGTTGTTTTTAGACGGAACCTATCATGATTGGACATATTTTGACTTTTTCCATCTCACTTACGCACATGGAGGCCAACATGGGGGGCCGGGACCCAAAGTGTTTGGGTGACCAAAAGGTACGTAAGCAAGTTCTTGCATTTTAGTCACTTTTTGGGTTTGGTTGCCATGGTAGTGGTAAGTCAAAAGTTTGAAAGCCATTCCCCTCAGGAAGTGAGGTGTGTGTCAAACCAGGGGCTGTCAAAATGCATTCGGTTTCTTGCACCAAAGTGATAAGCAGCCTCCAGAATCGAAAGTCATATGTGTCGCTGAGAGACTCAGCTCCAAGCAAGGAAGCGCTCTGTATACCGGCGCGTCCCAGACACCTGCGGCGTGTTTTTGTTGCGCGGCGTTTCTCTTTCAAGGCAGCTTGGCTGTTGGCAGCTTGCGCTGAACGGCACACCTCGAAAACAAAACAAAAAAAAGAACAAAATAGCACTAGACCTGCATCCGGGGCAACGGACCGGCCAGACCGTCCAACACATCAGTGATGCTGAGGGTGTTTCACGCTGGAATCTTCATTGGACCAGGACATGTGGGCATGGGCTTTTTTAGTTGGAATCCTTGGGCATCATCCACCCAGCAGTTTTGGGATGGTTCCAACTCTGAAACTATTTCCCCTTCGTTCAAAGCACTCGCTTCCCCAAAGAAAATCGACATTGAGTTCCCCTTTTTCGTCCAGTTTAGTCATGGCCCCAAAAGGTGATCACCATCTATTTCTGGGTGCCCAAGGGACAAGTGAGAGCACCTTTTTGGGTTCCAAGTGGCTGTGGGTCAAAAATAGGTACCCAGAATGGATCCCTGGCAAATGGAAACATGGACTAAACCCTGCGGTCCCCGGTTGGTTTAATTTTGACCCATAGCCAAGTTGATTTCTGAGATTCCTTTGCAGCCTGGAACGGGTTACGCTGGAGCTCGAGACGGGTGTGTTTGTTTTATCAGGGTGAGCCCGTTTTGCAAGGAAGATATGAAAAAAACCGCACCCAGAGGGTCCAAGTACCTTTTAGGGAGGTACTTAGAGCCCTTTTTACCCCCCAAAAGCCATCCTCAGGAGGTACTGGGACCCTCTGGGGCATTGTTATTTTTTTGGGGGGGGCCCTCCATTTCAAGACACACCCAGATGTCCTTTTGGAAAATGAAAAAGCTCGGGATGTTGTTTATTGTCATCCCAAGTGCCCACTCTCAGAAGGATATCGTCTGATTTCTGATGGGCAAAATCCAGTTTGCTCAGAGGAAGCAGATAAGGCTGGAGAATTGAGAGGGCGCGATGACCTTGGGACACGGCGCCCAAGTTTACTGAGAGGTACCTCAGTTTTCGGCACGTTTTCCCAGGACAGTGCCTTCTCAATTTGGTTGAGAGGGCCCAGCTTTTCGGGAGTCCGCAAAATCCAGTGGACAGGTATCCAGAGTTCCGAGATTCACGTGGTGTTCCATCCAGCCCAAAAGGTGCGACCTGGATTTTGTCCATCAGCAACATCACTCAGCATGATCTTCTTTCATTTGCTTAAGAATATTTGTCATTTGCCCCGCTTGGTGTTAAAGGGAATCGATGTCACCACTGGACATACTGTGTCTGAACGAAATCCATTTGCACCACCGTTCAGAAACCTTGGTGTGTGATTTGATTCCCCTGTAAATACAAGTAGTACCGCGCAAGGCGGTGGCGGAAGTTTCTAAAAAAGAACCACTATAGGAGGCTTGAACAACCAGGGCAAACATGTTTGGGGCCAAATTGAAAACCAATCATGTTTTGTTTGTGACGAACATGGCCAAACGGTCACAAAAGAAATCAACAGGTCATGTCTTCACAGGCAACTATTCCACCGCTCGGACAAAAACTGGAAAGAAAACCTGGCTGACAGGGAGCCTGCCTGACCGCAAATGTTTGACAAGTCTTAAGCCTCCATCATTTACCCTTTGTTACCATCCGCCCGCCCGTTGTCCCACCGGCTCTTTTTCCTTTTTATGCGGGCAGATTCACTTTGTCTCTGTTCAAGGCAGCACGGTCAGAAAAGACGCATGCTGCCAGGCAAGGCACACTGCAAGGCACACGGCCTGGCAAGCGCCGGGCGGTCAGAAAAGACGCACCCTGGCGCATCTCAAGCGCATTCAGCGCTGTCTTGTCAAGCGTTCAAGGTCATCGTGCACCTCTTGCGCCGCGGTGCGAAGCTGGAGACACTCGTCAATGTCATTTTGCTCGAAGTGTTTTTTGGCGTGCAGCGGAGTAAAGGCAACCAAGCCGGGTATGTCTTGGCCTTCGTTGCTGTGAAACTCAGGGAGCCAGCGGGGAAGGCCTATGAGCATCACGCGGTCATCGCCGTCTGCTGCTCTTTCGTCCGCACGGGCCACAAAGCCTAACTCCTGCAAAAGCGTGCGAAGATACTGGCTGGCCCGCTGGTCTCGCGCGCGCGGGTCAGCCCCTTTGCTTCCGATCTCCGTGTACCTCAAGTATCGCTGCGCGTTCAGAGTGGCCATGATGCCGTGTTTTTTGTTGAAGCCATGCCAGTGTGGGCACACGGTGCCAAAGCCCATAAGCTGCTTGTGCCTGCGACATCTTCCAAGAGGGCATGTGTCGTGCACCAAGTAGTGCTCGATGTCCCCCGCATCGTTTAAGTATCCAATGGGGCGATACTTTTCACCCCACATGGTGCAGCAAACGGGTCGCACCACAGAGCGGGCAGCGTGGTGCCTCTTGCGGTAGTTATGCGCCACCCAGCCGGCATCGGCATCGCCAGGACGCGTGCGCTGCGCTCTGATGCCGCAGCCTAAAAGAAAGTCATACAAGGCAACATCCCAAGCCTCCTGGCGCGCCAAGTGCACGGAAGCACACATGCCCAGCATGAGCTCCACGTGTGCTCGCAAGTGTGGATGCATCACACTGTCGGGCCTCAGCGTGGCCATGATTTCAGCTCCCAAAGCTTGCAAGTGGATTTGCGCTCCAAGGGCTGAGACAGGGGCAGAAAAGCCGCCTGCGTGGCCAGCAGCAGGGGCAGAAAAGCCGCCTGCGTCTGACATCCACCAAGGCATGCCGAGATTGGATTGCTCGAAAGAGGCTCGCCAGTCCCTTGAAAGCAGGACGTGCCCCAAAGTCATATCTGCAGGCACCGGCAACGGGACTTGCAAGCAGACATCCGTCTCGGAGATCACATTGTCCCGCGAAGTGTTTAGGGGCTCACCAGTGTTGTCGCCCCAGTTCACCTCCATCGCCCCGGCCGAGCATCGAATGGCCGGCAAGGCTCTCGGAGAGGGCAAAGCGCCGCTTGCCTCCAAGTAAACATCGTGCTCCATAAAGGACTGCCGCGGCGGAAGCTCCGGCAGCAAGCCGAGATCGGAAGCAGCCACATGGCGCCGCACCTGCTTCAAGTCTGCCCGGTAGCCCTCGGGGATCAAAGGATCCCTGCACATAAGCGCGTACTCTTCCGAGAAGGCAGTCTCATCAATTTCGTGCGCCACGTCCTGCTGCGCCGCCCACCAAGCCTCCCAGTCGGCAGTGTCTGGCAGCAATAAGCGGAGAGCGTTGCCTTGCCAGCAGCTCGGACGCGCCGTCCGGTGGAGCCACGTGACGTAGCAGTACTTGTGCACCACGGCCAAGATATCAAAATTTTTCGCCTCCTGCAGCGGCAAAGCCACCAGTCTTAAGAAGGTGCTGGACAGCAAAAATGAATAATTCAAGGTGAGCACCGACCACATGTAAAGGAAGACCAGACACTGGAAGAGCGCCATGGCCGGCATACCACCAAGAGGCAACTCCGGAAAAACCTCCGCGGCAACAAGCATACGCTGCAGCGCTGCAAGCTCTTGCTGCAACTCCCGACTAGATGCCAGCAACTCGCTAGCGTAGGCAATCAAGCCTTGAGCGTCCTCCGCGCTCTGTATGACCCGGAACGAAAGCAAGGTCGCGTCCGAAGTAACGTCAAGCAAGCAGTCCACCCCGCGCCGAGACAGCGTCTGCGCACCTGGCTGAAAGAGCACGCCTAGTGGGGCATCGCAAGGCAGCACCAAGCACAGCGCGGTGTCCTCCACGTCGGCCGCGGCAGATTGGGCCACCTCTGGCGCGAAGGACACCCTTTTCTTTTTCTTGGCGCTGGGCGCAGCCGCGGCGTGGGCAGAGTCGTCCTGCACGTCAGCCCACGCAGGTCTGCGAGTCGTGGCTGCTTTCGGGGAGGCGGTCAGAAAAGACGCACCTTCCCCGGCAGCGGCGGGCAGAAAAGCCGCACCACTGCCAGAGGCTGCTCTTGGGGAAGCGTTCAAAAAAGCCGCAACAGACGCTGCTTCCGGGGAGGTGGTCAGAAAAGACGCACCATCCCCAGTAGAAATGAAGTGCTCGTGTATTTCCGCTGCAAGCGTGTCCCAAGGCGTGCTGAGCTGAAAGGGACAGGCGCACAAGCCACAGCGCTCCGGGAAAGCTTGCTGCAGAGCGCGCATGATAGGGCACCAGTGGCGGGCCATACGCACGCGGGAAGCTTGCTGAAGTACAGCGCGGCCTTGAGCGGTAAGGGCAGCGAGGCCGGCGCCTTCCAGCCAGTCTGCCAGCCAAGCTTTTCTGAGGGGCGTGCCGCGCTCGGCGGCAGCCGCTTGGATGAACTTGCGCGTGTCGAGGCAAATATCGCTGTAGCCAGCGGATACAGTCGTGGACGTCTCTCGAAGGTCCTTGTCCAACAGCTGCACGCTGTGCAAGTGCGCCGGAACTCGGCCGCCAAGGAACATCCGTCGGGTGCGCGACACCACCAGGTCCGCCTGTCGGAAGCAGACTTTCGCCGCCTTGTTGTCGCGGCATTGAGCTGCTTCGCTCAGCTCCGCTTGCACTCGCCGCTCCGCGGCCCACTGCCAAGTAAACCTTCGCTGCTGGATCCCCAGCAGGTCGTAAAGAAGCTGGAGCACAAAGTATAGCATCCGCGAAGAGAA